TTTTGTTAAAGTGCGCTTTTTGTCGAGCGTGGGAGCACTGCGGAGAAGGAACACACGAAAAAGTGACCTCCGCGGTTGTTTCTTCTCTGCAGTGCACCGGTGCTTGGTAAGAAGCGCACTCAACGGGTAACCCGCTGCAATCAACCCTTGGGAAATTATGAATATCGCAATTGCGTGCTTGGGAAAGAAAAACACACTTTCTGCACGCGCGCCTGGTGTTTAAAAATAAACTAAAATTTTGTGAATGTTTATATGTACGTGTAGTAAAGTATTCAAAATAACTATGGCTCTAATGCAAAATTATATCATAGGTAGATATGCCCTGACAACCTGCATTAACCATTCGTAATACATATTTTTTTTTAATTAATTCGAGATTGAATAAAGAATATTCGCATATAGCGAGGCCTCAACTTCGTGTCTGGTGCAACCAGTGTTGCCAGATGGAGAAAAAAAAAGTCAGCAGATTGATCCCCAAAAAGTCAGTAGATTTGCACAAAAATCAGTAGATTCCACGAAATATGTGTTTTGCGATGTTTTGTTATCTCCATTAATACACACTTCAAAGAAATAGTATAGAGTAACAAATAACATGGTAATAAAAACAAATAAAAATGAAAGAAAAAAACAAGACCACTTCTCAAGTAACTTTATAGACCGTTTTACTGAAAGAGGGCGAGAGAGAAAAGGGGAAAGGGCTACCGGCGCTTTCCCCCTTTCTGATTGTGTAGAAAGAGTGGAAGTCCCGGATGAGAGGCTGTGCCGGTGTTGGGTGCCCGCAGTACAACAACTTCGTTCGCACTTTCTTTTCTGTTTTAAACTCGCAAACTTAATTATAGTTACGGGCTTCGATGGCAACAGTCCTCCGGTCATCGGGACACCATTGCTCGGTTATAGGGTGTACGAATAAAAACAGAAAGCGTCGAATGCTGTCCGAGGACTTATGTAGCTTGCGAGGAATCCAGCAAGGCGAGAGCGGCTGCAATGTCTTGCAATGCAACGTCGGGATCATGTAGAAAGCTCCATCGCTTTCCATTTGACCCCGGTTTCAGGGGGCAGTGGATTGCGTCCGTAAACCGGAAAGGCGTTTCCGCAACGCCAACCTCTCGACTGTGCTCGGAACAGTTTGTGAATGGAGCGCGCACCGAACGCTGTACCGCCGATGAACATGGGGTACGCTCGCAAGGTGCGTGCGAGTTTTCTCGTGATAACTGCTGTTTGAGTTTGTGAAATTTTGTTAATTTTCAGTGGTGACTGACTCGATTTTATCATCTATAACACTTAGTTGAAGGCTCGTTTCCGCCGCCGGGTGAGGCTGGAAATTTTTGAAATGGTAGTTCTATCGGTTTTCCTGAATCGCAATCTCCTGCGTGATACCAGAGAGCCGGCAAAAGAGCTCCTTGGAGTGGCGCTGGTTTGTTGTTTGCTTTGATTGGGCGATTTGAAACGCCGGACAGTCGCTGCAGGGTACGTCTCGTGTGTTGCGATATGCGTTTTCGACCCCAGTGTGCAAGTTTCTTTGTTCGAGTCATGGCATCCGTCAGTGCGGCGACGGAGGGATCAGCGGCAGCGAACGTGCCAGTGATAGAAACTGGAGGTGAGTACTCAAACTATTGCATCAAATAGTAAAATTATTCGTGGCTGCTTTGAGACTTACTGCGGTTACATATAAGTACATCTAGAACGTCCTCGTCGTTCATTCACAAGGAAATATAAGAACACGGACACGAAGATAAAAGCAACGCAGCAAAACGATCAGTAGCAGCTCCGGGTGTTTACAAAAGTTAATTGAGGTTCCCGTTTCGTCTATCGCTTGTTGATTACTAAAAGGGCTACGTTGTAATAGGCTCATTGCAAGGAAAAATTGATAAATGGTTCGCCATTTCCAGTCATGCGGAAAGCGATGGAGCTCAAAAAACATTACAGCCGCACTCGCCTTGCCGAATTCCATGCAAGCTACTATAGGTCCTCGGACAGTATTCGACGCTTTCTGTCGTTATTCGTGCACCTTATCACCCAGCAATGGTGTCCCGATGACCGGGGGACTGTCGCCATTGAAGACCATGGCTCTAATTAAGTTTTGGGAGTTCGAAACATAGAAGAAAGCGCGAACGATCGTGGGCGCTGCAGACATCCAACACCGGCCAAGCCTCTCATCCGGGACTTTCACTCATTCTACACAATCAGAAAGGAGGAAAGAGCCGGTAGCCCTTTCCCCTTTTCTCTCTCGCTTTCAAAATGGCGCTACCCACGATAAAACGGTCTATACGAAGGACAAATTAAAATGGCACCATAAATGTTTTTGTTTTAGTCATTATTGACTGTTTCGAGGATTATTCTTTAGAATCGAGACTGAGGCACTTTTGGGATCACAGATGAATGCGACAGTGCGACGTTCACCTGTCGCTATTATTGAAACAAAACCGAAACAAGACGCTCCGGCAAGTGCGCGCGAACATGTCCAATGGAAGTCTTCTGCATGCTGCCATCTTTCCTTACTGGGCTGTGGAAGGTTCTTGAAGCAACGCTGTTGGTCCGGAGCACTGTTGAGGCTACGCGTTGTCTGCTACGGGCTTATTTCTTTTTCGCCTGACCCAAAGTTTACGTTCAAACGTGGAGAAACTCGTGGAGGCTGCCACATCCTGCCAAATAAAAGAAAATAACTGAAATTTGGATGTCGATCCCATGCATTCCGCCGAACGAATGAATGAAAATTGCGGCTCTCTCCGCTCAACTCGAAGCTATTTTAGTAGATTGTATCATACTTGGGTAGTAATTCAATTACAGTAATTAAATTACTGTAATTTAATTACTTTTCCTAGTAATTTGTAATTGTAATAATTACTTTTGGTTGAAAGGAATTGTAATTTAATTACTTTCTAGCATCAGTAATTGCTAAATTTCAGGCACAATTACAATTACTTTTGCAAGATTTTGCGGCGGTGGCGCTTTTCCCCCCTGGCCACGGCGACGAGAGCACAACCGAAGCAATAAAGGGGGAGAGTCTCCCAACCTGCTCAAAAAAAGGGAAAAGAGGGATGGGATAGAACGGAATGAAGGATTTTGTAGACTGCAAAACGATTTAATGAAGAATTTGAGAAATAATTTGATAAATGAGGGCTTCATTCGCGTCCGTTTTCGTTCCTGTCGTAGTTGAATCTGACTCTTCGTCTCGTTCGCTTCCTGTTGCTCCTGTTTCTAGGGGTCTTTCTTATTTCTCATTCCCACACGGGGGCATGGGGGTCGAAGTCGAGCTGGTTGGCTCCGATCACATCATCCGGTCAAGGCGGGGAGGTTCGAGGTTTTCCTTACGCGTCTTCGCCGCTAGCATATTCGCTTACATATTTCAGTCAAGTTTGGGGACTTTTTTGTTCATGAAATTATTCTCTTTTCTTTATGAGTTTTTCACGTCTTTCTCCTCTATCTCGTATGTTGGTACCACTAACAGAGGGTCGTGCTACTCTAACATCGAGGCGAAGAAGCGCAGTTTAGCAACAACAGTTGGAAGTAAGGCAGGGTGAGTCGTGTTAATGAGACCTGCTGCTTCTTTGCTTCTTCGCCTGACATGACGATCCTAAATTTATTATATATCTCAGGAGCTTTTTTTTGGGTGTTACCGTGCACTGAATTAACCCAGAATCCCTGGCAAGAGAGTTGCTGCTATTGTGACACTAGTTTTGTGGAAGCGACCGCAGTTCCCGTGCTACGGTTACCCACGTCCGACATGTTACAAGTCCACAGACAGGGAGAGGCAGCGAATCATCGAGTTTTATGATACCAGTACTGTCGCATATTTGTTTCCTTGTATTATTTTTAAGTTTATTTTTTGTTGGTTTGACTTGGATACCATTTGCACAAGCTCTAAAGAGATTCACCTCGCACCTGTGAATTTTGTCGCCATTTATTTTTATTTTTTGAGAATATAAGAAATCATAAGTTCATTACTCCAAACTATTAAGTTCTATAATCCATTTAACAAATTTCATAAAAGGAAAGTACAATGCGTGACATTTATAGAGCGGCCATATAACTCGTTTACAGTTATATGGCCCAAGGTGGGTAACTCTCAGAAATAAGTAATTGTAAAGTAATTGCATTACTTTTAAAAAGTAATTTGTAATTTCAATGAACTACTTTCGCGTAGTAGTAATTGTAATTGTAGTTAAACTACTTTGGGAGCTAAGTAATTGTAATTGTAATTAAATTACATTTTGAAAGTAATTTACCCATGTATGGATTGTATAGGAGCAGCCGAGAGTTCAGGCGCATGCGGAAACACCTCTCGCTCTGCGCCGCGGGCTGATTGGCTCACTCGTTAGAGGGACGTTACGGCGAGATCATAGACTAGCCAAACTCTCTCCATATATGGCTCTGGCCCGGATGTCACCGTCGAACCTGCCGAACCTGCTCTGGGTGAATAGATAGATGAATATACGGCTACGTCACTCGAATAGGACGGGCTTCTGGGCCATCTAGCCAGTGCTTCGTTTTTAATTCTGGGACATTATGAGTTTCCTTTGATGGGCGACACTGGGAACTGAAGGGGCCATATAATAAATTTTTAATATGTTTACTAAAAAAAAAGTCAGTAGATTTTCTTGTTTTTCAGTGAATCAGTAGACCTGGAACGAAATCAGTAGATCTACTGATAAATCAGTAGACCTGGCAACACTGGGTGCAACCCCTTTCAAAAGATGCGCCCATAATTTAAATCATTAAAACATAAAAAAAAAGAAGAAAAAAAAAGAAGAAAACAGTAACTTTAGGCGCAAGCTGCACGCATAGTTTTGCACAAACCAGTCCCTTTCACGGAGGTGCGTCTGCACATTTGTACGGCGCGCACGAAGCAACGACACGAAGCCCGTGTTACGTCACGCGATCACGTGGTGTCTCGAGAGGTGGGTAAAGTTACTCTCAGGTAGTATTCGCCCGCAGTAACGTTGGCCCGGATATGGCTTTCCGGTCTTTCCGGCGGCGACAAAAGCGCCTCCACTCGCACTGCCGGACGACTGCGGTCGCACCTGAAACTAGAAGCGCGGCAGCCGCCCGCTCTCCGTTTCCATCTGCCGAACAAACGCTGGATGCAACTTTGTAAACTTCGTGTTCAGCTGTGCCACATTACCCGAACCCAGCGATTCACCGGTCGTCGATTGTACTCGGCGTTGTTTCCTTCGGACTTTTTTCTCGGGCGAGTTTCACCGAACGATGGGACCGAAGTGTTTTTTGGCCACCTTCGCCACACTTTCCGTGATCTTGGGCTGCCTCATAACTTCAGGTGAGTCACCTGTGCAGTTGAATTTTTAAATGCGAGGGCGACTCTTTTCTGAGCTGATCGCCGTGCCCTTACTTTAATTGGAAGACAATTCTCGTTGGGAATGAAGGACATATGATCAACGATGTCCCGAAACCGCTTTTACTGCAACCGTAACTACGGTGTTCTCTGGATGCATCGACACATTCTGAAAGCCGCGCCCCTTGGGTGACCGAGTCCGTTAGGCCTCAGGCGAAGCCGACGCGGCGGCTCTGAAAGTGGAATGCCGATGAGGAGAACACCGGACGGCGCACTGAAAATACTGGCACTCGCTTGACCGCCACTCCTGGGTGAACGCGAGAGTGCAAGAAAAGATGGTGTCTCGGTAGTTGAGAGTCTATCGCTGCTCGCACGAGAGCGAAATGGGACGTAATTAATCCGTGGAAAACTAGGTTTGATCGCCGAGTTAGTGCTGTTGATACGCGTGCGTATTTGACGTGCATCAGACCAGCGTGCTTCGAGGAGCGCGGGCTCCGGGTGTTGCGACGCTGGTGCGCGCTGCGTCCAATCGTTGTCGCTTTACTTATCTTCCGGAGTGCTGCCGTCGAAGGCTCGAAAGTAGGTATACATAAAAGGCGCTGTTGTCGTCTAGTGTTGCTTTGGGTGTTCTCGGACCTTGGCGCTTTTATACTTAAAAAGAAAAAATTCTTTGATCCAATTAGCCCAATTAACCACTTTGCTGCAAGAGAAGAACGGACACGCGGGAACGGAGCCTTTTCCAGTTGTTTTTGATATGCCTCTGGACAACTTTGATATGCCTCTGGACAACTTCTGCACACTTGGGCGGAGGAGTACAAAATCGCAGACCGAAACGCGCGACCTCGACTCTTCATCGAGCGAGAAAGCATGTTTACAAAGCAGGCGCTAAAAGGCGCACAGGCGCGATAGCAGAGGCGTGCGTCGGAACTATTGTAGAGGTGGTGATTTTGTGTCCTCACTCCCGTATTGTTTCCAGAAGAAAAAAAAAAGGAGGGGGGGGGGGGGGGGGCGGTCGACCCCCCCCCCCCCCCCCCCCCCTTTCCTGTTCGCCACTATGATTGGGCAGAAGATCAAACTATAAAGGGCATTTTATCGAACTTGTCCTCGCAGCCCGGTGTTTACTAGCACAGCATGGCAAAGAAATTCAACCGCCTAGCACAGTCTGAGCATGAGCGCTTATCTCTGGCCAGTGCTTTAATCGCACAAGCAGCGGCCTTTGAATCATCTTCAATTTCTCGGATCAAAAAGGAACAAGAAAATATGGTTTGTTGTCCCCACAGCTGAAGTGTACTGCTAGAGGCATGACTGTTCTATCTCCTCCCCAAGAGCCAAAAGCCATACAGATGGCATCATGCATACGGAATGCAAAGCTGTGGCGAACGCATTGCTATCCAAAATCTCAAAGCACGTATGGTGGGAGGACTTGTTTTTCATTCCTGAAGTCAAGCACAAGGCTTGTATGAGGCCAGGCATCTGCTTACTGAACAGGTGAAAACATCATGATGTGAAGAATATGAATATTAGCCAAACTAAGTATAGACCAACACGCGACCCTGACGTCACGCAGCTGCGGTGGCGCTGTCGACGGAACTGCGCATGCGCAGACTCTTTTATTCACGTGAATTCGGTTTCTGCGCACGCGCAGTGCCCACACCTGGTGTGGGCACACGTGAGCTTGTTGGTAAACAGCGTGTCGGTCTATAGTTTAAGCACCCTTAGTGTTTATAGTGCTACCTGCCATCAATACTTCATTTCACTTCCCAGCAGCAGTAGAACAGAGCTGACAAATGTGTGCTCATAGCTCCGGGGTCACTCACACTTATGTTGCAAAGACCCCATCAAAACAAGCCAAGCAGTGAAGGGGGCAGTACTTCGATGCAACTTTTTTTCCACCTCTTTATATTTTTGTTCTATCTTGTCACTCACTGCTAGTTCTTCTGAGACGCTTAGATAGTAAAAGGAGTTTAGAGGTATAGGCAGTCCACTTCGTGCTGTGTCTTGCACTCCAAACTTCTTTCCTTTTTTTTTTTTTTTTTTTTTTTTTGTGAGCACTGAAACTTTTTTGTGTTAGGCACTGGTATGTGGATGGCCAAAGGCAAATACATGTATGATGAAAGATTAAAGAAGAGTTGTGGGGAAGGATATGTGCTTGAATGAATTCATGGTCAGTACACTCGGACCTCCATTGTTCTACATGCATGATGCGCCCCATTGGCTTCCGTCCGCTTCCTGCCGCCATGACCTCTGGTTCCAAACCTCTATCCCCCTGGTGTGTTGCCTGGAGAAGATCATACCTCATTGATGTCCTAAATGGCACATAAGGCTTTGTAAATAATTTGTGGTATTGATCTCCTTCGTTCTGTTCGGGCAAAATCCAGGCCAACTCATTGAGAACTGTGCAGAAATTATGGGAGACATAATTTTAGTCTGATTTGTTACCTCTTATTACAATACAATACTGGCCTTCCTTTTCCTTTTTCTTTTTTTTTTTTTTACATTTAGGAGTTTTTAAGATTTCACATTATTTTGTTAATCTAGAATCCCCAAGGAAGTTGAACTAGGAGGCTTGAAAGTTTCGTGGTTGGGGCAGAATACCCGACACTTCTAGCCTAGGGGTCCCAAACACGCAGCCCGCCGGCCGCATGTGGCCCTTCATTCGCTGGGACGCGGCCCGCATGCATCCAGCTGTGACTCCTGGTTCCCATGTCTCGAGCGCTAGAATTGGCATGTTCCATAGTCATCTCAAGTCGTCAACCCATTTTCGCTCGAAAAGTAGCTCTGCTCTTTTAACGTATTCACATAGTTTATACCTATGTGTGTTCATTTGCACTTTGTTTCGCTTTATTTTTTACTTCCCAGCTTTTTTAATGTGCAGCAATTCCGCTACTAGGCTGCAAGCACAAGCTATTTTTTGAAGGATGCATCTCGGTTGCACAAGCTCTCGATCGGCAGGATTAGCTGCCAAAAATAAAGCCACAAGCTCGGGATTCTTGCCATAAAAAAAACTATCATAATTAAAAGACAGTATTTCTTTGAGTGTTCAATAAAAATCATCAGGAAAACAAAAACTGTCAAATTTACTGATCTTTTTTTTTTTTAGACTTGTTGAGCTTGGTTAACTCTTGAGTGAATTGCACAACGGGAATGACGATGTACTTGTTCTCTTGTTGCATCAGGTCAGGGCCCAAAGTAGTCGTATAAAGAAATCAAATCTAAAGATGTCACTGGCAGCTTCACAAGCTTTCTCTCTCTCCCCCCCCCCCCCCCCCCCTTCCCCTCCCCGTCTTACGTTCGCCCTCGACGTTTCCGGTGTCATATATCTGGCCCCCAGGCTCAAATGAGTTTGAGACCACTGCTCCGGACCCTTCAAGCTGCCCGACTCCAGGGGCACAAAGTCCTGTACGAATGTTTAGTACTAAAGAGACCATGAAACAATTTCACGAACCACACTAAATACCATAAAGAATTCTCTATGTTCAACACTCTCAGCTCGAGCTTCACGCTCCTTATCGTCATTCTTTTGTTTCATACTTAAAATGCGTGTTGAGGCATGAATATTGCATTTATTATACCTAGTTATTTTTTTTCGAGGAGTGTGTTTGTGGTATATTGTCCTATCGAGGCAGTTATATTTTGGGAGTGTAGAGTCTCTTTAAAGGGAAACTGAAGCGGTTCTCTATTTGAGAAAAAACATTTCAATGGCCTTCATTCGACCTCCAGGATCAGGAATATCAAGATTATTTTTCAATTTGGTGCACGGAGGCTTCAGAAATTAATTTTTAAAGTACCGCCGAAGCCCCTCCTTCCCGGGGCGTGACGTCACACTAGGAGCGTTCGAAATATCTGCTCTCGCGCATCTTCAGCGCCTGTCAAAGCTATGCACGCGCACTCTTGCTATTTTCAGAAAGGTCAGAAAGAGACGTCACGACTGGTGTCAGTGCTGGGAAATATACCTGGCAAGCTTGCCGTTGCACGTGCTGAACACACGAGCGACACGCGCTTGGAGGCCCGAAGATCCTAGTATGACGTCACGACTGGTCGAATGTTTTTTCGCTTTTTCTCGCTTTTAGTTGCATCTTCGGGGAAAACAAAAGTGATATTCAGATTCACGGGATAAAAATACGCCAGAATTCACCTCTAACTCGTTTTTTTCGAGAAGTGTTTCAGCTTCCCTATAATGCTCGTGTCCAACCCTTAAGCATTCGGCCGTGGCCTTGCCACAATTTAGCTCAACGAGCTTTGGGAGAACTTTAGTGCCATGAGGGGAACCACGATCCTCATAAGTATGTGAGCTACCGTATTTACTCGCGTATAGGTCGACCTGTTTTTCAAAAATCGCCTCATCAAAACTGGGGGGTCGACCAATACGCGAATCCCGGTATTATATTTTTCAACTTTTTTTTTTTTCGGGGGTCCCGAAGTTAGGGGGTCGACCTATACGACGTATCGACCAATATGCGAGTAAATACGGTAGTTTTTCTAAAGAAAAGAAGTGATCTGCTTTTATATTTGTAATTGCACACCCAAAATGAAGCATATCACTTAATTTTGTCCACTACCATCTCGCTGCCTCTTTAAAAAAAGCTCTGTTCAAAATGTACTTTTCTTTTTTTTTTTCTTTTTTTTTTAACTTTTGGAACAATTTTTGTTGTGGCCACTAATATGTTTGATCTTTGTAGAAGGGGGACCGGTGACCGGGCGTGTTGGTGCACCGCAGCTCGGAGCCTGTGGTGCGAAAGCTCGCACTCCAGAACACGAGGATCCTGGGTTCAATTCTCACCCCTGCCCCGTTTCGATATGGATGAGCATTGTACCGGCGTGTGTTTACATATCACTACAGTGTGATGCACATTAAAAACCCTAGGCTAGTGGTGCTACTGCACTGGCTAAATTTCTCATCTACAACATAAACCCGTGTTGCCACACCTCACAAGCAGGCCAACTTTACGCTGTCTAAAGGCAAACGTCTCCTTTGCTTTTGCTTTTCTTGTCTTTACAGCCGAAGCCATCCAGTGCCACCAGTGCGACTCCAACAACCACCTGCACTGCTCCGAGCAGTGGGACTACCTGTCGTCTCACGAACCTCAAAGCTGTGACTACCTGTATGAGGCCGCTTACTGCGTCAAGGCCACTGGAATGTACGAAGGTGAGCAGCCTGGCATCCAGGTTTTTTTTTTTGTTTTTTTTTTTTCTACAATTGAAAGTGTGTTGAACTTTTGTTAGAAGTTCAGTAGATCTTTGCCAAGGTTCGTCTAATGTCTTTCTTGACTACTGAGTCACTAGCAGCTATTTTTTTTCAAGAGTCAGTTGAGCAAGCCGAAATACATAGGCTGACCGGACGTCCCGTTTTGGCTGGGACAGTTTCGTTTAGAGTTTCATTTCTGCCTTCATGTTGTTTTGTCTCGATGAGGCCAAATGTCCCGTTTTTGCGGGAATGTACGTAGTGCGAAGCGAGTGGAAGAAAACCAAAATTTTTTTTGTATCGGGTGCAATCTGATAAGAATAAGCATTCTGTGAAAGGTTACCTTCCATAGAGTATAATTTTGAGCCCTGTGTTTTTGCATCTCTTTGTACATTCTGTTTGGGAGACTTTTTCTTTATTACTAAGTTTGGCATGCTTCAGTTAGCAACGTTTCTTTTCATTGTTTGAAGTGGGGAAGAAAGGCACTTATGTTCTGAACGAAAAACTCACCCTAAGAATACATCTACTAGTTAGAGTGTATTGGCGGTTGTTGCCAAATTGAGTGTTGTTTTTAATGTGCAGTATTCATTTAGCCCTTTTTTTCCAAAAATTTTATGCTGTGAAGCACTCTATCACCTGTCATTCTGCTCATTTTCAGCCAATACCGGTTACAATGTCAGATGTAATACTCAGCTATTTGAGTCAAGAGTAAAATAAAAAGGCATTGCCCATTTCACATTCAGTTAATTGCTTCTCCACTGTTGCCTTGTCCCTGACACACCTTTGGGTTAGCGTTGGTATGTTAATGTGGAGACATTGAGCCTAACCCGTGTCCTAACGAACGTCTGGACAAAATCCTATCGACTTTTGAAAGTGTGATTACATCCAATGCAACGTACCGGGAGGAAACTTCGGCCAAACTGCAACAAATCGACTCCAGAATTGTTGATATCTCTCAATGGGTAACAAAGCATGAGGAGTCGTTTTGCCAAGTTACTCGCCTGTCAGAGGAAGTGAAGTCTCCAGCTATACAAGTTTGTTCTCACCTCACGAAAAACGAAAGTGCTGCACATTGTTCATACATGTCGCGAAGTATTTTTTACGAGATTTGGTTGTCGGAGGAAAAAACAATGATTTTGGTGTTTGGAACGAGCATGTCTTTAAAATTCACTTACATATATTTTAACTATCCACATAAAGGGGGAAATTAGTAATGCTCAGCAAGTAGCCGGACTTTTTTTTACTATGGTTCTTGAGGTGAAAACGGGAATAGGACTGACTAACCAATCTGAAGACTGATATAAGAGCGTTTTCTAAGAAGCAGCATTTAACTGAAAGTTAGTTTAATGTGGTTGACGACCTAAAACAATTGGCTCTGAAGAAATAGCCTTATAGTTAGAGGCCTGCCTGAGCAAGGGCCTGAGACATGGGATGACACATAGATGAAAGTACAAACGCTTTTGTCCACTCACCTAAACGTAAGCGTTGCTGATACTGAGGGGGCTCATGATTTGGATTGTGCAAGCTAGGTTTTAGCAGAATTTATAATAATTAAATTTCTGAACTACAAAAGCAAAAGTGAGAGTATAGTTAACACCCACAAATTAAAGAATCTACCATTACCAAAAGTGCGGGTTGAGGACGACTTCTCCCCAGAAATGCAATTCATCCACAAACAGTTGAGGGGCTTTGCAGGAGCGAATAAGGGGAAAAGTAGATACTAGCTTTTGTACAAAACACTTTTTAAACAACACCGTCTACAAGTATGATGCTACAAGTGGTAAAGTCGTATTTCCCTGTCAAGATAATCTATCTTCAAACACAGCTAATAGGCAGCTGTTTCAGAACGTGTCCCTTTGAAAACATTGGCCAGTAATCTTTTTGTCGCCAACTTCTGTAGCTTAATACTGAAACAGGATAACCTGTTATCTTTCATTCACGCTTGTTCTGCTGACTTCATTTTGGGAACCGAGACATGGGTCAGCTCAAACTTGAAAAATTCAGAATTGACATTTTCAGATTGCTTTTCAATTTGCAGGAAAGATTGGTCTGACTGGGGGGGAGGAGAGGGTGGGGGGGGGTCATGATTGCCATCAGGAACTGCATTCCATTGTCTTTTATTCCGGTCAACTCTGTGCTTGAAATTCTGTGGATTAAAATAGGAATAGGTTTTCAAAGGTGCTTAGTTGGTGTATGCTACAGGCCACCAGACTCACAGGCAGAGTTTATTGACCACCTAACAGAAACCGTAGATAATATAGAATGAAAGTTTTATTAGTTTATTAGTGGGAGATTTAAATTCCCTAGGTATTGACTGGGCAACAAATGAAGTATTTAGCAACTGCATGAATAAGCATGAATGTTTAAATTTTCTTGAAATGGCCAGTTATTTTCCATTTTGTCAATTGTCACAACTCTAACATGTGGTGACACAGTTTTAGATTGAGTTCTCATAACTCATCTTAAGCTCACTTAGGTAAGTGTTATTGATAAAATAAGTGATCCTTGCATTGTGCATTGTACTTTTTCATTGCTTGTTGAAAAGTGTGACTTTTTAGGCTAACATATTTTTAATTATAAGAGGGCGGATGTGGAGTCTCTGATGTCCAGGTTGTGCGTGTTTTCTAGATCCTTCTCTGGTTATTTCAATGAGCGTTCTGAAAATGAGAATTGGGTGCTACTTCGGGATAAACTATACGAACCTCAAGCTGCCTGCATCCCCGTAGTAAATGCGGGACCCAGCCTATGTTCACCATGGTTTACAACCAAAATGGAACAAAACATCATGGAAAGGAAGGGTTTATATATAGACGTGCGAGGAACACAAATAGGGAAGAGCACTGTGATTCCTACCATGTGCATGTTTTAGTTGTAAAAAAAGAATTTGAAGAAGATGAGCGAAGTTTTTTCATTGTTCATGTCTTAAATATGCTGTGGACAGATCCAAAAAAGTTTTAGAGGTTAGTGCACCCACAAGCTGCTAATGTACTTCCATGTGCAGGCACCAATGGTTTTTTGCTTGATGATTTTAAATCGGCTAATCAGTTTAGCAAATTTTTTTACAGTGTATTTACTGAAGAGAATAACCTCTCAGATTCAACTATACTACAAATGTCAGCGGTCAGCAATATGAATGATATGGTTATTTCTACTCATGGGGTTGACCCAAACTAACTCTAGTCCGTGTCCAGATGACATTTCTACCAAGTTACTAAAATTAACCAAACTAATATCTGGTCATCAACTGGGAAGGCTGTTCCAACAATCTCTTTCTACAGGTGAATTGCCAGATGATGGAAAAAAATGCAAGTGCTGTTACTATTTTTAAAGCAGAAAATAAAAGCATATATTAATAATTACAGACCCATTTCACTTAACTGTGTTCCATATAAGCTTCTTAAACATTATGTTGTCTCAAATCATAACCTACTTATCATCCCATCATCTTCTTTTCTCTAACCAGCACAGTTTTCAATGTGGCCGTTTGTGCGAGACGCAATTGTTCGAGCCAGTCACCGATCTCCTTAATTCTGTTCACTCGTCCAAGCCTGTTGATGCTATATTTATTTATTTTGCCAACGCCTTCGATCGCATTCCTGATTACTGGCTTATATATAAGCTGACTTAAAATATAACTTACCCTTTTTCATTATTAAGTGGATCATAAACTTCTGAACTAACAGATGCCAGTCTTTTTTAATTGGCCAAGGCCTTTCCTCCTCCCTTCCTGTAACGTCCGGTGTCCCACAGGGATCGGTTCTTGTTTGTGTGATTTTTCTGATATATATCGATGATATTCATTCTAACATCAAGCCTTACACTCGTCTGTTTCCAGGTGATTGTGTCATTTATCGTCCAATTACAGGTCCTCTGGATTGTAAAAGTTTGCAGGATGACTTACACATTATCTCAGAATGGTGCACCACATAGTTGATCAAAATGAATACTAACAAAATAAACGCTATAACATTCACCACAAAACGACATTACACTTCACACATACTTAATGGGAAATGATCCTATCAAAAATGTGTCATCACTTAAATTTCTTGGTGTTCATCTCTCAACCGATCTTACCTGGAACATTCACACTCAACATATTACGAACGAAGTGTCGAAAATGCTCTGCTTCCTCACACGAACCCTCTTCCAGGCAAACACAGAAACAAACTTTATTGCCTACACTGATCTTGTGAGATCCCAACTGGAGTGTCCATCTATCATTTGGCATCCTCACTTGTTTTGTAATGATTCTATATTTTCTGAGAGATAATATAGAATCACTACAAAACAAAGCTGCTCAATTCATAGTTCGTGACTATTCCCGCTTTTCCAGTGTAACCATTATAAAACATTGACTTAAAGGGGGGACTCCGCCGATTTTTTGGTAGACTTCAATTTGGCTGGAAATTTGCACACCTCACCATAACCCCTTCTCAACTGATAACCAAAATATTTTTAAAAAATTAAATTTTTCCGTGAAGCTATTGAATTTTCAAGTTGCACCGGCCACGAGGGTTCCAGGTGGCGACTCTCTACTGGCAACAATGAAAAATCCCTACTTTTCTCTACCCGCATACGTCACGGATGTGCACGCGGACAAGCGACTCGGGCAGCCGTGAATTGGCTTTCCGGACGCCAGCGATCGAAATAATTTTTTCGCAGCTTCAAGGTTGAAAGTTCCTTTGCAATGGGTAGCAATCTGTGCTCCGCGATAGATTGTAGAGACAGTGCCGGGAAAAAGCTTCTTTTTTTTTTACCCTTGTTTTTGTTGGAGAAAAAAAAAAAAGTAAGAAGCGTTCCCCGGCAGCAATGTAGGCCAGCCACGTCAAGGTGCTTTTGCGCGAGCTGTGTGCCGAGAAAATTAGTGTCACGTGAAACATTTTCACTTTTGCTCAAAATACTTTATAGCCGTGTGCTGCGAGTTGAGTATCCTTCAGCAGCTGGCACAGCTTCAAGAGCGGCAAGCGCAAACTCAAGTCGGCTGTGACCATTACGACATCCGTCCAAAGAAGAGCGCTAATAATATCAAGAAATATAGTACGCACTCTAGCACTATAGTCAACATTTTGCGCAGTCACATTTGTTATCCACAATTGGTTCTGTGCTTCTTTTTTTTATAAGCACTATATGTATTTGTTTTCGACGTCGAATCTAGTTTGGGCTACTGTCAGAGCTCCACTCACGCATCTGAAATGTTGAAGACCGAGAAGTGAAACGTCTAAACAAAGTTCAAGTCTGAATTTGGACATGACTTTCGACATATTGCTATTCCTGTCTGCTATTACAGAGGTTTATGGAGGAGGTGTTGAGCTCCATTAATATACGATAGAGCCTTGCCTGGTTTGTCAAATGGTTGGCGTGCAACATTCTCTGCAGAAGAAGTGATGAAAAAGTCTTTAATTTATTCTACTATGGAAAATTTTTATATAGGGCTGAAAAGTTTTTTTTTTTTTCTCTTAAACCTTGAAAATATAATGTTGAGGGGAGGCATGCAAATTTACAGCTGATGGAAACTGTGCTTAACCAACTTAATATAAAAAAAAAATTTTTCAAGGTTTTCCTTCCCATGTGTTCTTGTGCGTGGGTGTTTGAACGCGTTGCATTCTACTTTAAAAGTAAAAAGAAAAAAACGGGTACACATTTTTTAGTAACTTTTGTCAACTTATTTTGAATTAAAAGATTTATGATGTCTTTTTGTACCTCACACACTATTGCATCTTCAAGCAAATACTCTTTATTTGGAGATGAACAGCGTATTTGTGTATTTTATATGCATTCCATTGCACCTTGATGTTTGGCTTGGTGGTTGCGAAGTTCTTTTAATCGTCATTTTAACACAATCTTCATGACCAGTAACCTGCCATCTGATCTACACGAATGCAATTCACCCCATTCTATAGATTCCATTGTTTACGAGAATCACAGTCTGCATGTCTTAGGTCCCAACCCAGCACGCACATGTCTATCGCTTTGGAAGGCGAACAATGTATGCACCAAATGGCACATTCCTTCAGGTCATGCGAGCGTGTGGGGCATCTGTACCAACATTCCGAGCATTTTCCGCGGTGCTTTGACAATTCGTCAAAAAATGTATTGCGTGACTCTTCGACCTTTCTTCGCCAGCCATCTTCTAATAAAAAGAGAACATATTTACTAGTGATATCACGAAACTAGCGAGCTGCGGCTTGAGCGTAGCGAGTTGCAAAAACGGTTTTATGAAAATTCCAATTCTCCCGTTTTTCTGTTTTTTCTTTTTTACTTTCTTATAGTTATGCACGTAGGCCAAGGTCATACTTTGTGCAAATATATATAATTATCAACTTCAAACAGCACGAACGCCCAGGTTTTCTTGCTGTTAGACATGAGAAAGGCGGACGCGAGCGTACCCGATTGCCAGCCGCGCGCCTCGCTGCACACAAGTGACATCACGCTTGGGCGGCGGGGAAAACTGGGGAAAAACTAGGGAGAACGATGTTTCGGTTTCGGCAGCAAACAAAATATCACTTTTTTAATCAACTAGAGTGAATCTGGGAGAACGAGATAGCATTTCAGAACCAAGAAGCCATCCACATTCAGATTATGCCTTTGGATTAGGTAGCTCGAAAAGTCGGCGGAGTTCCCCTTTAACTTATCGCCTCCTCATCCCAGCAGGCATCTTGTGTGCCTATCATTTACTGACAAACTGTACCATAGCTCTTCAGCTTTCAGCTTTTAAAGAGGCAATGCAACAAGTTTTGTACTTAGTGCAAATACTGCTTAGAACCGATCCCTGACGTTAATGACCTGTGAAACACCCATTCGTTTTTCACCACACGCAGTTGAAGTCGCAGAAAAAATGAAAGAAAAACGAGCAACGTTCACCCCCTCAACTCGCAGTCGGAACAAGTTGTCACATGACCTGGAGCTGATTATGTGCCGCCAATGTTGATCACAGCCACGCGCTGGAATTGGCAAGGCACAGCACACGCGCTGAGTTCCAGACATCGTTATGTTTCAGCTATTGTCGTCATTGCATCGATTGGACACGGGCCACTATTCGAATGCTTCTCGAGCTATTGATTACCTCGAGCCCAAATCGAGTGTCCACGCTATGCTCGGGTTGTTTTTTTTTTTACCGCATTCAAATATCGTCCCTGGGCGGTACTGCAACTGCCCAGCTACATCATCAAGTTTTGCAAAGGAGAGATTGATTAAAAACGCTCGCTTTTGTGCTCGAAATTACAGAGCAACAAAAAAGTTTCTTGGCCAGTGGCGTTGCGTGCGAGAATCCTTGAGTCCCCCTTGTGCCAGTAAGCTTGTGTAAAGTGAAAAACATTTCAATTGAATATCGTTGCACCGCCCCTTTAAAGCTTTTTTTTTTTTTTTGGCCAGCTCGCTGTAAATTGTTCCGTTTAGATCACCCTTTTAAAATTAATTCCATATATGCACAAGCTAATATGTTCAAAAATTTGCCTCTTCTCCTTGCCATTCCGGATTGGAACAGCCTCCCCAGGGAAATTGCCTCCATCAGTGATCATGAGTCTTTTGTTGCCGCCGAAAACGTGATGCTGCTTCAGTAGTAGGTTAACTTGAACTGTCATTTTTTTTCTGTTTTATGCACATATTCTTATAGTGCCTTTTCTATTTATATATATATATATATATATTCAATTACTGCTGAAAGTGCCGGTATGCCTCAAAATGTTTTGTATGCATGCATTGTATCTTTTTATTTTTTGCGTGTTTTGCTGCTTGGTTTTGTTTTCAAATTATTGTACCATGTTTTTTTCCCCACATAATGCCCGTGAGGGCTTTTAAAGTAAATAAATAAAAATAAATAGAGCAATGTGAGTGAAAGTTTGTACCGTCTTTTGTTAGAATCTGCCAACTCTTTGTATAAACTCGTATCAAGCTTTCCCCTTCTAATGCTATTTGACGTTCATGTGGTGACCTCGTAACTTGATTCGCCAACAGGACGTATTGGAACATTCCGCTTCTGCTCGTCCCGTGACCGTGGCAACTACTGCGACTACGTCCAGCGGCCGGGAGACGAGCGGGAATACCGCGCCTGCATCCACACGTGTCGCACGGACGGATGCAACTCGTCGCCCGGGCTTCGAAGTTGGACCTTCGTCTGCCTACCTCTCGCCCTCCTGAGCCTCGCCGTTTCCTTGCAGCTGCGGCAGGCGTGAAGTTGGCTTCGGGCCGGCTTAACCCTAAATCGTTTACCTCAGCGCCGGCTTGCAACTGTTTCCATGCCGGCTTGAGGCCGGCTTGAAGTTGGTTTCACGCCGGCTTGAGGCCGGCTTGAAGTCGTCTCTAACCAAGGCTCGAGGCCTCGTGCAAGGAGCTGCCACCACTTTGACAGTGTTCATTTGCCGTGGTGCAACCACCGAGAGAATGCGAGGAAACCTTTGGAAGAAGCGGCGGAAAACTTAAAACTGACTCGTGCCATAAGGCTATCCCGTGGAGTGTCCTGCAGCAGCCAAGTTTGGCATCCGGCGGCAACTGACGCACGTGTTTGGGGTTGTACAGCGGTGGACTGTCTTTTTAGAATTGTGAAAATAGGGAAAGGGGTAGCACCTCATTTTTTTTTTTTTTTCATTGTTTCATTATAGATTGGTTCACACGTTCGTTGCAGCGCTAAATCAACACTAGAAACAACACTGATACAGTGCTATGTTTGTGCTGTATCGCTTATACAGCGCAAAGTCGTCTCTACATTAGCGAGGTAAGCGTTATGTATTTCCATCGCCGATTAATTACGCCGAGGTGGTGCTGCGATGTATCTGTGAACAGGCTTTAAAGTTGTCTTAAAAAGATCACTGTAATGCCTTCATTTACACCTTTTTAAGGTGGTACTTTTACATTTTTTTTCATCTTACCTGCTCAAGTCATTAGATACCAGAAAATGCATGACAGGTGACAGTGTGCAAAGCTGAAGAGGGATTTATGTTGTGCCGTTGCTTGAAAAACAGTGCACTCGTGTTGTTGGGTTTCCATCCTGATTCACACAATCAGTCCCCCGACACACTTTATTGTAGCCGTCTTTACTTGCCCGTCAGCCTCTTGCTTTTTATTGTTGTTGAATTCTGTGCCTTGATGGTACGGTGAATCACTAACTTTGTATGAAAGCTTTGCTGTGCCAGTGCCGAGTTTATTTTAAACTACACTATTTTTAGTAACATCTCAACCATTCCTTTCGATTCCAGATATTGTGCATTTTTTTTACAATGTGGGGTTATCTAATGCTGATAGATCTGGGATCATGAATTGAGGATGCAGTGATCGAAATCGAGGGGTGCAAAATGATGTGTGTGTGCATGTGGGCTTGTTCTGCGAGAGGATGTTTTGAGCCTTATTTTTGTAAATACTGCCTGTTCAAAATAAACTGAGGAAAACGTTTTTAATTTTTTTTAACTCCAGGTGTCATGTCTTGTTTCCGCTTTTGTGATTTTTGTGACTAAGTTGGCTTCTATTAATTTTTGATAGGCTTTCATTATCAACACAGGCACAATAAGATTGTTATATTTGTAGATGCTTAATGATAGCAAAATGTGAAGGGAAGAAATCTGCAATATAATTCCACCCTAAAATGATGGGCAGTGACCTGGTGCCCCTTCACAACAACCACTGCTTTTATTAACGTGATAGCGTTTAGGAGCTCGTGCTGCACAAAACCCAGGACCAAACAATCGCATAAGGCAACGCGCGCAGCCATGTTTGACGTCACGCGTGTTACGTCGTGACCCCATCGACCCGCTAAATTTGGCGGGAAAATGTTCAGCTAAATTTAGCAGAAAATATTTCCGTCAAATGTAGCGGAAAATTTTCCCACCAAATTTAGCGGAAAATTTTCCCGACAAATTTTGCACGTCAATAGGGTCATGACGTCACGTGACTCTATCGACTAGACTGCACACACATTCATGGCTCTGGAACAAGCACGGGTTTACACAAGAAGGCTTTACGAACAGGGCCTAATAACGCTATCACATTTTTAAAGGCGAAGCTTAAGCGTCCCCCAAGTTTTTTTGTTTTCTATAACCTAGCACACGGCATCAACAATTCTATCTCAACTTTGAGCTTCAAAATTCATCGACGTAGTATTATTTAAAAAATCAGCCAGGTTAATATTCTGACTGAATCGACAAGCTGGATCTCGAGGAGAGGCCAGTGTCGCAGAATTTTATTTTTATGGGTATACATCTCTGGCCTATATTAATAACTTCCCCTGTGTGTTTTATCTTTTGTGTGCAAATGTGTGTGGAACAGGCAACGCATAAAGTCTTCATCGTGCCCTCCCCCCCCCACCCTTACCATGTTCATCCGTTCATCACCGCTAAGGTCACCTAATTTAAAGGGATGCTGAACCGAAATTTTGATTCCCCAAAACACACGGCAAAAGCGTGCAACGGGATGCTACAACACCAAAACATCACTCATACAGCGATATCTCGAACGGATGACCGTATTTTTCAAAAAAAGGCGCATTAGGCAGGAATGTTGACGTCATGTTTTTCCGAGGAGGAAAGGGAACGGCCTCGCGGCCTCGAAGGAGCGAAGCGAAGAGGGGAGGAAACTAAGTTCTTGACGTCACGCGCCTCGTCGGCCTAATTCAATCTCGACTTCTTTTTCCAAAAATACGGCCGTCCATTTGAGATATCGCCTTACTAGTAGTGTTGTAGGGATTGTAGCGTCCCGCCTACATCTCCAGCAGCTTTTTTTTTTTTTTTTTTTTAAATCCAAATTTTGGTTAATCATTCCTTTAAGTGACCTTTTCACCTAGGGCTGTGCAGACAAACTTTGATCGAAAAAGAATAGTACAAATTTACTGTGAATAGAATCTATTATTTTCAGATATATCACAGCTAGAAATGATTTCATAAAGTGGTGGGGTGGGCCATTTTGTTTGTTATTGTGTGCTAGAAAAAAATCAACTTGTCCAGTTTTTGTTTCTCCTAGTCCATGTGTTTCTTTCAGCGGCGTTTCTGGTGCATGAAATTCTCGTAGAAAACACAAGTATGCGAAGAAACAGTTTTATTTCGTAAGAGACATCACTTGTGTTTAATGAAGAAGGTCCCTGATAACAAATGGCTTGGGCGAAAAATAGTGTAACATTTCGAGCAGACATTCTTTTGTTCAGGGGTTTCCCCAGGATTCTAATCAAGGGGGGGGGGGGCCCAATGGCTCGGGAAGGGGGGGGGGGGGGGGGGGGGGGGGGGCGATGCGAGGCGAGGTTAGATAGAATATAAGACTGTTTCTTTTTTAGTCCACTAGCTAAATTACAGACGTGTATTAACCAAATGCTCATACCCGTAATGTATATTTCCCTTTCTCTATATATACGTACACCTGAGAGGTGGTTTTTCTACTTAATCTGAAAAAGAGATCCCTGCTTTTGTTTCTTTTTCGGTGCAGTTCGTTAATTGAAGTCGGGGGTTGACCTCTACGGAATCCGAAGAAGGTTGTCCTAAGATAGCGAGCAAAACTTCCAAACCCATCGAGCCAACGAACTGTTCCGCCACGTCAGGTGCTTCTTCGAGCACGTCGGTGCAAAGCAGTGAAGCCTGATAAAGTGCGCGTCGGAGTGAAGTGGTGAAGCTCGACGCCAGCAACGATGTAGTTCTGAAGACATTATTCTTCATTTTCAAATATTTGAAAAACTCTAATACTTAGACCAATACAAGCGCGCTATTGCATCACAATGCAGTTAGGGCAGCATTGGCCCTGTCCTGCATTCCTCTCCATGTAGGACGCAGTTGGCAGCGTTTGTTGTAAAGTTTTATAGCACACAAATAAGTAAGTGCTCTCAAGCTCAGTACTTTAACTTTTAATGAAGCGTTTTTTTTTTTTTTTTTGTAATGTTTAAATTATAAATGATTCAAACAACGAGTTTGAATCATCTATAATATTTATTTTTTAGCAACAGCGAATCATCATCGCCATCACGATATCAATGATCATCATCATCATCAAAACGCAACTGGCCTTCTGTAGACAAGCGTTTCGGGGCAGTAAAACTGGAAACGCCGATTGGCTGAAAAAAAATGACGTCACTTCCGTTTTGTTATTTTGTTGATTTTTAGATGACGTTTTAAAGTAAAAATATATAAAAAAGTACTTTTCTTGTTTTTGTTTGTTTTTACTTTTTTTTTTTTTTTTCTTGCTTGATTTTTTAATTTTGGCTGGTACGGTTCCGTTCTGTTCCGCCTTGGCGCCCTTGGCCGCGGGGGGCAATGTTTTTGTTTTCGTTCTACGTTCAGGTGTTGAGTGGCGACGTATTAACCGTCGATAACCAGCTGAAGCAGCTCAAGTTCTCGAGTGGAACGAGGTTGACCGTGCGCAGTGGCAGCCGTTCACAACAAAAACAATGTATGCACTCAGTTTCGCCGGATGAGTGCCGGCGTCGATCGCGAACCGCCAGAGCCGCCAAATACCTCTCGTACATCTCCAAGAACACCAAGAACAGGAGGTATTCATAAAGGTGAGTGTTCACCGCACTTTAGTGCTTCAGTTCCGTTTGGAGTCGTTTGACGTAATTTAGTCCGGTGCGTCCGGGAACAAAGGCAACAAAGGCGCTACCAGAAATGGCGGGAATGGTCGGTCGGTGCTGAATGCTGATGCCATCCAAGCGGATTTGAATTGGGTTTCGTGCGCTCAACGTGTCGATTTGTTTCTTGAGCTGCCTTTACCAACCGCTCGCCCGAAATCATTCGGTAGAACATGCGGACGTGACGGCTAGCAGAGCCCTCCGCAAAGGCTTAGGAGCGCGCTCACAATTTTGGAAGCTTCCGTATGACCGCAAGTGCTCAATAAGTCGCTATAGCAATGATTGCATGCCATCGACACAGATTTCGATCCAGTTTTTCAACGAGACAGGAAGGCCCAACGAAGCAAGCGTAGAATCTGATGCTTCGCCTGTCACTGTCTGCGCGGGAACACGCCGAGAGGCGCTTAAACGAGCTGCCAGGGCGTAATTAAAAAAAAAAAAAAAAAATCTAACGCAGGTCTGAACCACGCGAGGATCGTCTCGAAGCATGGTAGCCTCAACAGACGCTTGCCGCCACACGCGAGGAGAAAGCAGGAGGCCCGAAGTTTGAATGTGAAGGTAAAACGTGCTTTAATAATAATGATCTTTATCTGCACGTTCCTTTGTATGACTAAGGTGATCGTGCTGAGACACAATATAGCAGCGATTGCTCTCGAACAAAGGACAGGACAGCAGAAAGGCAATGAGAGGCAGGGAGATAACTGACCTCTCTGTTGTAAAACATTTTTCAGAGGAGGTGCGAAGAGCTGGCCCTCACTTTTTCAAGGCAGCCGCAGAACACTACGAGCCCCGAATCACTGCCGCGGCTGACTCACGCGGATGCTGTGCTGCACCCTGCACTGCACATGGTTCGAAGCACACTTCAGGGGACCAGTGCATGCCCCTGATGCATCGTCGCGGTATGTTTTGTACTGCTTTTCCTAGCGGTGCACTGAGCAGTCCAATCTTGAAGGGAGCACGCGAGTGCGTAGCCAGTGCTCCATGCAGCGAGGACCGCAAGCACCCGCGGAAGCTTGGAGCACACGCAGTGACGCCAGCAGCCGTGCACGCTGGCGTCGTCTGCTACTGTACCGTCCTTTCGTTCGGTGCGCAGAAAAAAAAAGGAGTGACCGCTCTGTTAAAAGTCTGATGGTGAAGGCATCCTTTACAGAAGCACTGTATGGCTCTCTGCACGCTAGAATGGGGGCTGTCGTTGATGCTCGCAGAGGCGTCGCCCACAACTAAGCAGACGACCAAAGTCCTGAGCAGGTGACTAATCGTTTCATTGTTGTTCTTTGGTAGGGTAAGGTAGATAATGTGCTTCTACTCCCAGCTTTTTTTTTTTTTTTGTTTTTATCACCATTTAGTATGTTACCATCAAAACAGCATCCTGGTGTTCACATAAATATGTGTTAACAATACCTATCGTCAAATATGTGACTCAAAGAGCCAACTGCGGCCGAGGATATCTTTTAAGTGTTCTTTTTCTCACAAAGATCCCTGGCATCTGGCATTGACTTTTTAGCCACGTACCTTGAGTCCACAAAAACAATGTGCTTTAGCTAAATGGTATTCACACAAAATACCTCCTGACAAGCTGCTTTCACTCTCGAGCCTCGAAGAAATTTTGCAGTTTGATTTGAACTATGTTGCAGGTTAAGGAGGTAGGGTCAGGGAAAAGAAGGTGGGAGAGGAGGAAGCGGGCACAATGCTGGTCAAACCCTCTCCCTTCGCCGGCGTTGCATCCATCTCGTCCTCTCCCACCTTCCTTTTTCTTCCCCTACCTTCTTGAGTTGTCACCGACCATATAAAAGGCATGCATTGATATCACTTGTTCGTTTTGTGGCCATGGCGCCAGCAAGGTTTGAGAAACGTATCCTGCTTCACAGGAATTCAGCACTCAACATGGAGAAACTATTGGCAGTGCTGCTGTAATGTCTTTGTCCTCGTCTTTTGCAGCCATCTAAAAAAGAGAAATATAATACTAGGAACACAGAGCAACGTCACGCGCCAGTACATAGTGTACTACGAAGGGCAGGTAAATTGACTGCGGAACACGATTTTCTCAATGTCCTCACGGTTCTTTCAGCCAAGTACATACAGATAAGATGATTACCATTAGAAATGTTGAACGCCAATCCGAAATGTTTTTTGGCGGTGTGCCGAGCAAAAGGACATTGCTGCAACAGAAAACATGTGCCATCCTCCGCCTTTGGTGCTTCTGTGTCTGCGCCGAGCTTCCGCAGCCACCAACAGTCAACGCTGCATGGACTGCCCGCCATGCTTTCATGCGTTCCATGTATGATTGGCACGGCATGTGGATGTGTCATGCAAGTGACATCAGCGCTGTTGGCAGTGCCATGCTGGTGGTGGTTGAGCTTTGCTAGGCTCTGACCATTGACAAGCTGTTTTATGCAATAATCGCTCTTGGAAGTCCCCAAACTGTTTTTAGCAATTCAAGTGTCAGATTTTTTTTTAGCTATGGTTATACAGGTTTTCTTTTTTAACATTTACAGATTTCAAAGAAAAAGTGAAAGTTATGACAGTTATAAGTTATACGGCCAGGCGGACATTAGATTCATGGAAGAATGCAGCTAAAAGTCCGTGTAGATCATGTGTATCATGCTTCTCTGCTGCGCAGCTACATACTTGCGTAGGACCACCCCCATGAAGTGGGGTGGGGGGGCTGCATGCGTGTGTTGGGTAGCCCCTCTTGGTTTTACAACTCTACCCTGTTGTAAAATTTTAGATTTTAATGCGAACAAGTTGATAACAAAAAAGAACTTGGTCAACATTGATCTTACAACTAGAGATGTAAAAGGAACAAAAATAGAGAACAGCAAAATGTGGAAGAAGACATCTCGCTTCTTTCATTTTCATTTGACTAAGTGACATTGGTCGGCGACTGTAAGACTTTTAATCACAATAGTTATACACCACAGGTCCCGGGGATGATGGCATCGATGAGCTCGCTTTCGCCTTGTCCAAGGTAGCAGCGGAACACTACGGGCAGGCCCGGAGTCACCGCACCGGCTGGCTCACGGGCGTCGTCCTGTACTCTGCACGGCACTGCGTGTGGCTTAACCGGCCAAGCAGAGGGTCACTGCATGACCTTTATGAGGCGTCGCTAGCCATTGTAAGTATATTTTGGACGCTCGTGTCAGGGGATGTACTTTTGTGTTCTACAACAGAACGTGTTTGGTGGCGGTTCAGTCTTGCCAATTCAGCCATTTCGAAACATAATTTTGTGGCGACTTGGCTTAGGTTTTCTGGCTCGGCCGTCTTTTGCACCAGTGTCTAGGCTCGGCGTAAGCCTCTTTGTTCTTTATTGTCAAGGCTAGTGTAATTTCTGCTACGCCGTCGAAGCAACTTCTGCATGCGAACAAGATGCAAGACGAAGCTACATGCTCGTGCACAGTGCATGACCACATGTGAAAACTAATAGAGAGTTTGTTTCGCTGCAATCGTGCCCATGCGCACCCACTCGCAACATGAAGTGAGTTTGTTTCGCCGCCGGCACTCCACACGTGCATGCGCTCGCTGCGCCCTGAGAATTAAGTGTGTACCTGAATGCACTCCCGTCATGCATCACTTAGGCAGGGAACAAGAGCAGATGACTGGTTTGTCCACCATGCGGGACAGTAGAACTGCAGAAAAAGTGAACTTTCTGCTAAAAAAATGACGTCCCACGAGCAACAAAATCGGACACGAGCTTGAATTGTGTGTCTGCTATTCTATAAAGCAAGCAATCCACAACCTGTGCTTAACTTGCAAGTTTTCAGTCATTTTGTTGCCGTACAGACTTCCAAATACACCGGTGGATAAAGAAAGGTTCACAACGAACATCAGCCACTGCGAGATATCTCTCACCATGTGTGCGGGGCTAAAGAGTTGGGACGTTAGTTGACAAAGCTTGCCCGGCAGAAACCTGCGACGCGTCCAATCGGGAGCCGAGAAAGCTAAACTGTTTTAACCCGAGGCTTGGATAAAATCACAGTGTTTAAAAAGGAGCCATGGAATTTATTTTGGGTGGGATAAATTAATTTAGATTCATATTTTGCTAATACAGTTGAACCTTTCAAGAACGAAATTCTCGCGGCAACGAAGAAATCTGGCGGCCCCAGCGAACGTCCATAGGGTTCAATGCATTTGCACCCTCTCAACAGCAAAGAGTTTTAAAAAGCAGTCCCGCATTAACGAAAGTTTGAGGTAGTGATCTGCCATAGAGTTATTCAATGTGTCTACCAAGTTGGCATTTTCAAATTCCCTGAGTTTTTCAGGTTTCCTCTGAGTACTTTTGTGAAATTCCCTGAGTGACACAGAACTTTGTTTTAGGTCAAGATGGGCGGACACCATGTCGCCACATGCTGTCACTCTCTAAAAAGCATGTCATAAAATAAAATAACAACACAATACAGTTTTGATGATAGCGAGTAACTTTTATTATATTTAAAAAGAAAACAGAACGAAGTGGTTAGTAAAATTGATAGCGAATAAAGTATAAAAAAAGGTAAACTGAGGTTTACGTGACCCCCCCAGGTCTGGTCATGTGACCTCGGGGGGGGGGGGGGGTGTCGAGACCTGACGGCGACGCCGCTCAAGCCGGAAACGGGAGCAATAACAGGGAAAGGAAAGGGTAAACAAACATAAGGCGTTCAAAGTGCGATTGCTCAACCCTTGTTGTCAAAACACTCCACCTAACAAAATCCTAAGGAGTCGCACAGTGACAGCGGTGTTTGCACGCGACCGTTCCAACAGCGGGCACTCCCTGCCCTCCCCACGCGCGCAGGTGCCCTTCCCCTTGCTTTTGCCATCCTCCACTTCTTTTGTTTTTATTGGTTGCTTTTTTTATTTTTTATACAATTGCTTTTTCGCTGCGCATCCCCGCGTGCGCGTATGGTGGGTTGGCGGTCTGCCAGCCTTGCAACCCGAGCTGTGTGCTCCCTGCCGGCGCAATCCAACCTATAGGGAGAAGCGAAGAACGGCCTTCGTTCGCTACATCGAGTGTCCCCTCCATGGGAGTTATGGGCATTCGATACAGAAAAACAATGCAATTTTCTAGGGGATGTTTGGACTGTTTCATATAAACAATAATTCGAAATACGGGTGTGATATAACCGGGTTCGACAGTATGTTTGGCCGTCTCCCTTAATTTCCAGATACCTTCGTTCGTTTGGCACGTATATCCCCGATGCTAGAAAGCGCCGACGTTGTGTTCGCGCTGAGAGTGTCCGACAGTGCACATAAATACATGTGCGAAGCCGTTTTGGCACCGTTTTTTTTTCCCCCATAGAAATGCATTACCGGAAGTCAATTTTCGACTGGTTGCTGTCTGCTTCAACTTGCGTCGGCACACTAGCACCACTTGAACCTCTAGCGTACATTACAATAACCCTACGCGATCTGCAACATTTTTTTGTCAAATGAGCCAGTTTGGAACCCAGAATTGTGAAAAATGGAGCAGTACACTCGTCCGACAAGTTGGGCACATACGTTTCCGACAAGCATCGGCGCGGCCATTGCTGTTTACATTCGGTCAAATAATGATGACAATGGCAACTAGATGCTTTTTTTGGGGGGTTGGTGAAAACAGCGTTTTGCTAGCCCATCTGTTGGCAACTACCTAGGTACGTGACGACACCGCCTGCTGCTATTTCGCTGTCCGCCGCGTGCACGCCGAGATCGCTCACGCCTTGTTTACTACCTTTCGTTTGGCCTGTCGGAAAGATGCCGCCTCCCATTAAAAAGTTTAAGTTTTTTGCACTTCAGGAGAACTCTGCGATCACTGCCAAAGCCAGAAAGAAGTCTGATATTACAGAGGAGTTCAGTATCCTTTGCTTCTCGCTTTCTACGATTCTGAAATCCAAGGACAGCATCATGAAAAGTAATAGGTGTGCTTAGTTGTCCATTTCTGCAGCAGCGAAATTCTTGCGAGAACGAAAAACGTTTCCTTCCCCCGCGGTTTGGTTATTACGGGTGTGATGATGTGACTTAATTTGGAAAAGAAGTGCAAGTCAACCCATGGATCGGCCTGGAGGGAGAAACGAAGAAGAGAGATTTTGGAGTGCGTGCTCAGAGGGCGTGAAAAGGACTGGCCGGGAGATTGTGCAGAGAGCGGAACGACACGATCGGCCAGGGCAATCGGCGGCCTCCTACTGTCTGACCAGCAGCCTGTTCCAGCGAGGGCAGCGAATAGAAACCTACGCTGCCCCCGGCTTCCTACAGCGGGAGCGCTTGGTGCGGTAGCTCTGGGGCCGCCGACGGAAGCCAACCGCTCCCGCTCCTGACTTCCAGCCACAACCGTGGGCCGACAACGACAGCACAAGACACACTGCTGCACAGGGACTCAAAGACATGGTGACTGATGCGTTTTCCTTTCTTTAACTAAGTTTTCTTTTTTTGTATAAGCATATGAACCCTTTGATTTTTTTTTGTAAATATAAGTTTTCATGAAAAACGAAGGACATTGTATTTTGTCAATTATTAACCACAAAGAACCCTGTGACAACGGGGTTCAACTGTAACATATTGTTCAGTGGGCCGAGAGTCAAAAGTCTGCTTTTCGGTACGAAAATTCGAAAACATGACGGACTATTTTGTACTTCCTTTCCCTCAAAAGCTTTCCGCATTTTCAGTGCGACACATCCGTGGTACCCAAAGCACGTGAGCCGGCCCTAGCTCACATGTTAGACTCGACCACTGTGTCACCATTGGCGACGAGATGTTTTGGTGGTTTCATCTCGCGGACGCCTTCCTGTAGCGGTGCTGGTAGGATCGAGCAGACGACGCGCTACGTCAAAGCGCCGAGTGGCTAGTTAGTTCGCCTCTATGTCGATTAAAAATGGATTATTAACCCTTTGCAGTCAGATACTCTGACCAACTTAAAGGGATTGTCCGGTCAAATTTTGTATTCGAGAAAACAATTGAATATCATTGCTATTGCCTCGAGACGCATCGTACGTGCAAAATCTGAATTTTATATGGCCCTCTGCGTGAGTAATTGAATTTATACTGCTGCAATCGCATTCTAGCGTAAACGCGGTTTTCGTTGGCAACATTGGAGCTCTGACGTCACAAAACACAAAGCGAGCATTTTTGTCTCGTCGATTGCCTGTGAGTGAACGCCTCAGCGTGCTTCGTTTTTGTTGTTGTGCTCGACTTGTTTCGTGGTTGGGTGAGATTTTTGTTGCGCGGTTGGGTGCCATATCCACCGGGCAGCACATGCGAGCCAAGACATGACGTTCCGCACTTTTCCGCGAGACGTGCAGTGATGAGCAAAGTGGATCGTCGTCGTGCGTAGGGACTGGGTTCCCGTCAAGATCGAGATCCCGCTTATGCAGCAATCATCTCACAGAAGAAAGCTACTAGCTGAGTTCTAAGCGGACAGAAGGGTTGTGAGCTGAGGTGCGATGCTGGTGCCAACGATATTGAACTACGTCCACCCACTCCTCGCCCAAATCGGGCCAGTCAATTTAGGTCTGTTCGATTCCCCTGAACTGGCTGAACTAGTTCAACGTCCGTGCAGAGGCAGACGACAAGAGCAGACGGCGATAGCAGACGACACTCCTCGTCCGCCTCTGCTCGCGGTACCATTTTTCGCAGCTCTTGCTCAAATGTGCAATGTTTAACAATAACGCCGATACAGAGGTTGCATTTCCTCTCATTTATGATAATAACGTACCCGCGGTGGATGCGGAATTGAGATCAAAACCGGGGGTAGGAATTTGCTTGATTATGATATTCTGAAAGCGTTTTGGGCACCTGCTCGCGTAGGTTTAGCTCCCTGTGGTGAGTGTTGAAATATTGGCTCACGTAAATTGTTTATTTTTGATGCTATGCGGAGATCCACAGTGTTGATATTCTTACTTACAGACACAGGAAAGGTATTGCCCTCATGATAGTCCCCGCCTTCAGTTGCTCTTGGATGCATACTGAAGATCCGATACATTTCAGAGGTCTGGGATTTAGTGCGTTGACACTCGCATGTCCCCGTAGCTGAGCATAATACTGCATGCTTTGTCCGCTGGTATCTTTGGACGCCCACTAACGGGCCTGGGAAAAATGCCGAGAATCGGCATTTTTGCCGATTCTCGCTTCAGCTTGACGCCGAAGTTACGGTCGATAACAAGACGCTACCGTCAAGCCTTCCTCTTCGAGGTGACCGGTATGCCGACCGCGCGCTGCCGCCAGCGACTCCCGACGTAAAATCATCCTGGTGCCGCGAACCTATCGTCGAAATGCAAAGATTCCCTTTGAGGGGCTTTTGTCGCTACCAGAACTTCCTGGCCGAATCGAACAGACCTTGATTATGCAGCGAAACCGAAACCAACAGCTAGGCCATCTTGAAATGATACCAGAACTTGTATTTAGCACGCGTGCAGCTCGATATCCGTTTGACCCGCGTGTGAAAATGGAACGTGACTACGATTCACCAAGCTCGTCCAAGTCAAGTGACGACATGCATTTGAACGGTTCGCCGTTTGCCTTCGGCCCGCGTACATCGCCTCTGGGGGAACGACTCGCAGCCTCATCACCGATCCAGTGGATCCGTCGAAATATCTGCCCAGATGCCGCTTCGTGTACCTAGCTGTGCCACTTCAGAGGCGAAATCTGCATCCTTTGCTTTGCAAGCGCCCCTAGTTCGATCGGCGTCCGTCGCAGTTGTGTTTGCGCGAAACAGCATACGTTTGCTCGAAGCTTATGGCTGTCTGCGAGTAATATCTTGCTAAAAGGCGTGACTTTTTCTGCACGTGCTTGGGAACTGCATTAAAAGAACCGTGTTTCAGTAGGGTACTGCCTAGGAGACTATATAATTCGAAACAAAATACAAGACACCCGTCGACCAACGCTTGTTATCCCCACCATCTGACAAACCTTTGTGTTTTGTGACGTCACACAGCACCTACGGATGTCAGCCATTGACACTGGCGAAATTTGGGGTGCAGTTTCGTACATAGGCTCATGAAAGGTTTAATTAATAACGGGAGATCATATACCAAAATAAAAATGACGTTTGTCTATATGAAGGCTCCCTCGATGTAACGAGCGCAACAACGTAAGTACTTCCGGTTTCGACCGGACAATCCCTTTAAAGGGCAACTCCGGCCAAAACTCAAAATGAAATAAATTACTGGTATCGTTGTAGACACACAAAATACGACCTCAGCCAAAATATTACGTCCGTGGGACGCCGCATTCTCAACTAATGCCGATAATAAAAATGTGACCTGCCGCAAGCCGCTGCTTCTTAGCGGGCGGCCAGCGGGTTGGCGATCGCTAAAGCAACATTGCGCCGTGACGTCAGTATCGTTCTCTTTTCCTCCGGCCCGGGCGTTGCGCGGAGTGCGTTTCTTCGAGCCGCTACCACCGGTACTTCGGCTTGTGATTGGCGTGTTTAGCCGTTGATTTTATCTGTAGCCCATGTAGCTTCGCTATAGCCTTTTGTTTATCTGCTTGTGAGGACTCCAAGACTCGTTTTAGCGAGCAACTTGGTGCGCCCAAGACTGCCCAGCTGTTCCTCAAAAGATGCCGAGTACAACTTGTAGCGCTGTGGGCTGCTCAAACAACCCGCTGTGCAACACGGAGGTGCTTTTTCACTAGTTTCCAACGGACCAAAAACTGGAGAAGGTGTGGGTGAACGCTGTTCGACGAGTAGACTTTGGACTTCGGCTTTTAAGCGCCCGAGGAAAAAAAAAAAGAACGAAAAAACAGACATGTACAGCCCAGCACACATGTGTTGGGGTGCCGCAGCCCGCGCCGGAGAACCTCAAAGCTTCGTGTCTGGGACTGTCCCGCAGCGCGAAAGCGAGGGGGCCCTCAGGGCGTCACCCATCCCTCCGTATCCTTTCATCCTCCTCCTCAAGAGCTGCGCTCTAATCCGGCGTTACAGGGAGTCGTAAACGGCTTTTTTTTTTTTTTTTTAAGTTTTGAATATTACTTATTTTACTGTAGGTAGATGTGGGAGTTGTTTACGAAAATATTTTTGGAGACCGCAGAAGCAGACCACACGAGTCACCCCCCTCGCCCAAGTGAGGGGTGACCTGCAGTCTGTTTGGAAAGATACTGTGTCTGTAGCTTTGATACAAAGATATCTTTCAAAGATACTTTGAAAGATGCTGTGTTTGTAGCTGGCTTCAGTTGCTGCGTTCGAATGTGCATCTATTGACATTTGGTGACCGTAGCAGTCAATTTATTGTGCAGGAGGAGACTGGTGGGGCGAGATCAGGAGCACACTTGGGCTCTCTTGCAGTACTTTTCAATGCGGCCACAGAACATGAACATAGGGTTCTAAATAAGGACTGAACGCAGATGGCCGTTACTCTCTGGCGCCTATTATTTTGACAAGCCTTCCATGAAAGGCACTTTTTTTTTTCTCACCTGGAACATAGGGTTGAAGTATCAAACCGCCCGTGCGAGCGAAATAGGATATCACCAGAACATCTCGGTGCTAATAATCGCAGGGAAGATGAGAAATGCAGGGCATGTCTTATAGCTCAGCCTCCAGCGAGCACTCATCGCCTTTCCTCATGCTTTGGCTGTGCGTGCATTCTTGAGGTTTGCAAGATGCCTAAGCATTGCTGAATGGAATGCGAACGGCTGGGTGTGTCTTACAAATGTCCCGCCTCTACGCGTTGCCGAAGGTAGGAAGCTCTCTTGCTGGAGGCAGGGCAACTGAGGCTTCTCATAGCCATTCTCATCTTGTGAGGGACTTAGTCATTAAACCATTTTAAAAGTGGCAGTGCTACACCATACAATAAAGGTTTTTACAAAAGCAATATGTAATTGATCTTGTCAAAAGCTAGTTATAAATAGAAAGAAAAAATATCAACTTGCTTCAGTGAGAAAAACGGATGGTGCCTTGTATTCAAGTTTACAAAAACATTTCTACTGACAACCTAAAAAAATTCCATTGAATGGTGCTGTTTTTAACTGGACTAAAAAGACCCATGTCTGTGTACAACTATCTATAGTCCGTTGCAACCTAAGGGCGAGGGTAAGATGGGCCGGGGAGGAGGAAGCAGACGGAACGCTGGAGAAGAGAGGGGGAAACCTTCTCTCTTTAGTGTTCCGCCTGCTTCCTCCTCCCCAACCCGTCTTACCCTCGCCCTTCGTTCTTAGGTTGCAACTGACTATAGACTCTTTCAAAGCTTATATTAAAGACCCAGGCAGTGACTGTCTACCCTAGATATATCACCATCGTCCTTCACTGGTGCTATGAGACCTCTTCCACAACAATGAAAAATCACAACTTCTCGGAGATGAAATGCATGCTTTAAAGGGGCCCTGCAAGGGCTTTTTGACTGGTTTTTCATTTGCACTGAACGTAGTCAGTGCAACTTAATTAAACTTTTCTTTTCTCGAATTTCGCTTTATTTTAAAAGTTATAGGCAAATTAAAATTACAAGAACAAGCAAAACATAACCTTTTTCATGACGTCCTTGGTCGCTTGAGTGGCCATGAACTAGAAGAGGGCTAAGTGAGCTCAGCGAGCGCTCCGTGTCAACAGCTCGAGAGGGCGCCATATAGCATGTTCTGGAAAGGCTGTATGAAGCGGGCAGCCAGGGGGGCTCGCATTGCATTTGCTGCACGATTAAACACTAATTCGGCATGACACTTCATTGGTCACAAACGACAGCAAACACGGGGTAAAGATCAGTTCAGAACGGGAGCCACTTCGCACTGCCATACCGCCAAAGGGCCAAACCGCAAGCCAAAGCTGCTCGCCGAAGGCCTTTGAAATGCTCGGAACCGGTCGGATTTTCGACTGCAGCGCCGCCGCATACACCCGAGACCTTTCTACGCTTGCCCTCGTCATTGCCTGATCCCACTACACCTTTCTAGTATGCGCCGCCTTTTCCACCGCTTGGGTGGCGGGTATGTCGAAGGGTCGTTTCTTGTTTCCGAACTTTATAAACTGCATTTGTTTCTTTTCTGGTCTAAAATACTGAACAAAAACTACTTTCACAAATAGTTGAAACAGTTCTTTTAGCTTTTAGCGGCTCCGACCACTAGTAAGCCCAGGACCAAAGACGTCGCATTTCGCGCGCTTTCAGCAATGCGGGTCGCCCCCGTAGGTAAAGGAGGTTTCTGCGTCGGCCGGTTAAAATATGACGCACTGACATTTAGTTACTTTCTCCGTGCCCGCTGGCTTGCCTGAACGCCAAGAGACGTGGAAACCGCAAAAAAGGTAGACGCTTAAATATGGTTGCAGGGCCCCTTTAATGAAGGGGCAAACAAATCAGTGCAGCCCTTAAAATAAAGATATAAAATCTGCACTCGCAGAACAGCCGGGCTTTAATTTCTTTATTGCTTTTAACATTTCGGTGTTAACTTGTTTGATTGCTGCAATCTTGTTAGTCAATATTACTAAAAAAAAAAGATGTGCTTGCATTGACCAAAGTGTGAACATTGTTCACACTCTAACAATCTTCAGTCCTGCTTGGCAACGGTAGCAATACATGTACCAACGTTCTCAGATCTAGGTCAGTTGACAAACTTCGGAAAACGCCCGACGCCTTTTTGCAGTGTGTCCGCTCAGTGGCATCTGCCGCAGTATCAGCCTGCCCTTTGGACAGATCCAGTGGAACGTTGGATGCACATCACCTGCAGTGGAAAGTGATTTTTTTTTTTTGTTGTTGTTGTTCTTATAGTAAACTTAAGGCCTGCACAATACTTAAAACAGAAAGAGCGTTGTTCAAAAAGCGTTTTTCGTTGACCGCAAAGGAATTGGCACTAGGAATGCTATCCGCCCTTACCTGCTTGTGCACCGGCAACAGAGAAAAACTGGTTTAGAGTGCAGCTCTTAGGTGCCCATTTCCACGCTTCATTGCGTCGCCGTCTGCATGATCACCTTGCTGAATTTAGTGAGAAATTGAATTTGTGTTGAGGTCACGCAATGTCAATTTTTCTGCTAAATCTAGCTGAGGAACTGAATTTGTTTGTGAGTGACGTGGCATGAAGTCATGTGCCATTTAGCAGGGTTGTTTCCTCAACACCAATTCAGTTTCCCCGCTAAATATAGCGGGGAAACTGAATTGGTGTTGAGGTTGTGTGACATCAATTTCCCCACAAGATTTAGAGAGGAAACTTAAACCGCTAAATTTAGCGGGGAAATTCTTGCTAAATTTAGCAGGAAATTTAGCGAAAATTGCCTGCTAAATGGGAGGGGGAGGAGAGGGTATGGAGGGATAGGAGAGGCATAACCTCCCCTCCTCCTACTCAAGCGCTGCGCTCTAATTTCATGTTACAAAGAATTGTAAACGTCTCAATTTTTTTTTTTTTTTTTTTTACTGCTGCTCTTCTATGGAGCTTGTCAACCGACAGATCTAAGAAAGTTGATGTGTACGGCCCGAGCAGAGGCATCTATTTTTCCAAGCACAAGTTTTGAAACCCCTTTTTTATTGAATTCTTTCAAGAAGAGACTCCGTTTAGAGGAAATGGCAACGAATCTCCTTTTAGCAAATTTGTTTTTAGAAAAACAAAATTCACCGAACTTGACTGCTTGCTCTAGCATTTGCTTGTCCTGCCTTGGCTGATGGCAAAGCCGAGCCAGTCAGTCAGTGAGTCGCTCGCTTGGGCGGCCAGCATATTCAGAGCATGATCGACAAGTTTTTATGCATGCCACATCCCTGCTGTTTTCGCAAGAATAATTTTACATTTTGCCTGGTTTACAGCCCAAGAGAGGAGAGTGGGTGCTCAAGCATAGGTCAACATGCCTCAGTGCATCATGCTCTAGTCTTTAGCATCTTCCAGACTTGCTTATGTTAATCGAATGGATTCACTAAACGGTGCTCCTTTGCAACTGATTGTTGTAGGCTGCACCTACAACAAGCAGTTGTAAGTGCAGTACATTCTATTAGCATAAAATAAAGGCACACAGCCAAATCACCTCAATGATGCCTAGCAAGTGGCGAAATAAACTTCCCTTTAACAAAGCATGTGTAGCTACCGAGACATCACATTATTCAGAGTGCAGATGCAGAGTAGCTTTCTTTTGGCCTTTGCATCATCTTCCATTGTCCAGGCACAAGCGGCACTGCCGAAAAAGACCAATAAATAAATATTCAACACGGTGTATTATTCACTTTTGTACCTGCAACATTACCGTCCTATATAGATAGTCGACAGCTGCCCCGGCAACTTTCCGGACATGCGGAATCAAAACATCTCATCAACACAAGTGCTATTCGCCACTGCCGTAAGTTGAAGAATACTTTTCAAAAAAATAAAAGTGCATCTTTCAACGCAGTGTCTAGCGTAACCTTACCCCAAGATTTCGAGTTACATCTAAGGTACCCAATATGAAAAATAAAGTTTGGTCCGACGTAACCTAATATGAAAATTAAAGCTATGACAAACAGAACCCAAAATAAAAGTTAGTTACGTCCTATGTAACCTACGCAACGTAAGTTTCGCTTTACGGCCGATGCACGACATAAATACAAAAATGTCATGACTTACTACTGCATAACATCCGATGCAGCATTCATTAGTCGGTTAAAATCTCAACTCTATCCGCACCTCCAGCTTTGTTGAGGGGGCTGGAGTGTTCCTCGCACATTGAAGCTGCTGAAGCTGGGCATCCCCTCCTCTAAAACAATTTACTCAATTGTAGGTACTGGAAACAGAAAATGAACCAGTGTGTGATGGGTTTGGGAGGGAAATAAACGTGGACAAAAGGCAACCAAGCAATTTAGAAGAGACTAGACCCGCCGAGCTAACGTTCTGTACGAACAATCTGAACCTTATATACTAGTTCTTGTACAAATACAAGATACCCACGATATTCCGCGATAAGTAGCCACCAAAATTAACATACCAATTAGGCAGTTCTGTTCGTAAGTCACGCAAGTCGCCGAACTCTCCTCGCAGAACGTTCGCGAAACAAAAACGGCCATCTTGGAAAAATCAAAATAGTGATGGTGATAGCGATGGGGCTTCTATAAAAACTCGGAGAACAAATGTAATCCCTTTATCCGATATATAAAAGAAAAAAAAAAAAAAAACTTATGGAAAACATTTACCCTAGCAAAAACTTCTTAAAATAATGGTAAAGTTTAAAATAAAGATCTAAAGTTTAAACATTTAGTTATGTTAAAATACACTTGGTAAAGTCTATAAATCTTGTTTCAGTAATTAAATGCAAACAGAACACAGACTTCGTAACCCTTCTTGCTGATAGCCTTTCCTTGCAAGCGTGAATGGTCAAAAGCCGATGCCATGATAGGCAGAAATACTGCGTAGATAGCACGCTTAGAGTGTCCAGAAAAAATTAATGGGGGATGTCTACTTTCCATAAACCTTTTCGGAGTTTACCCTTCCTGCACGTTTCACAGTAATCTGCGGCATGGATTCACCACACTGTTTTTGTGAAGTGTGGCAAAACGTATGCACCACCATAAGAAAAAAATATGACAATTTATTTAAGTACAACAGGAAGCCACGAGAGGGGAAGATGGCAAGATCCGATCCACCAAAAAGGACTGGGCCTAAGAGTGCAGTCTTGAAAGGCTTGGCCCATGAATCAGGACGATTTGAAACCTATGATGAATGCAGAGAACAAAGGGGTCGATCAGGTGAACAGTAACTAATATCTGACCCTAACATGCAGGGCAAGATCTGTTTTGTTTACCTAATATTTGTTATGCCACCAAAAACCAACGTTACTAAAACACTCAGCTAGGAAACTCAACCTTGGAACCTGGACTGCTGGCGTCCACCGAGACCAAACTAAATATGATAACAGTGCCACTCTTTAGCAACAAGTCAAAACATGAAAGTTGCCTTGCATAGCTACTCCAAGATGGCCCTGCGAGATGACACCAGTGGCCCTTCCGAGAATCTACGGAACCAGTCAGTGCAGCAGTGTAGTTCACGGAGTGGCCACCGCGGGAGAAACAGTGGCATTGCGATCGCATTTAGTTTGATTCTCTCATATGGATTGAAGCCACTTTTTCAAAGGAGGCTCCTATAGCAGTTTTCCAACCGAGTGTACTAGCCACGTTGTCAAAAACTTAATTTCTTCCTAACAAAAGCCGGCATAAGTCCATTTTTTTTTAGAAAAAGTTAACCTCGAAGGCTTCAGGGGGGGCCGTCCCCCCCCCCCCCCCCCCTTTCCCCCACCCACACAGTTTCCCCTAAAATCTGCCAAGAAACTGAGGGAAAAGTGAGGACGAGAGCAGGTGTGGATGTCAGGACACCCGAGCTCTGGTTCGAATGATTAGTGGGTACACCTAAACTAGGTGCCTTTGTCTTTACTGCACTCGTCAAAGACGTTCGAATGCGAGAGCCCAAAGCTGGATACCGGCGTTCTGCATTCGAATGTGTTCGACGAGTGCAGCAGAAACAAAGGCTGCCTTTGTCTCCACTGCACTCGTCGAACGTATTGGGATGCAAATGCCAAAGGCCGCCCCCGGCGTTTGGCTCTCGCACTCGAACGTCTTTGACAAGTGCAGTGAAGACAAAGGCACCTAGGTTTAGGTGCCTCTGCGTTCTGATGTCCCTGCACTCTCGTCTCCCCCTCTCCATCAATTTCTCGGCTCATAGAGTTCTGAAAGTTTAACACTGGCAGTGTGCGACAGTAGGCCAGCAGGATGGCATACTCTCCCCTACATGATACGGAATGAGCAGGATCGAAGACAGACAACTCCGGACGGAACGTCCGCAGTTTACAACTCTTTGGGGGCATGCGCTAACTAGCTATCATCATCGTCGTTTTTGACGTCACGGGTAGGGCACACTGGGACAGACTGCGCAGATCTTGGATCCTTCGGCTCGACAGTCAGCGTTATGCGCTGTATCGCGCAGCAAAGCCCATTTCGCGCATTGTTTTTATTTGGTGAAGTTATACTTGAAACCGTGCCACGCGTAGTCATGCTAACAAACACTTTTGGCACTAAGGTGTCGAAATGCTGGGATGGTGATGTAGTGTTCTCCACCCCAGTACAAAAAGATGGACGATTAAAATAGAATATCCAGCGCTTTACCCCACTACAACATCTAGCTAGCATGGCGAATAGGGTGTATTTATTTTATTATTATTCAAACAAAATAAAGCTGAGAAAGAAATGTCTCATTAAATTGAAAATAGGAAAGCGAAATTCGGGAATCTCTAACCTGTGTAGTAAACACTTCAGTGAAAGCGACTCCGTGTATCTTGGTGGTTCCGATGTGTTTTGTAAGTGCTGATTTCTTATTAGTCCCAAGTTGATTCATTTTTGGTCTTTTTAAACCAGTAAACAAACATTTCCTCAAAACAACTGGCATTGACGGTGGCTGGCTTCCAGAGTCGTCTCAATGAAATCCCTGCTTGTTCACTCGATCGACGTGAAGCATGCGAGACCCCCTCGCGACCGAAGCCTTAAATTTAGTAAGTCGGTGACAATTAGCATCCCAAAAAATTAGGTATACACCTGCTATGAATTCCTACCGTTTGTATGTTTAATTTTTCGGTCCCAATTGCGCATAATGTGTGATGCGCTTTTCAGCGAGCAATTTTACATTTGTAAACAATTCTTAGTAAAAATTGGATAGAACTAATTAATCGATCGCCTGAAATTGCCGCGATGTGACAAACTTCTTTGCCGCGTATTCGATGCGGGAGGAGCTAATCCGTCAGTTGCTGAAGAGCATTAGCTCGTCAGCAACTGCGGTGTCGGCGAAATAGCAGCGGGCGGTGTCGTCACGTGAAACGTCACATACCTTGGTAGTTGCCAACAGATGGGCTTGCAAAATGCTGTTTTCACCAACCAAAAAAAAAAAGAATCTAGTTGCTATTGTTATTATTTTTTGACCGAATGTAAACAGCAATGGCCGCGCTGATGCTTGTTGGAAACGCATGTGCCCAACTTGCCGGACGAGTGTACTGCTCCACTTTTCGTAATTCTGGGTTCCAAACTGGCTCATGCGACGAAAAAATGTTGCAGATCACATAGGGTTATTATAATGTACGCTAGAGGTTCAAGTGGCGCTAGTGTGCCGACGCAAGTTGAAGCAGACAGCAACCAGTCGAAAATTGACTTCCGGTAATGCATTTCTATGGGGGAAAAAAAAAATGGTGCAAAAACGGCTTCGCACGTGTATTTATGTGCACTGTCGGACACTCTCAGCGCGAACACGACGTCGGCGCTTTCTAGCATCGGTGATATATGTGCCAAACGAACGAAGGTATCTGGAAATTAAGGGAGACTGCCAAACATACTGTCGAACCCGGTTATATCACACCCGTATTTCGAATTATTGTTTATATGAAACAGTCCAAACATCCCCTAGAAAATTGCATTGTTTTTCTGTATCGAATGCCCATAACTCCCATGGAGGGGACACTCGATGTAGGGAACGAAGACGAAGGCGGTTCTTCGCTTCTCCCTATAGGTCGGATTGCGCCGGCCGGGAGCACATAGCTCGGGTTGCGGGGCTGGCAGACCGCCAAGCCAGCATACGCGCACCCGGGAATGCGCACGCGGGGATGCGCAGCGAAAAAGCAATTGTATAAAAATTAAAAAAAGCAACCAATAAAAACAAAAGAAGTGGAGGATGGCAAAAGCAAGGGGAAGGGCACCTGCGCGCGTGGGGAGGGCAGGGAGTGCCCGCTGTTGGAACGGTCGCGTGCGCTCATTTTCCCAAACACCGCTGTCACTGTGCGACTCCTTAGCCCCCCCCCCCAAAAAAAAAAAAAGATTTTGCCAGGTGGAGTGTTTTGACAACAAGGGTTGAGCAATCACACTTTGAACGCCTTATGTTTGTTTACCCTTTCCTTTCCCCGTTATTGCTCCCGTTTCCGGCTTGAGCGGCGTCACCGTCAGGTCTCGACACCCCCCCCCTGAGGTCACATGACCAGACCTGGGGGGGTCACGTAAACCTGTTTACCTTTTTTTATACTTTATTCGCTATCAGTTTTACTAACCACTTCGTTCTGTTTTCTTTTTAAATCTAATAAAAGTTACTCGCTATCATCAAAACTGTATTGTGTTGCTATTTTATTTTATGACATGCTTTTTAGAGAGTGACAGCATCTAGCGACATGGTGTCCGCCCATCTTGACCTAAAACAAAGTTCTGTGTCACTCAGGGAATTTCACAAAAGTACTCAGGGGAAACCTGAAAAACTCAGGGAATTTGAAAATGCCAACTTGGTAGACACATTGAATAACTCTATGGCAGATCACTACCTCAAACTTTCGTTAATGCGGGACTGCTTTTTAAAAACTCTTTGCTGTTGAGAGGGTGCAAATGCATTGAACCCTATGGACGTTCGCTGGGGCCGCCAGATTTCTTCGTTGCCGCGAGAATTTCGTTCTTGAAAGGTTCAACTGTATTAGCAAAATACGAATCTAAATTAATTTATCCCACCCAAAATAAATTCCATGGCTCCTTATTAAACACTGTGATTTTATCCAAGCCTCGGGTAAAAACAGTTTAGCTTTCTCGGCTCCCGATTGGACGCGTCGCAGGTTTCTGCCGGGCAAGCTTTGTCAACTAACGTCCCAACTCTTTAGCCCCGCACACATGGTGAGAGATATCTCGCAGTGGCTGATGTTCGTTCTGAACCTTTCTTTATCCACCGGTGTATTTGGACGTCTGTACGGCAACAAAATGACTGAAAACTTGCAAATTAAGCACAGGTTGTGGATTGCTTGCTTTATAGAATAGCAGACACACAATTCAAGCTCGTGTCCGATTTTGTTGCTCGTGGGACGTCATTTTTTTAGCAGAAATTCACTTTTTCTGCAGTTCTACTGTCCCGCATGGTGGACAAACCAGTCATCTGCTCTTGTTCCCTGCCTAAGTGATGCATGACGGGAGTGCATTCAGGTACACACTTAATTCTCAGGGTGCAGCGAGCGCATGCACGTGTGGAGTGCCGGCGGCGAAACAAACTCACTTCATGTTGCGAGTGGCTGCGCATGGGCACGAGTGCAGCGAAACAAACTCGCTATTAGTTTTCACATGTGGTCATGCACTGAGCACGAGCATGTAGCTTCGTCTTCCATCTTGTTCGCATGCAGAAGTTGCTTCGACGGCGTAGCAGAAATTACACTAGCCTTGACAATAAAGAACAAAGAGGCTTACGCCGAGCCTAGACACTGGTGCAAAAGACGGCCGAGCCAGAAAACCTAAGCCAAGTCGCCACAAAATTATGTTTCGAAATGGCTGAATAGGCAAGACTGAACTGCCACCAAACATGTTCTGTTGTAGAACACAAAAGTACATCCCCTGACACGAGCGTCCAAAATATACTTACAATGGCTAGCGACGCCTCATAAAGGTCATGCAGTGACCCTCTGCTTGGCCGGTTAAGCCACACGCAGTGCCGTGCAGAGTACAGGACGACGCCCGTGAGCCAGCCGGTGCGGTGACTCCGGGCCTGCCCGTAGTGTTCCACTGCTACCTTGGACAAGGCGAAAGCGAGCTCATCGATGCCATGATCCCCGGGACCTGTGGTGTATAACTATTGTGATTAAAAGTCTTACAGTCGCCGACCAATGTCACTTAGTCAAATGAAAATGAAAGAAGCGAGATGTCTTCTTCCACATTTTGCTGTTCTCTATTTTTGTTCCTTTTACATCTCTAGTTGTAAGATCAATGTTGACCAAGTTCTTTTTTGTTATCAACTTGTTCGCATTAAAATCTAAAATTTTACAACAGGGTAGAGTTGTAAAACCAAGAGGGGCTACCCAACACACGCATGCAGCCCCCCCACCCCACTTCATGGGGGTGGTCCTACGCAAGTATGTAGCTGCGCTGCAGAGAAGCATGATACACATGATCTACACGGACTTTTAGCTGCATTCTTCCATGAATCTAATGTCCGCCTGGCCGTATAACTTATAACTGTCATAACTTTCACTTTTTCTTTGAAATCTGTAAATGTTAAAAAAGAAAACCTGTATAACCATAGCTAAAAAAAATCTGACACTTGAATTGCTAAAAACAGTTTGGGGACTTCCAAGAGCGATTATTGCATAAAACAGCTTGTCAATGGTCAGAGCCTAGCAAAGCTCAACCAGCATGGCACTGCCAACAGCGCTGATGTCACTTGCATGACACATCCACATGCCGTGCCAATCATACATGGAACGCATGAAAGCATGGCGGGCAGTCCATGCAGCGTTGACTGTTGGTGGCTGCGGAAGCTCGGCGCAGACACAGAAGCACCAAAGGCGGAGGATGGCACATGTTTTCTGTTGCAGCAATGTCCTTTTGCTCGGCACACCGCCAAAAAACATTTGGATTGGCGTTCAACATTTCTAATGGTAATCGTCTTATCTGTATGTACTTGGCCGAAAGAACCGTGAGGACATTGAGAAAATCGTGTTCCGCAGTCAATTTACCTGCCCTTCGTAGTACACTATGTACTGGCGCGTGACGTTGCTCTGTGTTCCTAGTATTATATTTCTCTTTTTTAGATGGCTGCAAAAGACGAGGACAAAGACATTACAGCAGCACTGCCAATAGTTTCTCCATGTTGAGTGCTGAATCCCTGTGAAGCAGGATACGTTTCTCAAACCTTGCTGGCGCCATGGCCACAAAACGAACAAGTGATATCAATGCATGCCTTTTATATGGTCGGTGACAACTCAAGAAGGTAGGGGAAGAAAAAGGAAGGTGGGAGAGGACGAGATGGATGCAGCGCCGGCGAAGGGAGAGGGTTTGACCAGCATTGTGCCCGCTTCCTCCTCTCCCACCTTCTTTTCCCTGACCCTACCTCCTTAACCTACAACATAGTTCAAATCAAACTGCAAAATTTCTTCGAGGCTCGAGAGTGAAAGCAGCTTGTCAGGAGGTATTTTGTGTGAATACCATTTAGCTAAAGCACATTGTTTTTGTGGACTCAAGGTACGTGGCTAAAAAGTCAATGCCAGATGCCAGGGATCTTTGTGAGAAAAAGAACACTTAAAAGATATCCTCGGCCGCAGTTGGCTCTTTGAGTCACATATTTGACGATAGGTATAGTTAACACATATTTATGTGAACACCAGGATGCTGTTTTGATGGTAACATACTAAATGGTGATAAAAACAAAAAAAAAAACAAAGCTGGGAGTAGAAGCACATTATCTACCTTACCCTACCAAAGAACAACAATGAAACGATTAGTCACCTGCTCAGGACTTTGGTCGTCTGCTTAGTTGTGGGCGACGCCTCTGCGAGCATCAACGACAGCCCCCATTCTAGCGTGCAGAGAGCCATACAGTGCTTCTGTAAAGGATGCCTTCACCATCAGACTTTTAACAGAGCGGTCACTCCTTTTTTTTTCTGCGCACCGAACGAAAGGACGGTACAGTAGCAGACGACGCCAGCGTGCACGGCTGCTGGCGTCACTGCGTGTGCTCCAAGCTTCCGCGGGTGCTTGCGGTCCTCGCTGCATGGAGCACTGGCTACGCACTCGCGTGCTCCCTTCAAGATTGGACTGCTCAGTGCACCGCTAGGAAAAGCAGTACAAAACATACCGCGACGATGCATCAGGGGCATGCACTGGTCCCCTGAAGTGTGCTTCGAACCATGTGCAGTGCAGAGTGCAGCACAGCATCCGCGTGAGTCAGCCGCGGCAGTGATTCGGGGCTCGTAGTGTTCTGCGGCTGCCTTGAAAAAGTGAGGGCCAGCTCTTCGCACCTCCTCTGAAAAATGTTTTACAACAGAGAGGTCAGTTATCTCCCTGCCTCTCATTGCCTTTCTGCTGTCCTGTCCTTTGTTCGAGAGCAATCGCTGCTATATTGTGTCTCAGCACGATCACCTTAGTCATACAAAGGAACGTGCAGATAAAGATCATTATTATTAAAGCACGTTTTACCTTCACATTCAAACTTCGGGCCTCCTGCTTTCTCCTCGCGTGTGGCGGCAAGCGTCGCTTCGAGACGATCCTCGCGTGGTTCAGACCTGCGTTAGATTTTTTTTTTTTTTTTTTTAATTACGCCCTGGCAGCTCGTTTAAGCGCCTCTCGGCGTGTTCCCGCGCAGACAGTGACAGGCGAAGCATCAGATTCTACGCTTGCTTCGTTGGGCCTTCCTGTCTTGTTGAAAAACTGGATCGAAGTCTGTGTCGATGGCATGCAATCATTGCTATAGCGACTTATTGAGCACTTGCGGTCATACGGAAGCTTCCAAAATTGTGAGCGCGCTCCTAAGCCTTTGCGGAGGGCTCTGCTAGCCGTCACGTCCGCATGTTCTACCGAATGATTTCGGGCGAGCGGTTGGTAAAGGCAGCTCAAGAAACAAATCGACACGTTGAGCGCACGAAACCCAATTCAAATCCGCTTGGATGGCATCAGCATTCAGCACCGACCGACCATTCCCGCCATTTCTGGTAGCGCCTTTGTTCCCGGACGCACCGGACTAAATTACGTCAAACGACTCCAAACGGAACTGAAGCACTAAAGTGCGGTGAACACTCACCTTTATGAATACCTCCTGTTCTTGGTGTTCTTGGAGATGTACGAGAGGTATTTGGCGGCTCTGGCGGTTCGCGATCGACGCCGGCACTCATCCGGCGAAACTGAGTGCATACATTGTTTTTGTTGTGAACGGCTGCCACTGCGCACGGTCAACCTCGTTCCACTCGAGAACTTGAGCTGCTTCAGCTGGTTATCGACGGTTAATACGTCGCCACTCAACACCTGAACGTAGAACGAAAACAAAAACATTGCCCCCGCGGCCAAGGGCGCCAAGGCGGAACAGAACGGAACCGTACCAGCCAAAATTAAAAAATCAAGCAAGAAAAAAAAAAAAAAAAAAGTAAAAACAAACAAAAACAAGAAAAGTACTTTTTTATATATTTTTACTTTAAAACGTCATCTAAAAATCAACAAAATAACAAAACCGGAAGTGACGTCATTTTTTTTCAGCCAATCGGCGTTTCCAGTTTTACTGCCCCGAAACGCTTGTTTCTGTAGGCCTTCTTCATCTCCCTTCTCCGCCTTCTCTTCGAGAAATTCTCCTGGTTCGCCGCCGTGCTGATCGGTGTTGTTCACGCGCCCGGACGGACAGGCAAGTTATTTCGATACACTTTGCATCACTCGAAACACAAGGAGCTGCTCACGCATCAAGGTACCTCACTTTAAACCTTCCGTTGCGCGGGTAACCCAAAACGTCCACAGGCTGAATGAATGGTCCGTGCCCAAAGAGGTTCCGTTTGAACATTCACTGGGCATACGGCAGTGCTAAGCGAAGCGCGCCTAAAACACACGCCGCAAGAAACAAAATAAATAAAATAAATTAAAACACCAACCAGCAAAAAAAAAAGAAAAGAGGTGGCTCGTCTGCATGTGTTTGCGTGTCATCGTGTTCTGTTGGGCGGGAACGTGAGTTTTGAACGCTGTTTCAGAGGTGCTGTCACCAGTAGGGCGGCGATGAGTTCGGCGCAGCACCAAGCCGACTTCTACACGCAAGGCAAGGCGTACTGGGAGACGATTCCAGCCACCGTGGACGGCATGCTCGGGGGCTACTCCGAGATTAGCAGCATCGATGTTCACTCTTCCAACAGGTTCCTCAACAGTTTCCTACAGGTAAACAACCTATGCTCCTATTCCTATGTCCAGGCACGTAGCCAGCCAGGCATGGAGGTAGTTGCGAAGTTGGCGGTAGTCGTCCGAAGTGTTGTGTCGATATTTATTTGCTGGCATACACGATCCTGGGGAAACTAGCCCTTAACAGCTTCGCTGTAAAAAAAAAAAAAAAAAAAAAAAAAAAAAAGTAAATATTTTGGAGTCGGCTTAAATCCAGTACACAGATTTTGGCCTATATTTACGATGTCCTACTTTATGCGTGCACTTAATCAAACAAAAACAACCTGCAACGTCTTTTGATGTGACTTTCGAATATGATAATCACAGCTCCAATTTAAGATAACTCAACATTTTTTCTTTACCAGTAAGCATTTTTTCTACGTGACTATGCGATAGAATGAAATAAAACAATTGCAAAATGGGGACAATTGTAATCTTCTGTCCTTCCCCCCTGCTGCTCCACCACACACACGCCCGCTGTGACAAACGCCATCTAGCTAGCAGACTGCATTAAAATCATCTGGTGGGCAAGTTTGCTATACATCTTGGTAAAATTAGCGCAAAGACAAAGGAGGAAGCGCTCTATCCTGTCTCTACGTTCTTCCTCCCTTGTCTTTGCGCTAATTTTACCAAGGTCGCTAGCAGACGGCCGGAAGAGCGCAAGTGCTAATTTATCTCGGCCTCAGGGAGCGCCGTGTGTGCAGAGCAAGGCGACAGGCAGCGCAGGTAGTACCGTGCGCTGGCCGGAGCGCTGTTTCAGCTCATATTGTCCGCGATAGTACATGCAGATAGCATTCCTTTCTGGCGCCACCAGCAACAACGCTTCTACGTACAATGCTGAAAACCTTTCTTCAAACAACGCTCTTTTTGCGTGAACTTCTTTTGTTATCAAATCTACAAGAGAATTGCCTTCCATTGAAGGCAATGTGCATCAAACATTCATTGGATTCTGTCTGTAGGGCGGGCTGATAGTGTAGCGAGCACCACCGAGTGGACACGTCTCAAAAAAGCGCCAGGGAGACGGAAGCTTATCAACTGACTGATCTAGTAAAGGGGCTTTCATACACAGGAGAACTTTGCGGACGGGTGTCATGACATCAATAGCCCGTGGAACTCCGTCCTGAGCTGTAGCATTCACATGGTCGGCGGAGAGTAGTAAGGGATGTCAGTGTTACCAGATGAATTTAGCGGTCGCACTCGACAACAATGCTCGCAGGCACACTGAAGCGGCAGTATGCCGTTATGGCAGCAGCACTGCTAGAAACGAACAATGACGACATTCTACCTACTAAAAGACGGTGCTGGGTGAAAGGTTGGATGCGGAACAAAGTACTTGGTATATAGAACCAGTTGTACGAAGAGCTTCTTGAAAACAACACTGCTGAGTATTGAAGACTCCTTCGGGTGCCCCACAACGTCTTTGTCCAACTACTGACCCTCGTCCGCTCGCGACTACAAAAGCAGACAACAAATATTAGGCATCCTGTGAGCGCGAAGACTCGTCTCCAGCTGACCCGCGCCAGTGCCTAAAGTCGGGGGGGTCTCAGGGGATATCAGACCCCCCCTCCCCTTGAATTTCGACAAAACCTGAGACCCTTTTGAGGAGTAGATCCAACCGTCGAACCCTTAGTGGCGAAGCTGAGAGCCGAACCCATGAGTACAACATGAATTATTTGGGTGTGTTTCTGACGCAGTGTTCGACTGTGTTGGCCGAACATTGTGTAAGCGTTTGGATGCATGTGCCCATTATTAGTTTAAAGGCAAGCTGCTTGTCAAATCCACGTGAGGGTAACCCTCACGAGGGTCACGGTGGCACAAGATGATATTCTGGGTACTAGTCGGCCATTTAGTTTTGGTTTCAGTTTCAGATTTTGTACAATACTGTGGGCGTTGCCGAGAGATACTGAAAAGAACACTTGGCACCGATTGTGTGGTTCCCGATGTGTTGTATCTTAAGCAAACGTAGCGAAGGCAAATGTAGAACAATGGATTGCAATGTCCCTGCTGGTGCCCCTGTTGTGCAGCACGTTCGCATGCACTTGAAGAAAAGTTGTGCAAGCTGGGAAGTTCACGTGCTTGGCTGCAGGAGTGCAGACAGCGGCTGTCTGATCGAAACCGAAACCATTGCCACTTCGCTCCGTGGCCAACTGGTTCCTAGTGTGCAATGCGCAAAGTGTTGCATGGAGGGATTTTAGATAGTGGCCTATTGAACTCGCGTGATTCCACCTCTATCGAGAATATATAAAGAATAAGAAATAAATGTTCACGAATTTATGAGTTTCAATTATATTCAAACCAAAAAAGTGATGCCATATCCGTATCCGCTCCTGATTTTTTTTTTTTTTGTAGCGCCGTGGGCATTGGCAATTGCAGCCGTGTAATCGGCTGCTTCCGCTCAAAACATTGCACTAGGCCCTAGCATTAGCACTTGCAACAAATTCACGGGTAAACTGAGCAAATGGTTGTGTCACGAACTGTTCCAAAAGGGCTCCTTATTCTAACGGACTGCAATGTTGCGGCGGTGGACGTTTGTCTGATGTTGGTTGGTTTCGCAGCAACTGTTGGCCTGCAGATAACAGCCAGTTTCTTCGGGCCTCGCATTTGGGGCAGTGAAACAGACACTCACGTGACGTGGTGTCACGTGCATCGTGCCGATGCTCTTTGTGCCGCTATACTGAGTATAGCGGCACAAATAGAAGTGCGCGTAAAAAAACGGCCCTGCGACACGCTCCAGATGTGCAAACTAAGATACCAGAAAAAAAAAAGAAACAGCTTTGTAGCACAAGTCCTCTCGCCATAGTATTAATTGAACATTGTCATCCCTAGCATTGCCATTCTTAGTCCCCTGCTTCATGTCTGTGTAATTGCGTAAACATTCCATTGCATTCTCATGCACATGGCACCTAGTGCCTTCTGTTGCATGTTGTCATTGCGTTGCACATTGCATATTGTCAGCATTAGTTTTATCATTCTCATTGGTCTTTTGCACTGCACAGATGTGCCAAGGTTCTCATGCGCGTTGATGTATGCCTGGCGATTTTTGTTTGTTGCAAGGGTCATGAAATGTCATAATGAGCTAAATGTTAACTTTCAGTTTGAAGTATACCCTACCGTAGAATACCGCGCATCCGCCCATTCCACATTAAGCGCCCATTACCAAATTTGTAAGATCTGAGAAAATATGCATAGTACATTTATATGTAAAATTGATGACCGGACAAGCGCCCATCCCCCATTTTTTTGCGATTATCTCCAAAGTATGAGTGGGTGCTTGCCCGGTATTTTACGGTATGTCTTCATCCATCTTTGGATTTTTTTAATACATACTTTAACTTTCATTTCTGCATTTAAATGGTTATCTAGGTTTATTTGCTTCATTTTTCTCTGTTTATATTTACTCTTTTCTTTCCGCCATCCGGCCCCTTAGCCAAAAAGTTCGGAGACCCCGGACTTAGAGGCAAGGACAGTCAAGGGGGAGCTCAGGGAATTTTTAAGGATACTCTGGGGAACCTGGTTTGGGAACCCATGCTGTGACGGATGCTGCCATCTATTCATCCGCAGAGAAAAGAAAACCCCCTGGGAACGCAGCGGGCGCTGGACTGTGGCTCGGGCATTGGCCGTGTCACCAAGCACCTCCTGCTGCCGCTCTTTGATACCGTGGACATGGTGGAGCAGAACCAGAGCTTCCTTAATGGGGCCAGGGCGTACATTGGCCAGGAGGCGCACAGGGTGGACCAGCTCTACTGCTCCGGCAAGAGAATCTCACTTGCTCCTTGTGAAGCAGCGCTTCGCCGTAGACGAGAGCATTCTTTGGCCGACCAATAAGGTCAAACTGGAAAGGACAGCGGCATTATGGCTACTGTCTGAAGAAGCCAGCTAAAAGGCTTTTGCTGACACGCTTAACAGGATACAGCCAAACCAGTTTTTTCTAGACTTTTTTCGCACGTGAGTGTCATCTACGATGAGGACCCAAAAGAAACCAGAATTTATTTTCATAAAGTCGCAAATTTATGTTTAGGCGGTCAAATTTCAGTCACCTTCAAAGCACTCTCTGCCTGGTCCAGTTTCTTCCAGTGCTGAAAACAGGCCCTTGAGTCGTCGATGTTGACGCCTTTTGGTGCTTCTGCCGTTTTTCTTCACCCCTTCACAATGGCAAACTGTCTTCCATTGAGACCTTTCCTCATCCGGGGAAACGAAAGCAGTCATACACGTCAAAATCGGATATATAGGGAGGATGGGGTATGGGGGTCGTGCCATTTTTGTTCAAGAACTTCCGAACATCCAGCGTGGTATGGGCGAGTGCATTGTCATGGTGGACGAATTGGTCTCCCGTGTGCCACAAATCGGGACATCTCTTCCGCAAATTGTGTCGCAACTTACTCAAATCCTGCAGATAAAAGCCTGGGTTGACTGTTGATTTGAAGGAACAAACTCCTAGTGCACAATCCCTTTCATGTCACCAAAGAAACAGATGATGATTGTTTGCATGTTGAAATTCACTTGCTGTGCTTTCTTGGGTCGTGGGGAAGTGGCAGTTTCCCTAGGCCAGATAGTTTCGTCTCAGGGTTTTTGCCATAACACTAAAACTCATCTCCAATTATGGCTAAAAAAAAATATTAAAGGGACCATGAAATGGCTTTTTTACTTTTTCCAGATAACTTTTACATTAAACCGTCAATTTTCACTGAATGCCGAACAGGCATCCGTTTTCGTCTCGGTTTATTAACTTCTACACAAAAAATTAATGAGATATTGACTTTTTCTTGACCGCAAAACAAGCCGTGACGTACGCCGTTTCCGGAACCGGAAGTTCTCTCGGCAGTAGGAGATGGGAGCGTTAGCGGCGACGAGTTGGGGTGCGCCGGTAGGTTTTACTGCGCCGATGTCACCGACGTATTTTCTGAATCGGCGCCTCTCATCGCCGCATCGCAGCTGAGCGAAATTCAATGAGATACGTTGCGCTACAGCGACAGCATGGGACTAGTCCCATACGCCGGTATGCCTGTTGGGAAGTGCAGCGAGTCTTCCGGTGAAGACTCCAGAAGTCAACTCAACTGTCATTGTTGGTAAAAGGCGGCCAGTGTCAGTCGTTTGCAAAGCGACGTAGATGGAAACAAATTGCCGCGGCGTTTTTCGCGGTCTCGGAGATGCAGGAGCGAGCCAACGTTAAAAAAGATACGTTTGAACTACGAGTGTCAGCAAGAGCCACGTAAATACCTGTTCACACTCAGAGCGGACGCGCGCGTTTGATGGAAGTGCTGTATTCGCGCTGTTGGTAAGCGCCTCGGGACCGATCTTTTACGATTGCAACTCGATACTGACGCGACACTCGGCAAAGAAAGGTTGGACCGGTATTGCACGTATACCTCCCACGAACTGTTACAGCTCGACAGTGATGTGCAGTCTGTCAGAATAAAAATGGCATACCAATAACAAAGTGTACATACCGTGTTACGAAGGTAATCCATACAGCGTTTATTTCAGCTCTATATCACACAAAACAAGAAGAGAGAATCGACGAGGGTCCCTTTTCGACGAGTGTTCGTCAACACTGCCTCGGAAAACAAGGGGAAGAGATTGACCTCACCTCTTAACCTAAAATTGAGGTCAGCGATCAAACTATAATACGGGAAGGGTCCACAAGGGTAGCGCGGGCATATTCCATTCAGCACACCAGCCGGTCGTAGGCAGGCAGACGGTATTGCGACGAAGAAACGCTGCGCCGAGTCGGAGTGCCTGCTAGGCCTATATTCTGAGAGCTTCGTCGGAGCGGGATTCGCGGCTGTTGTCGCTCTTCTCGGGTGTTTGTGGATCCAGCGTTCTTGTTCGTCTTGGTCTGTTTTAAGTACATTTTTTTCTTGCTGCTTGAAGTCGGCACGCGCGAGATGAACACGTAGAAAAATAAACGTTCAGTCAGTCAGAGTTTTGAGAGGAAGGTAACCAAAGGAAATAACCGTTCTGAAGCCGGCCCTGCCCTACTGCGCACGCGCAGTAGTTGCTTCGTTTACCACACGATAGATGGCGCTTGGCTCTCAGCATTATCAAATTTGGCAATTTTCGTCACACATCTCTAAATATGCTACAAAATGTGGATCTGAATATTATTTAACAAAACTTTTAGGAAACATTCGCCGGCTATTTATTGTTTACGATCGCGGTGCTGGTGAGGTAGGCCCTTACCCAATAGGCGACCTGGATTTGGCTGACGTGCTCCATTTCCGCGGATGCATCGTAGTGAACAGGCGAAGGAAGGAAGGCGCAAAAGAGTCCAGTTTTCTTTTAAAAGTTTTATAGCAAACAATTTTTTTTTGGCTCCCTAGTTTTGTGTTTTTGTGTTTCTTTTCACACCTTTTACGACGTGCGGTGGATGAAATTCGATTTTAAAATCATTTCATGGTCCCTTTAAGCCAGTTTTTAAATTTTTTTTTCAAAGCACGGCACGCAGCCAAGCTATTGCCTTGTTCAGGTGTGAGCGAGCGAGGCAAATTTTGCTGCAACTTGTTTCATATGCAAATCATCCAATAAAATTTGCTGACAGGAACTCCACGACACTCCAGTCAACTGCACAAGTTCATCAATCGTCCGATGGCGGTTATCGAAGGTGGCTTGACGAATTCTTGCCACACTGTCTTCAGTTCAGCTGGTCGAAGGACTCAACATTTTGCCTCGTTTAAAATTAGAAACCCATTCGTAAACTTGCGTTTTACTCGGTGCAACATCCTTCTAAGCCGTCTATAGCAGAACAACCGTTTCTGCTGCATTTTCATTCAACAGGAAACAATATTTTACTGCTGCGCGTTGTTGGTATAGACTCTTATCGTTCACAAACACAAGCCGTCTCTTGCTCTCCCCGAGAGATTTCCGGTTGCTCGATTTCAGCAGGCTTTCCGAGCCTGTCGACATGAAAATTTCTGTGACTGTGAAGTTCCAGAGAAATCGCGAAGTTTGAGATCTAGCTTCCATTGCTCTTCTTACGGGAGCATTAAAAAATCTCACCAAATCTTTCGCTAAGTGGTCCCTTAGCTAATCACCCGGTGAACTGGTCATATAATATTTCACGAATTGTTGCAAGAAGCAGTGCTATGGTGGGGTTTGTTTGCCCTCTCATACGACCGGAAGTTTACAGGGACGTAAATTGCCAACGGCACCTCCTTCTGGCGCTTTCAATAGAAGGGCCTATAAACCAGCCATCAGGAAATTGGCAAACTCGTTGAATCTCCAAAAACAATCCACCTTAGCCGAATGCATCGTCTCGCGAAAACCCCGACCGTCTCTTCCGCGGGGAAAACTTGTACCACAAGGAGCCTGCCCTCCAGAACATAATTCCGGTTACTTTTGGATCCCCCCTCGTATAGTCGCTGACAAGATAAAAATGGCAGGGAGGGGTCTCAGTTGTCCCGCCTCCAGCGCGAGCTTCTTTCCTTCTACGACACTTCGGCGTCTCATCAGCCTCGAGCAGGGCGTCCAAAAGAGATGCCCCGTCAATCTTATCTTGTCAGTGACACACTAGTTTACCATAGTGATGGCGTTCAATTATGCAACTATGGCGCCCGTTTCAAATATCTGCCCTCCTCTCAATCGACTCCAGGGCTGCAGGACTTTGTGCCTGAGGAAGGAAAGTATGACGTCATCTGGTGCCAGTGGGTGACGGGACACCTGACGGACAAGGACCTTGTAGCCTTCCTGAGGCGCTGCCGGACGGGACTGCGCCAAGACGGCATCCTGGTCGTCAAGGACAACCTGACGCGAGACGAAGTCGATGTGGACAACCGCGATGGGAGCGTCACGAGACCGCGCTCGCTCTTTGAGCAACTGTTTGAGAAGGCCGGCATGCACATTGTGGCCGAGCGGAAGCAGTACAAGTTCCCCAAGGGCCTTTACGAGGTCCGGATGTTTGCGCTACAGTGACAGCACGGGGTAGGGACTCCCTTTCGTGGAACTCTTGTAAATAAACTTGTCTTCCTTTTACGATAGTTGCCCGTCGTCTCGGTGGAGTGCTGGACGGAGGAGAGCTGTTTGCCAAATTAAAAAGATTTTAACCGACTAATTGGCGATAGTGATTTTTGGTGACTTGCAAGTATGGCGTTGCATGGTGGCCGAGAGGAATTCGTAAAAGCTTTCTTGAAAACTTCCGCGAGGTGAGGATTTTTGTGTAAGATGTTTCCGAGAAGGCACATTTTATGTGCGCTTAGTGTACTGCAGAAATAAACTTCAAAAGCACTGCACACAAAATAAATATTTAGGATCCAATGTTTGGTTTTAGTAGTAAGCCATCTACATTGTATCTTCATTTATAAGATAATGGAATGCATTAAATGGAATTCGATACAATAGACATCAAAAATCTCGTCAAAAAAGGAACAAGAAAGGTTTAACAAAACACAAATGTTTTCTTCTGGTTTTTGGTTTTTATAATGAACATTCAGCAGCTCACTTGCCTTTTTTCATATTTTTGACTGCAAATATGTTGGATAAATAGAATTGACTGTCTCTGACATTGCACACTTCGACATTTACCGGAAGGAAAACCACAAATTAAGATATTTTTCCAAGTTTCGGCATGTGTGAAACATAAGTTTATTGAACTGCGCACCAGCCAGAGGCGTTTTGATGGACAGGGGTCGGGGCAATGGTGATGCAGGGGGAGTGGGGGGTGGTAGAGAAATGATTTACCCCCCCCCCCCCCTCCCACACGCACACACACACATTGCTTACATTAAATTTTTTAAGTATCAGGAAGGCTGGGCTGCACCTCCCGTCCCGACAACTGACACCAGCTTCGAGTCAACAAATGAAAGCCAAACATCTTTTCTATACTTCGTTTCAGCTTCGGTCGGAGCGCGGCTGATGTTATGAGCCGAAGGACCAATCAAACAGACCGAAAAGCGCAGCGTCATGGTATGCTCTCTGCGCCTGATAGGACAAGCGGGCGGAGGAGCACGCACAGAAAGACGGCGAATGCCGGCTGGTCCTATCAACTGCAGAGAGCATGCTATGACGTTTTGCCTCTTTTGCTGTTTGTTTGGCCCTTCGGCTCATAGCATCGGCCGTGCTCGGACCGAAGCTGAAACGAAGTATAGTCTCCTAGAGTGAAGGACTAAAGGTGTGTGTGACTGTGAGGATGAGGGTGAGTGAGGGGCTTAGGTGGGGTGGTTCCTGTTTCGACCCATTCCCAATTCAACCTTCCCGTTTCAACCCATTCCCGGTTCACCCTTCCCGTTTCGACCCGGCTCAAAACAACCTTCTCGTTTCATCCTTTCCCATTTTGCCCTTTCCCGAAACAACCTACCCGCTTCGGCCATTGTTCGGTTTGTTTGTATCATTCGTTAACAGTTGATTAGGTTCAAGTGTCCAGTGTATGTTCTCCTTGCTCCCACATCACTTCTCCCTCTCCCGAAACAACCTCGGAGACATGGCACCGTAAAATAAACGCTGTGTCAGGGAGGGCTCGCCCGAACATTTACAGCTTCATCGACCTGCAAACGGGATGAGGCCTTGACAGGGATATCGCTGCAGCAGCTTGAAATGATAATGCCGTGCGGGCCAGGTGACCACCGCAAACTTCTGAAGGCGCTATTTTTCTGCTCGACTTCCTCAGCCAGGGCGATAGCATTTTGTGATTTATGATTTTTGCCTTTGTACGCGACGGTTCTGTTGGAACTTGTCAGAAATGAAGTCGCAATCATATGCCCGTCAGCCTGTCTCATTTATCACTTTTAAAAGTATCCCGTTCACTATAAGGAAGTTTTAGAATAACATATACGCAAGCGCTTCGGGTAACCAAAAATAGCGTCGCGATACAAAAACTTAGGCAACGCTAATTTTTGCTTACTCAAAGTGCTGGTCTGCATTACTCTAAGACTTTATTAGGAAGTTTTCGTAGACCACGTTTCTCGTTTCGCTAAGCCCTCCGCAACGAAGAAGCCGCTACTGCGCCTGCACGCCGATGCCCTTGACTGTAGAGTTCTGGGTATCGTAGTGGGTAGCGGAGAGCGTCGTGCGACGTCAAAACCGGTCTACGAAAGCTCCCTGTTATTTTACAGAGCGCGAAACCGTTAGCGCAAACAAGCGATTGTTGGTTTTAGCTGCTTGTCTAAAAAAATTTAGAAGACTGCCATCAATATTATTAGTGAGTTTGAAAGTGCTAGCCTGGGCCACTAACCTAAGCGGTAAAATGTGGTACCTTCTAATACCATTTCGAAGTAAACTTCGAAAAATCGCCAACATCATGTTTGTGGTAACGTGGCGCAGTGTACATAGTCCATTTCGTAGTTACACATTTTGGGGACCATCTTGAAAGAAACATTTTAAGTGGTTCAAGTAGAAATATATTTCGTTGAAGCTTGTCTGAAAGTATTGCATATATTAAGAATATGTTTACAAGCAAAAATATTTCACAACATAACTGAATTGCTCGCCTGCACCTTTGCATTAATGACGTTAACGTAATTTTGGGACATATTCTTAAGCAGAAAAACTGCGCAAACCAGGATTAGAACGATGGGCACTTTTCGCGAAGAGGTTGAGATGTGCGGGGCTTTATACCAACGGGTTCAAACGGGACGAATTCAAACGTAAAATGTGTCTTGGATACGGGTTCAAACATGAAGGGCGTTTCGGGAACGGGTTGAAACGGGAAGGTCGTTTCGGGAATGGGTCGAAACAGGACAGGTTCAAACAGGAAGGTTGTTTCGGGAATGGGTAAAAACGGGATGGGTTCAAACGGGAATGGGTTGTTTCGGGCTACACCCCTTAGGCGAGTATTAGCCCCGAGAAGTTCGCGTGGCGCCCCCTTACGGCAAACCGGGGTGACGTCACGGCGAGGAGAGAATTTTTCCCCGGCTCGCCCCGCTCGCCCTGTGGAGGCTGTGACGACGCCAGCTGTCGGCGCGCTCGTTTCTATTTAATTTTTTTGGCGTGTTTTTCGTAGGAAGTGTAATTTTCTTTTTTTATGTGCCGTTATTGATGTATGACCTGTAGCTACAGGCGAAACTTCAACCAACATTTTAAGCATGGTTGACAGGGCAGGCAACGCATGAATCGCAGCTGGTATATGAAAATAAAGAAATATGGCCACAATTGCAGGAGCATCACTATAGATTTACATCTCGCACAATAAATGATGCTGATGGTCTGAGTGAATTGGCAGGTTATGTATACTATTTTTTGTTTTGTTTTGTATCTCCGTTTGTAAACAAGATCGCCGAAGCAGAAAAGCTGCATGCTGCTCGGGCAACATGCTAAATACAGTCTGGGCCATGGGAAGAGAATCACAAGTAAGACAGCCCAAGTGCAGGGGCAAAGTAAAAAAAAAAACAAGGAACATTTATTATATACTTTGCTCGCATTTGACCTTTGCTGGATACAGATAGTATTTCAATGGACTACACGGGTGATATCTGTGGACTTGTTTATATCAACCCTCAAGTAATTTATAACAAACGTAAGCGAAGGTGTCTAGCTCGTTATTAGTCTGTTAAGCCCTAAAATTGAGATTTTACTTAAATCGAATTGTCGTGAAACTAAAATACCAGAACCTTTTCTCACGCAGACTGTCGCCCTTCAAGGGTTCAACATTTTGTGCTACTAGTGCTGCAACTACCACTTAACAGACGTTCAAATGCTTGCTTTTACTCCTGTTTTTCTCTGTTGTCAGAAAGTTCAGCTGCAGGGAGTTTGTAGGCTGAGGAAGCTTTTGGAGACCTGCAGCAGTGTCTCTTTTAATTAAAAATGACAATTCAGACTAAACGGTGTATTTTCCGAATACCCAAGCTGGAATAAAAATGTCAGGAAAAAGTATAAACATTCCAAATTATGGCATTATTGCTGTGCATATTTTGGGCAGTTCAATACATATCATACAGACAACTGCGGGCAATTCGGCCGTTTTTGCTGCTACCATACAAACTAATTTCCAGTAATTGTGCATCTTCTAAGAAATATGCCTGCGTACGTTTATAAACTATACAATTGATTTGCGAAGAAGCTACACTTATGTAAAACAACCCTGTTCCACGAGCACTTCAAAGATAATCAGACACAGGGCCTTTAAAACATCCGCGAACCAGCGTATGCAAAGTGGCAGCGCAGAGTCGGGATCGCGAGCTAATTTGCCGACCACCCAAAGGCCCATGATATAAATGCCACTTCAAATGCCTTGAAAGCGGGATGTAATATCGTCCTAAACCATGAACATGCAAGGGACAAATTCCAGCGTCTGAAGCACTTGCGCCACCGCTCCAGCGATCCTTCGCAAAATTGCCTTGAGTCGTGTGGACGGGCGGGGAGGTTCATCGGCGGAATTGCCTCCGCCCATAGCTTTCGGGATTTGTAACCCAATTTTAAAGATAAAGGGGACAAGCAGGCTTATAAAATGTAAGGAAGCACGTCAATATCGGCCTAACTCAACGTCTTGTACACCGGGTAAACCAAGTCCAGCTCCTCGAAGAGCTTGCGGCACACAACGCCAAACCAGGAAACCGGCGCTGGGAAGCGAGCCGATGCGAGATCGCGGAGCGGAGTCCCCTCCCTGACGTCACGGTACGCCTCACCCAATCAGGGCGCGGCGACCGCAGCGACGCTTGTGTTCGCTCTCGGGGCTAATAGCTGTGAGGCTGAGGGTGAGTGAGGGTGACCCAAAATGCCGACCTCTGCTTGTCAGCTGGTGCCAGTCTTCTGTGGGCAAGTTATGGTGTGGTCACGCTTGCATGGAACACTTGGCGAGATTGGTTTATTCTCAACTGGCTTATAAGAAATTAATTTTAAAACATAACACTGCCACAAAAAAAAAAAAATCCTATTGCAATGTTAGGAATTATTCTGCTGTTGCCTCATTGTCATGGTGACCGACCATAGCAGCCAGAGTTTGTCTGGAAGGAGACGGCGGTTTGGCGAGATCAGGTGCGCAACGGCTCTTTCATGGGCAGAATCGGAACAAAAATTGTTAGAAATAAGGTAATGATGCATGTGGCAAATTTTTTCCAGTGCCTTATATGACTGGCCATGTACAAAAAGCATACGTTTTGGATATCTGATGGCCATTTTGTTTTTCCCTGGAACATGGATTTTGTTTCAAAATGAAAGGTATTCACTGTATTAGAATAAATTTTCCTAAAGTATGTAGGTTCTCAATAAAAGAATTGTAGACTATAGGGTAAACCTTAGGGCCTGCCACTAAACTGGTTAATTTTAACTTGACCGGTCAGACTGGACATTGCTTCTGCAACTTCTTAGCCTACATTCAAGTGTTGCCAGCAGCCCTCATAAGTCAATAAAAATTTTCAATCAATGCTTGTAAACTAGACTTTTCTGTTCTGTGCCATTAGTCAGATAGGATGTGAATGACAGGGAGTCTCTTTCAGATGCCTTTAGCACATGCTCGTTGCCCTCCACCATGCTTTTGCCTAATGTGTACACTCGCGTAACGCCGAAGCAAAGGTAGGAAGCTGGTGCTGGAGGCTTGGTAACTAAAGGACATTCCTGCAGTTATAAATCCTGTCAGTGGCGGCGAGTTGCATCGCACATCTTTGAACCTACTTTCATGGCATAGTCTTTTCCACCAGGCGCTGCGCATATCCGACTCATTCAAGAAGGCTGGAGAGCGATCCTGCTATGGTGACTCCAGCTGCCACAACTTTGTCCTAGCCGCTAGGTGCCGCCAATAGTGTTGATTCAACTTATTTGTCTTGTTTAGCAAAATTTTTCTACACTCAGCTTTCCTTTGATCATGACACAGTGAACACACGCCCAAGCTTTACTCCCCTTTGCCTATATAATGGGGTATTCATATTAGCGACACAAATGTAAAGCTACAGAAATACAAAACCTTAGGCCAACCAAGAGGAACAGCCACATTCGGTACACAAGCACACAGAAAAGCAATCGCTCGACTCGACTACTCCTCTCAATATCTAAAACTAATCTGAAAGGCATTACACAAAAAAAATCTTCCCCTATTGAACTATCCACACCATTCCTCCCTAACCCCCCTCCCCTTTCCTGGAGTGCTTGGCTGGCATCAGACGAACCAGATGACCAAATGGCCTTGGTGTTACAAGCCATGGATGTTTAGAACACTTAATTTGTGCTCAATATTAAAGTGCATTCTCTCTCTCTCTTCCATAAATCCATCCTGGGGGAAACATAACTCGACAAACAGGAGAGGATACAGCCCCAGCGAGCCAATTGGAGCATTGGAGCAAGGATGCGACAACTAACTGCCAAAACGCTCTCTTCTAGTGATGGGGTCATATGGTTTACTATAACCGGCTCACATGGGGTCTGGCACTTGCCAAGTTAGAGTGCAACAAGCCCCAGAAATGCCGGTTGTTTGTGAGAAAAGAACCATGTTTTTGTCACCACAAAAATACACCCTTTATTGCCAAACACTCAGTCTTATCCCAGGAGGGACCAGATGCCAAACCTTCTAAACTTACCGTTGTCCAATCCAAAAGTTGTAAGCAATTCTCTAAAATGTTTAATTAGAAAACAGAGCCTGTTCCTCGTAGCAAATGGCATTCATGTCCATGTAGTATTCACGAGCTCCAGTGACTCATTTTCTCAAAAACTTTCTGGAAATTGCTAACAATCCTTCATGCAAACAACGGTAAGTTCTCAAACTTTGGCATCCGGTCCCAACCGCCAAACACTACGGTTCGGTGAGACTTGGCACCCAGCAATGCATAGCTCATTTTCGCTCTCCAGAAAACGTGCTTCTCCTTTCTTACAAGCACCCAGTACCTACAAAAACACTGAGCTGCACGACCGACCACGATGAGTGGGGAAGCCAATTTATTCCTGGCACGTCCCTCTTCTGTACACGTGGATGTGGGGGGCGGTCGACCCCTCAGAGCTTGAGGGCAAACTTCCGGTGTGGGTAGGCGGCCATCCTGCGGAGCTCCTTGCGCGTCCGCAGCGCCTTCTCGTGGGGGGTGAGCTCCCTGCGCTTGGCCCTCGTCAGCTTGGGACGCAGGTCCTTGGGCTTGTGTTTCTTGCCCCGGTAGAACTTGCGCAGGTTCTCCTTCTGCGTCTGGTGGATGACCGTCAGCACCCGGGCAATGGACTTGCGCACCACACGGCTGCAACAAAAACGTCACCAACTTTGAGGGTAAGATTGGCAAAGAGATCACCTGGCTCAGACATCTTGTCAAATGCAACAAAGGTGCGATAGCATCGATGGGATTTTCAATGAGCTGCACTTCGTACTTGGTTAATGAGCAATGCATGCCTGCCAACCTAGCAACTTGAAAATTTGGGAGATCGCCATGCAAGGGCGATCTCCAAAACACGCACACAAAAACAAGTTTGTTTTTTTTCTTTTTAGTTTGACAAGATATTGCATGAAGAGCCACTCTGCACGGATCACACTGTCTTCGCAGTTGTTTTGGAGGAAACTGACGATGGTGCCCAGCCCTTCTGCGGCACGAACATAGTTCTGATGCCTCTGGGAAGCGATCTGTCGATGTCGGCCTTGCCGCCGTGCCAAACGCTCCCATGACAGGCGCACATGGTACAGAATTTATACTTGTCACCTTTCCGCGAAGTGACAAAGCACGGAAACTTAGTCGTGTATGATCTCAGAAATACTTGCAATTACTTCTTTATGGCTTTTGAAAGTGCCATCGATCGTTCCAACTAAACTCGAGGAAACAAGAATTTGGCGTTCCGCACTTCACTCATCAACCTGACAAAGCCAACTGAAGCCTAGAGCACCCACAATCATATAAGCAGTGTTCCTAAATGCGCTCAAACTTACTCCAGAGTAGAGGTTTCGTATGTTGGCATTTCCAAATCTACCCTCGTTTTACGCTGCTGCTCCGAGTTGTCACGTGGTAACCAGCCATGGTAATTTACACCTACTCTCGAGTAACTCGCACTACACACGCATAATTATAACAATAAAGAGTAAAAAAAGACGTCCATTTTTTGGGAGATTTGAGGTTGCGTTTGTACATTCAAGAGATGTGATAAAAATTCGGGAGGCTCCCAGACAATTCGGGAGAGTTGGCAGGTATGGCAATGTGACGTGAATGTAGAGCATTGGCCTGCTGTCGCTTATCCAGGCGTTTTTCTTCTCAACCTATGCACCTCTTCTTTGGGGGCATTGCATCCTTTTCTCTGAAATGCCACCGTAGGGACACTGACTGTGAAATGACTCAGTACATACTAGATTATCCTACTAATATGCAGTGCCTACCCTAATATGCAGCCTCCATTCCCACACAGCAGGAGGATGAGGAGCGTTGGCGTGGCACTTCCCCCCCTCCCCCTCACCACTCTGCCACTGGACATACATGCTACGACATCAAAACAGTGGCACCAACACGAGCAAGCAAGGTATGTGCAGAGTTCCCATACCAAGCTATTGCTTTGTGGCGATAGCCACTGTTAGATGTTGGAGGAAGAAGACAATCACGTGAGAATAAAAAGCCAGATAAGTTCGATCTTGGGTTTCATCAGATGCAGTCGCCTTTCACCAGTCTCTCCACATTGGTGACCCGAACGTGACCCCCTCCTTTTTGTGTGTCGACAGCCTCCACCATTCACGCCAGCCACCTTACACTGGACCCCACCAGCTTCAAAACACTTACTACGACAGACCTGTGCCCACGGAGAAGGTGGCTAAATTCAATTGATGTCGACATGAGACGAAATTTTAGGACAACACAGCACTGACTGCCTGTACCACTTGGTGACAAATGCCAGGCTCCTTCAGTGGTTAGAGGTTGAAGTGTTCGGTTTAATGTTGGTTATACAGGGAGTTCCATGTAACTTTAGCGAAGCTTTAAAAATATTTTGGTGTATTTTAGGACGACAAAACCAAATAAATAAGTTTCTTCATCGTTTGGAGCAACTCAGGCTATTTTTTTTTTATTTTGCCCAATTAACTAATTAATTAAGATTAATTAATTACCTTTTGAAATATTCAACTTAGGACAAAAGTTCTAACGAAAAAGTTGTGGAGTGTCCTCAGAAACACCTAATTCAGTAGTTGTTATCAAGAAACCTTAACACTATTCTTTTTTCTAAACTTAAAAAAAAAATTATATATATAGGTTAAATAGAAGTGGAAGCTCCTCCCACCTCTTTCCACTTCAGTAGAGCGAACGCTGGCGAAAAGGCAAGCTCTTCTCCACCGCTCACTTTGCTGAAGTGGAAAGAGCTTTTACTTCGTTCTTGACCTGTTGCCGGCTATAGTTTATTCAAGCAACGACTGAGAGCGCTGTAATACAAGGCACGGAAACACAAAGTTAAGTTGTTTTTTTTTTTGCAATTCTAGGGCCTTTTTTTTTTTTTTTGGAAGTCCAGAAAAAAAGAATTGTTAAAGGGGCACTCAAGCCAATTCTGAGATTGTTCTTGTGTGATAAGAACTCAATCTAGACACTCTTAAGCATCCCAACAAACCCGAAGTCACAACCGTGCGTACCTTACTTCCTCGTTAAAAGCGTGTTCAAAGATCGTGAGACACCTTTTTTGGGAAGAACTTTTTTGCCAGTAAAGTGGTTGACGAAGGGCGCTTGTCGGTTAGTTGCAAGCGATGGCTTCGCCCGTGGAAAAAAGGAGTCTTATTCGCATGCGTACCTATCAAACTCTTCGAAGTGAGTTATAATAAAATCATTCGGAATCTGCACATATTGAAGGGCTTTCATTGGTCCACACAATGTAGTTTGCGAGAAAAAAAAGACCACATGTTTTTCTATTGCCCTAAGATGAATATGCGAATTTGTATTATAGGACTTGGTTAATGTGGAAACTAACACATTTTAAACAATATAAGATCAAAAAATTTTTTTTTCAGAAAAACGACTTCAGCGCCTTTTAAAGGGACTATGAAACAATTCTGAAATCAAATTTCATCTATTGCATGTCTAAAAGCTGTGAAAACAAAACCGAAACAAAAAAAAAGAGCAAAAAAAAAAAGTTTGCTGTGGAACTTTTAAAAGAAAAGTGGACTCTTCTCTGCCTTTTCACTGCGATGCCATTGCATGTCGCCTATTGGATAAGAGCCTACCTCACCCGCACCGCGATTATGAACAATAAATAGCTGACGAATATTTCTTCAAATTTTTTTGAAGAATATTTTGATCTACATTTTGTTGAATACAGTTAGCGATGTGACGGAAATTGACGAATACTATAATAACCAGAGCTATGCGTGATCTATAGTGTAGTAAACGAAGCAAGAGAACGATAAGACTGCACCTGCGCTGTTTGGCGGTTGCTGAAAGCGTTGGTGATCTTCGACGTGGTCAGCGTGGAAGCTCATCGTTCCGCATAGAGCGCTATCCTTGACTAAATTCTCGTCGTGTGTCGCGATGATACCCCAGCACATCGTAAAAGGAAAGATTCCTCTACACGTGCAGCAATGTGCGGCACTTTCCAGACAGCAGAAACGCTCGTGCTGTCGTCTTTGTTTTTTCGACTACAGCGGTGCTTTCTTGGCATTTGTCCTCGTCGAACATCGCCCGGATTTCTTATTCTGTGCATTCTATGCGTGTGCTCAAGTTCAAGATATTACTGGTGCGTACTGTATTTAAAGGCGTGTATGAAGGATTTGAATTTTGATGTGTTTTCATCGCCCGAGAAAAGTGGTTAGTGTTAGCATTCCTTAAACGATCGCAATGTCTGCATGATCATGGAATCACATTCCTACAGTGTCTTTTGCAATCGTAGAAAAGCCATGTGCACAAAATTTGTACTATCAGTAAAGTCATGTTTTAAAGTGATGACAGTCCAAAACAGCATACAGCATCATTTTCCCTTTCTTTTTTTTCATCTCCCCTGCCCTGTGAGCCTATACTAACAAAATACAAAATAAAAGTTAATAAAGCTTAAGCCCATAAAGAACTGTATTTTCTGCTACGCCAGTGAGTGACAGCGCATTCCCCATTTTAGAGATACCACAGAAACGGCTGTTGTGCTGACGACCTGCTGCGATTTGTACCAGCGTATGGGACCAGTCCCATGCTGTCGCTGTAGCACAACATCTCATTGAATTTCGCTCAGCTGCTATGTTTTCATGGCTATCGCGGCGATGAGAGGCGCCGATTCAGAAAATATGTCGGTGGCATTGGCACCATCAGCGCAGTAAAACTGTGGCAAAACCTACCGGCACACCGCCGCTAGCACTCCCATTCTCCTACTGCTGGGTGCCACAGTACATCACGACCGGCAAAATTATGCCACAATTGGAAAGGAAGAAAATCTCAATATTTCAATAACTTTTCGTGTAAAAGTTTTCATTATGAATCCACCTTGTAGGAGCGCGAACTCTTTGCGTATGCACGCAATTTCCGAAAAATAGCGTACGTTAAAACAGCTAACGCAGAGCGTGTTTAGCATTCGGCATATGCGCAGTGGCGACGACGCTATTCTTCGCGTACGCAAAGCTTTAGCGTGCACTATTCTAAAACTCCCTATTGAAGGTTTAATGTAAAAGTTGTTTGGCAAAAAGTAAAAAGGTCAATTCATGGTCTTTTTAATGAGCCAGAGTCTCCAATTTTCAAGTGCACCTTACATAACATTCTTGCGAGGGTCAAAACAGTTTCATGACAATCGGTCATCGTATCGTTCGTTATAGGGCGAAGAAAGTTACCGCAGAAGCGGTGCCGTGCAAGTCTGCGAGATCGGCGAATCCTCCTCTCCCGCTGATTGACAGGCACAGCTTTTTAGCACCAATTTCTGGCGCAGATGCTTTCGAAGCGGCACCATGCGGCAAATTATTGAGAATAGCAGCGTGGCTGCTGGAAACAAAAAGTATTGACATCCCTGCACATATGGAAAGGGCCGCAAATGTGCCAAGTGCCGGTCTCGGCAGCAGGCACCACGCCGTCAGTGCAGCAATACATGCAGTCCGCTGCTACGCTAGTCCGAAACTTTTGTCCCCTACTGTACTCATGTTACCAGCATTTTTCATCGTGCTTGGGCAATTTCGTAAAAGGTTTATTGAAGGATTAGTGACCAACTGCGTCGAACCATTAACATCATGTGAAGCCATCCCCTATCCACTAGTTGCACTGACTGCAGTGGCGACTTTCCTGATTTCTTGCAAAGTGCAAGTTTCAGAACAAACAACTTTTTCTTATCTGCAAGCAATATGAAAGGTCAAATTGCTAAGCTACGGCAAGCTGAAATATACCCTATTGATGTAGCGATCAATTACACTACTTGTCCTCACTCACTGCTATCTCATGATGACAAATTCTACGAATTGCTATTTTAGAGCAAGGAGGTCAATATTTCAGTAGCTGCCACTACCAAGCCCTCGTGAAATCGCTGTAAGCCCGTTCTCGTGGGTGTCGCGTAACGATCGCCTACTCACATCTTGGACAGCTTGGAAGCTGCGCCGCCGGTGACTTTGGCAACTCGGAGGGCGGCAAGCTCTTGCTTGAGGTCTTCCAACTGCTTGACCAAGTCTTCTTTCTTCTTGCCACGAAGCTCGCGTGCTTTTACCTTGGCCTAGGTAGGGATCCGAGAAACACGCTTTCAATCACACACGCACCGCTTCAAGCATTGAGCAAGCACGGACGCCTGGTCAGCATTGTAAACATTTGTCAGAATGCAATCTGGATCTCACTTATGGTGATCGCGAGGAAGTGATAAACGATATTCGTTACTTTCCCCGGGTGGAATCGATTTCCTTTCTGCGAGAGGTGAGGCGATAAACTTTGTCAAAAGGAGCTGACCCCCATAGCGCCCAACGGAGATGCAACTCGAAGATCGCACTTTAAGGTTTACATCAAAATAAAGTTTCGCGATAATACGTGAAACACTCTTAGACACTTAGGCACGTATAATTATGCGCTAGAAGTTCGAAATAATAAGATGAAGATGGATTTAGATGCTACATACCATCGCTGTGAATACGCCGGCGGCTCAAATCCAAAAGAGAAGGAAAACAAGAAGTGGGTGATACGGGCAACATTTTTCCAAATAACTTTGAAAAGATGTATTTATTATAAATTGAATAAATATTAGTTATATTATAAAAATATGCACAAATTTGTACGAAACTTATAAAACATTACAACTAATATTTTGACGTGATAAGCCGTTCTGGTAACATTCAGGTCTTACGCACCGCGGTACTGTGAAGTACTCTAGCGGAAGTGTTGGAAGGGCTGTGTGGGTGTGTGACAAAATCTCCGATTCTTTTTGTTTGAGTTCTCCGTTGGACCTCCCCCTCCTCTTTCTTTATTTGCGAAGCACAAATATTTCGCGATGGCGAAGAACACATCAAGTTCGGCGTTCCGAAAGATCGACATAGACCAGTACAACGAGGACAACTACAAGGAGGATGAGGCGCCGGACGCCCAGTCCAACGCGCAAGCCGGCCCCGACGAGCAAGAAGTGAATCACCTGCTCAATCAATATCCTTTTGCCGCTGTCTTGCACCCGTGTGAGCGTTCCCACGACGCTTCCCCGACTCTGGTATCAAGCAATTCTTAAGACTACGTCCCGTTCAGTATGCGCAAGTTGTAATGTAAACAACGCCCGTCAGAGCCGGTCAGGTATGGCGCTTCATGCCCTCCCGATCTCATCCATTATTTATACGAGACATCTCGTCGCATCCGAGATGAAATGGGCTGTTGTCTGCGTCACAACCTGGATACGCTTGACGTCTTTCAACTGTACTGGTGGACCAATACTTATCGCCCGCTGAAAAGTACGAGGTCTGTGCTGTAAGATAACCATACACGTCGGCGTAGAACACATCTCAGTGGCAAAACCTTCGATGTTAGCAGGCCACCAGAAGATGACAACGGGAGGGAGTCCCCTTCAGATGCCCGGCCTCTAGCGCGCGCTCGTTGCTCTCTGCCGTGCTTCGACTGCGCGTGCACGCTCGAGGCTGATGATACGCCGAAGCATTATCGAAGGTAAAACGCGGAAGGCGGGACATTTGAAGGATTTCCCTGCCGTTTTCACTCTAAATGTCATCGTGTCTCGTCGCATAAACGTGAGGTATTGGACGCCTTAACTTGCGTTTGTAAGGGAAAGAATGTCGACGCCCTCAAGATAATCCTGAAGGCTGCACCCATTGGCTCCAAGTGCCAGAGTGTAAAGGTAAGTGCTGCTTCTGAACTGCATAATCATTTGTCTTGATATGGTCTCTTGCTTTCTGTTGACCAGCATCACATTTTTGGTACTGGGCCCAAAGACTCAAATTATGTGTATATATATATATATATATTTTTTATTTTAGTTCATGTGGCATTAAGTTTTCACAAGTCTTCCCCATGTCAGCGCCGAGAAAGAGCACCAAAATGCTGGTTCCATAGTGCCATTTTTCGTTGAAACTTCGTAGTATTGTTGCTTAAAGGGACCATGAAATAATTTTAAAATCGAGTTTCATCCACCGCACGTCGTAAAAGGTGTGAAAAGAAACACAAAAACAAAAACTAGGGAGCCAAAAAAAATTATTTGCTATAGAACTTTTAAAAGAAAACTGGACTCTTTTGCGCCTTCTTTCCTTCGCCTTTTCACTACGATGCATCCGCGGAAACTGAACGCATCAGCCGAATCCACGTCGCCTACTGGGTAAGAGCCTACCTCACCAGCACCGCGATTGTAAACAATAAATAGCCGGCGAATGTTTCCTAAAAGTTTTGTTAAATAATATTCAGATCCACATTTTGTAGCATAATTAGAGATGTGTGGCGAAAATTGCCAAATTTGATAATGCTGAGAGCCAAGCGCCATCTATCGTGTGGTCAACGAAGCAACTACTGCGCGTGCGCAGTAGGGCAGGGCCAACAGTTACTTGGGTGGAGGCGACCGACGAACGTTTATTTTCTTTGTTTTCCTTCCTCTCAAAACTCTGACTGACTGAACGTTTATTTTTCTACGTGTTCTTCTCGCGCGTGCCGACTTCAAGCAGCAAGAAAACAGTACTTAAAACAGACCAAGACGTTTGTCGACGTTTAGCGCACTCGAAAAACTGTCATTCAAGCATTCACACACCCAAAGAACACTCCTTTCACACAGCGCTGTGTGAAAGGAGTGTTCTTTGGGTGTATGAATGCTTGAATGACAGTTTTTCGAGTGCGCTAAACGTCGACAAACGTGAACAACCAACTCGCCCAATCTCAAGTTCTTACAGACCAAGACGAACAAGAACTTTGGATCCACCGACTCCGACGAAGCGAGCTGGGGGGCTATGTTGCGCTTTTTGCACTCCCAGGAGACTAGGGAGAGGGAAGTGACGTCAACGACACAGCAAACGCAGATTGGGTGTTGATTTCGTTTTCTTCTGTCAACATCCAATCTGCGTTTGCTGTGTCGTTGACGTCACTTCCCTCTTCCTAGTCTCCTGGGAGTCCAAAAAGCGCAACATAGCACCCCTACTCATAATATAGGCCTGGCAGGCATTCCGACTCAGCGCTGCGTTGCTTCGTCGCAAGACCGTCTGCCTACGACCGGCTGGCGTGCTGAATGGAATATGCCCGCGCGACCCTTATGAACCCTTCCCGTATTATAGTTTGATCGCTGACCTCAATTTTAGATTAAGAGGTGAGGTCAATCTTTTCCCCTTGTTTTCCGAGGCAGTGTTGACGAACACTCGTCGAAAAGAGACTCTCGTCGATTCTATCTTCTTGTTTTGTGTGATATAGAGCTGAAATAAACGCCGTATGGATTACCTTCGTAACACGGTATGTACACTTTGTTATTGGTATGCCATTTTTATTCTGACAGACTGCACGTCACTGTCGAGCTATAACAGTTCGTGGGAGGTATACGTGCAACCCCGGTCCAACCTTTCTTTGCCGAGTGTCGCGTCAGTATCGAGTTGCAATCGTAAAAGAACGGTCCCGAAGCGCTTACCAACAGCGCGAATACAGCACTTCCATCAAGTGCGCGCGTCCGCTCCGAGTGTAAACAGGTATTTACGTGGCTCTTGCTGACACTCGTAGTTCAAACGTATCTTTTTTAACGTCGGCTCGCTCCTGCATCTCCGAGGCCGCGAAAAACGCCACGGCAATTTGTTTCCATCTACGTCGCTTTGCAAACGACTGACACGGGCCGGCCCTTTTGCCAACAATGACAGTTGGGTTGACTTCTGGAGTCTTCACCGGAAGACTCGCTGCACTTCCCAACAGGCATACCGGCGTATGGGACTAGTCTCATGCTGTCGCTGTAGCGCAACATATCTCATTGAATTTCGCTCAGCGGCGATGAGAGGCGCCGATTCAGAAAATACGTCGGTGACATCAGCGCAGTAAAACCTACCGGCGCACCCCAACTCGTTGCCGCTAACGCTCCCATTCTCCTACTGCCGAGAGAACTTCCGGTTCCGGAAACAGCGTACGTCACGGCTTGTTTCGCGGTCAGTTGGAGAGAAAGAAAAAGTCGATATTTCATTAATTTTTTGGGTAGAAGTTAATAAACCGAGACGAAAACGGATGCCTGTTTGGCATTCAGTGAACATTGACGGTTTAATGTAAAAATTATCTGGAAAAAGTAAAAAGGTCATTTCATGGTCCCTTTAAAGACCAAGTGTTGATACAATGGGTTTTCCAGCTCGCTGCACCTTTGCATCAGTTGCATTAACATCATGAGCTGAACATCTGCCTGGCCAGCTAAATGCTTTTTCCGTGTAATTGCTGAAGTTCGCAACATATAAGATAGGCATTCGTTTTTAGCTTCATGTGTTCTGTTGTAGTAATAAGCGGAGAAAATCTGACATTGTTAACCGCCCAACTTGTGGTCAGAACAGCCTGTTCTTTCGCTGCTCATGCCACCATTCTTTGTCACGGCTACACGTCTGTCTGAATCGACAATGCTCGGAGCACAAGCTGTGCTCTGGACGTTGTCAGAGTTCAGCAATTTACATCACCACACTAATTGGCCACAAACATGAGCTCAATTACTCATTGGCGGTTTGATTGATACAAAGTGTAAGCCAGCCGTGGCCAATCTGGGAGCTGCATCCAGCCGTGATGCACTTGGGATCATGTGAACTTGATAGAATTTCATTGAAGTCTGAAAGCTTTCTAAAGAAGAAAACAAACCTAGTACCCTCTTCTTTATGACATTCCGCAGTAGAAATCATATTTCCGGCCCCCTATCGTTGTGCAGTTGTCATCTTGTATCCCACCATACAATATACAGTTAAGGCTTGTTTTCACATACATAACACAAGGTTTGCACAGGTCCTTGAAAGCCCTTGAATTTGGAAATGCGACTTTCTAGTCCTTTAAAACCGTGAAATCTACAGTGCTTGAAAACCCTCGAACCTCATGATTATAGCGACCAGCATTGTCTTTTTGCAACAATAAGGCATAATTACTATGCATGTTTTTTGCATTCATATTAAAATATTAAACTTTTCCATTGCGGACGACGAAATTTTACTTTGTAGTATCGCAATTAAGACATTTAGTGGATCGTCTTTGCCACAGGAGCAGTAGTTTGAGTTTTATCCTTTCCACCATCTTCGGGTCTTGCTTTGTTTTTCCTTGGTGGTTCGTGGTTATTGCACCTGCCCAGCCTGTCTCTTAGCTAGGTTTGGTCGTCTCAGTCCGCATAGGCTTCACCTGGCACATGGTGCACGTGGACATACCTGAGGTTGCATGTGATACCCAGGTAGCTCAACTTGCGATAGTTGTCTTACCTTGTGGGAAAATGTTGCATATCTCGTCTGTGGGAGAGTTGGCTATAAAAAATCTATATCAGTTGTGTGAAGCACTGTGGCCACATGAAGACAACAGTGGATAACTTCACGAATTGCTGGATGCCGTGCGTAAGTGAACAGTCAGTTTGCCAGCAGGTGTAAAACCTGAACAATGCGTGCGAGTTGTTAATAAAACCGTTTGCAGTCTGTTAAAGGAGTGCTATGACCCTTTCTGTAATTCAGTGCCATCTGATGACTCAAATGGCAGTTTAACTTTTTCCGTACTAATGGCGGCATAAAATACCGCAGACCTGTGGTGTGCAGTATCTTATGGTGTACCGTAATTTCCGCAAGTCAACAGTAAACGAGAATGCGCACTTCACTGTACAGTTCTTTTTCAATCTCTTTCAGTGTTGATGGTGAGAATGATGCAGCCAGTTGGAACGAAGCGCCAACCCACATAGACGCCTTGAAAAAATTCTATACATCAAGGGGCTTTAAGGCCGAGTGTGTGCTATTAACCGATTGACTGGGCCCGAGTTAGAAACAAACACTTACGCAGCTCTTGCATTCAATTCCTGATTCACGTCGCGCTACCATCTAGGATGTAAAGGCCTCGAATCATCTGCTTAGGAGCATCTTCAACTTCTTCCTTCATCAGTAAACAGAAGGCTGCCATTAGTATAGCACATATGCCATTTTTCAGATGATGATAGTCACCAAAGTGGCCAGACTGAATTCCGGAAAGGGTTTATTGTAAAACTACAGGGTACAAAACTATGGTTTTTTTAAGCATCTTATAGGGCCTTGAGAGTCCTTGAAAACCCTCAAATTTTTGTCTTCAGAACCTGTATGTACCCTGAACACACCTCTATTTCAATGCTATCGGTCAACACTGAAAATAGCACTGACCTCGCTGATGCAATGCTAATACAGCGCTGCACCAGCACTGTTCTTTGTGTTGATTTAGCGCTGCACTGTATGCACGAACCAGCCTTTGAAGTCAAATTTGGACCTAGTACCAGTTCGCGGTCCCTTTAGACATTGACCAGTAAAAGGTGCCACTTAATTTTTTACGTTACTGGCAACCATGGGGTTGTGTTTCGAGCTATGTCTGAAGAAAAGGTGGGTGTAATATAGCATTTCAGTTCAGCCTATAATGGCGTTGTACAGGGTGTCTAGCCGCCGGGAAAACCAGGAATTGTCAGGGAAATTTTAATTACCCGGAAAAATCGGGGAATTGCCAAGGATATTGTCAAAAAGCGAGCCCAGTCAGGGACGATGAGCCGGAAACGCCATCAAGTGCTCTGAGCACTCGATGGCGTTTCTGACTTGAGGACTTGGGGGCAGAAAAACGGGCGATAAATTCTGCTTGGAGCGGAGCGCGGGCTCTGCTCACCCGATGTAGAGCGTGCTACCCAATGCAGAGCCCTTTATACTAAGAGTGTTTGGCCAATGGGGTGGAGCTTGTTGCCCGCTAGAACCAGTAGATTTCGCGATAACGCAAAATGGTGTTCTTGTTTGTCTTTTTTATTCCTGAGAAATTGCATAGAGCTCCTATGAGTCAGAGCCCCAAAATGGCGGACAGAAGTAGTCCTCCCCCGGTTGTCAGACTACGCTGCTGTGGTTGCCAGGCTATCAAAATCTCCTTAAGAAGGCCAAACTCTCTCAGTATAACCGGTTCTGACCCGATGAAAAAGGAACAGTCAACAAATCCAGTCCAAGCCTTGAATTGGATTGGATCAAGGGCACAACACTAGGCTAGTTCCAGTTAGAGCTACTAGATTTAGTAACAAATAGGAATGCTGCACACCCGAATCCAATCCAAGCCGAAAGTATCCAAAACTGTGCAACTAGTGGCAGCCATGGTTGAGCGTCGTGTTTTCATTGTTTTTCCTTTCCAGAAGTAGCCTCTTCACTGACGATGTCGGCGGCAAGAAAGTACTCGTTTAATCTGGACTGGGGGCAAACTCTAATATTTCGGAATATGCAAGTTGGATTAAGCCCGTGCAAAATTATCCTCACAGTGCTCAATGCTCAATGCTTTGTGTTGTAATGGTCTTATATATTTTACCGCCTCTACAGTTGTCAGGGAATTCGAAGTGAAATTGTCAGGAAAAGCCTGAAAACGTTGGGGAATTTCAAAATATAATTTGCTAGACACTGTGGTTGTAGTTTAAAAGTGTGATTGCATTGCTTAGCACCATTAAATTAGGATCATCCAAAGGCCATGCCTCACGTCATTGTCAGCCTTACTTTTTAAAGGTTTAAAAGCTTCCAACCGAGGCACTCAAAAATGGCTCACTTGATTTCATCAGTGAGAAGAGAGCCCAGTTTCCAGTGTTGTTCTCACAGCAATGTGGGCATGAGATTTCATGAGGCTAGTGTCTTGTATTTGTAACTGCTGTGTAAGGTCTTGGATGACTGACCTATGAAAAGGTGGCATAATGACTATGAACATAGTTCTGAACTTGATTTTTATTTATTTATTCAAATTATCGCACGGCACCTGTAAGGTCATTAAAGTGGGGGAAATCAGAAGGAAGGTACTCTGCCTGTAGAAAAGATGCTCAACAAATAAAAAAAAATCCCCAAATTAAAGTAAAATAGATTAATGCGCATGCAAACTGGGTCCGTACATTTCATTGAACGCCGCCTCGTTGAATACTGTTTCATCAAAGACTTTTGATCTAGCGGCATTTTATCAAAAGCCATTTCATCAAACGCCTTTTCATCGAAGCCGTTTTATCAAAAACCTATGAAGTTTTACACGAAAAAGGCTCTGTGCAAAAGCCGGGTGAAAAATCTCGGGTATGATTTTTTTTCCTGGGGTCGAGAGGAGTTTCCTGTCCAATCCACTCATGCATATTGCTGTGGTATTTACATATCCTACCTTGAGGGTAAAGTTGGTTCGAACTTGGTCAAACTTTTGTTTAGAAGTTTGTAGTTTGTCAATTGAACATGATGGTAAACCTGAGTCTGGGGTAGGAAAAGGAAAATGCAAAAGAAGACAGAAAAAGAACAGGCAGCGTCTCAATGTCAAACTCTTAAACTTATCAGGATTGAAAGTTAGAAAAAGGTCAAATTCCTTGGTGTGGCCAATTTGAAAGTTTTAAAATATTCTAATTTCTTGGCACAAAAAATGTGAGTCTGAAAATTGTCGTATTTTTTTCGTGGAATTAGTTGGAACGTTGCAAAACTTTTCAAACCCCATAGTTTGATCATCAACCCTCCGGTTCTAAATATGTTTGCAGCACGTTTAGCGGTGTCACACGGCGTACATACTGTTAGAAGCGATGGCAATAGACACAGATAAGCCTGCACACTTTTATAGCATCTTGGAAACCCAAAGCTAAGGAACGAAAATTGGCTGCATATCTGGTATTTCCCAAAGACATTCTAAATGCGTAGCATTTATGGGGCCTCTTCATGCTCCTCCTTTTGCGGGCTTAGTAAGCAGGCTACGGAAGGGCACATCGCGTGGGTTTAGAGAACTTATAAAACTGTGACACTGCAACATTTTTCTTCTATTTTTTCGTTTTTTAAAGAAAAAAGTTTAGATTTTAAAATTTCTTCCTTTTAAATGTTGCGCATTTAAAAATAGGTTCACATGACATTGCACATTCTCGTCCGGCTCATGAGGCGGACCGCGGTCACCATTGACACTCGCCAATTCTCTCTCCAGGATGCCACGAGCGCACTGGTGATGCGGGTGCTGCTGGCGGTGAAGGCCAGCGAGATCGAGAAGGCAGTGGGCTCCCTGGACCGGGACTCGGTGGACGTGCTGATGAAGTACATCTACCGGGGCTTTGAGAGCCCCTCCGAGGGGAGCAGCGGTCACCTGCTTGCCTGGCACGAGAAGGTGGGCACACTCGGCCACAGCTCTCAACCCCCAAAAAGATTCTCTTTTTTTTTTTTTAAGTGACTGGATGGCACGTATGATACAAATTGATTTCTATGTTTCCTATTTAGCTCTGTTTCAAGTTCTAGATTGGGTGTTCTTTTTGATCTCGAGGATCTAACCTTGAATGGCAGCCAAGGAACCCCTCCCAATCTCGTCATGATGCAGTAAAGCAGTGCAGAAGCTTATAGTCAGATACAACACAAGAAAGACAGCAAGAAGGGGAAAAGGGCACATGCAAGAAGAGCCGTTAGGGAAACGAGGTCGCTCCTCTCCGCTTCAGCTTTTCTGAAGTCGGTGACAGGTTAAGAAAAGTTTTCTGGCTGGGGAGGGGAAGCTGACAGAATGATAAAGAAAGGAGGTGGTTTCCTCCTCTCCAGCATTCTGTCTGCTTCCTCTTCCCCTGCCCTCCTTTCCCTCGAAAACTTTTCTTAACCTGTAACTGACTATAGTAGCATTGTAAACAATGATGCAGGTGACCAAGAGTGTTTGGCTCGCAGTCCTGCACCAATGGGTGGTTCAGATCTGCTTGAACAGTGCTTCAAATGTACTTTACTTAGGGGTGGTTAAGTGACTTTGATGAGCCCAAGGTGAGTCCAGGGAACCCCTGGGTTCCTTTGAAACCTAGTTTGGAATCTCGTGTTCTAGGTACATAGATGTCTGATGAAAAATTTTGGTTTAAAGAATACAAGCTTTTTTTTTTTCAATAGAGCCTCATAAACAGCCTGGATATGTGATTTTGAATTAATGCACCCAAATAAAAGGCAGTTTTCAAATGTAATATTAAAAAAAAAAAAGAAAAAAAAAATATATATATAAAAAGTTTGAAACATGTATAGTTCAAGGAACAAAAATGTTCTAAAATATTAATCTTCTTCGTTAATTTTTTTTTTGCTTTTCAAGACCCGAGTCTACCCTCAAAGGGGAACTCTGCCGATTTTTCTATAGTCGTCGATTTGGCTGGAAACTGGCAGACCGCATCAAAAACCCTTTCTTAACTGACAACCAAAATATTTTATAAATATAAAAGTTTTTCCCTGAAGTTATTGAATTTAAGTTACGCCGGCCGCGAGGGTGCTGGGAGGCGACTTTCTACTGGCAACAATAAAAAAAATCCCTACTTTTCTCTACTCCTGAACGTCACCGGCGGGCAGGTGGACGAGTGACCCGGACAGCCGCGAAGCGGCTTTCCGGGCGCCAGCATTCGGGATTTTTTTTTCGCAGCTTCAAGGTTGAAAGCTCCTTTGCAATGAGTAGCAATCTGTGCTCCGTGGTAGATTGTAGTAGCAGTGCCGGGAAAAGCTTTTCCTTTACCCTTGTTTTCGTGGGAGAAAAACAATATGCTCGCTGGCAGCATATTGTGTGCCGAGAGAACTAGTGTCGCATGAGTCATTCTCGCTTGTGCCCGAAATAGTTTATAGAGTTATGGGCTTCAGTACGCGGCTACATACTTTACAGCCGCATGCTGCGAGTTGAGTATTCTGCAGCTGGAACACCTTCAAGAGCGGCAAGCACTGACTCGAGCTGGCTGTGGCCATCTGTCCAAACAGCAGCGCTAATAATATTGAGGAAAACTTGTGCGCATTTCAGCACTATAGTCGACGTTTGGCGCAGTCTCATATTTTGTTCATAATTAGGGCTGGGCAGTTGATTGATTAACCTACCGATTAATAGATTAATGCTTTAATCGCAATTAAATTTTTAAACCAGTTAAGCGGTAGCATTTTGACAAACCAAAATAAAGTAGAAATAAACGCTTTCATCACACAGTCCTGGACAAGTACACCTGTATGAAGGGAAAACTAGGTCAAATTTCAAAATAAAGTAAACTGTAGGGATGAGATTCTTAACTCCAGACAAGGGGGGGGGGGGGTGCAAAAGGCTACACATGTCCCGGCCACTTCAACCCCGTTTGAGTTTCCGTTTAGCACAGCAGAGGCTATTGTAAACAATTGGAGGAGGTCGCTCTTGCCTGAAAATATCAAGAACCTCTTTGTTTCGCGCGGCTTAAGTAGGAATCTGTGAGTGTGATTGTCTTTAAACTATTCTTAACTACACATAGAGATTGATTCATAATCCAAGTTCTATATTGTGCTGTTTTCACATATTCAGCATAGGCAAACAAAAAATATTAAGTTAATCTTTTTTTAAATATTATGCGTAGAAATAAACCAGACCGATTAATCGATTAAAGGGTGGCGATCAATCGGGTTAAAACTTTTAATCGACGCCCAGCCCTATTCACAATTGCTTCTATAATTTTTTATTTTTTGTCCATAAACATTTTTTTTTTTTTTGGACATCAAATGTGGCCGATCTGTTTAAGAAGAGAAGTGAAACGTCTAAACAAAGTTTGAGTTTAGACACGACTTTGACACACTGCTATTCGTGTGTAGTATTACAAAGGTTTAGGGAGCAGGTGTTGAATTCCATTAATAAACAATAGGGCCTGCCTGCATTGCCTGGTTTGTTAAATGGTTGGCATGAAATTTTCTCACGAAAGATGTGGTGAAAGCTTCTTTATATTATTATAGAGAAATGTCATATAGGTGTGAGAAGTTTTTAAAACTATGAAAATATTAATGTCGTTGAGGTGTTACTGCAACAGGTAAGACAAGCATGTGGGGCACCTGTATCCACATTTTGAGCATTCTTTGTGGTGCTTCTAGTTCTGCTCTTAGGTCATATTTTGTAAAAATAATTTAAAATATAGATTATTATCAAGTTCAGATAGCACAAACGCCCACATTTTCTCGCTGTTAGACGCGAGACAGGCAAGCGCAAGCGTACCTGATTGCTGGCCGCGCGCACCGCTGCCTGCCGGTAACGTCACGTTTGGGCGGTGGGGAAAACTGGGGAAAGACTAGGGAGAATGATGTTTCGGTTTCGGCATCAAACAAAATATTGCTTTTTTAATTGACTAGAGTGAATTTGGGGGAACAAGATATCATTTTGGAATCAGGAAACCATCGGCATTCAGATGATGCCATCGGATTAGGTAGCTAAAAAATCGCCGTAGTTCCCATTTAACCGTGAATAGGGTTAACCAGAAACCAAAACCACTGAACACGAGTAGGTTCCGTGATTTTAGTGTATACTGGTATACCCCCCAAAAAACGTCCCCGGGCCGGTTTTATCAACATTGAGGAAAACTAAGAGACCCCAAATTGGAGCTGTCCTTGAACAAGGAAAGGCCAAGTATCACGGGAAGAAGCCTACCATAAAGCGCAGTGGAAACACACTTCATTTAAGCGACCATTAACATTTCCCAAACTTTGGAATCCTGCGAATTATACGTTAAGGTCTTGACTTGACCGAACAAGCACCCATGTCTAGACTAACCCAGTTTCCGGTGAAAGTGAAGTGAATGCTCCCCCCGGTTTTTTTACGGTATATGGTGCAACCCACATATAACGATGAGAAAACCCGAAAATGTGGTCGTTATAACCGATTATCGTTTTATCTGGACTCAAAACCCATGCAAAAACGCTTGGTTCTCTAGAAAGTGATTGTTATAAGTTGTACATCATTATATGTGGTATTGTTATAAGTGTATTGCAGCGTATATCTATGGCTTTATTTTGCATTGACACCGGGGGCAACCTGGCGATCCACAGCATTCGACCAGGTTGCCCGCACATTCGTCCCTGGTCATTTCCACTGCAAAGTGGGTCGGTGCAGAAGTGTGCACGGGGCTTTTTGGCTCAGAGAGTGTGGCGATACCGGTCAATAATTGACGACTGTTGTTGAAGCGGTGTGTTGCATGATTCTCTAAGGAGGGTTGCACCGAGGGAAGTCTGGCGAGCCATTGTGTTTCTTCAACATATTTTTACCTTTTTTCTTTTTTTAGCGTAAACATTGATAAATTTAGATTTTTGTGCGGTGCTTATTATTGGACGAGTTGATGCTGAGTTTTAAAATATGCGGTAGTGCTCCAAGGCGAGGCCAAAGAAAAGAGAACTGAACACTACTGTACGCACAGTGGCGTCCAGTTCTCCTCCTTTTGTCCTTGTCGGTGAGCGCTACCGCAAGGCCTGCGGCTTTCCCCCACTGCTAACCCCCCCCCCCCCCCCCAAGCGCTGTCACGAGTGGATCAGCGCGTTGGCGCCGACGCATCTTGCAGCATCTCATAACAAGCGTGAGGCAACACCTGGACAAACGCATCTGCCGCTTTGCGGCAACTCCCGCCATGCTTCGGTGCATTAGCCGCTTGGGGCGATGTCGGAGATCCACTAACAGCGACGCCGTGCTAGGACCTTGTCTTCTAGGTGGTATTGGTGCTACCATAGTCTAAAATGCAGGTTTTGTGTCTTACACCGAAAGCACCAAACCTGGGGTAAAGACGAACCCAGAACCCCCCCCCCCCAAGTTTATAGCAAAATAAACCCAGAGAGTGCAAAACCCTAGCTCTGTGCGATCTGGCCACTTGCAAGGCCCACTGACGCTACGGCGCTCTTTGCAGGCCTATGCGGCGGGTGGTGTGGGCTCCATAGTGCGAGTCATGACGGACCGCAAGAGGGTGTGACATCCAGACGCAGCACCGGGGCTGCGCCTCCCTGCTCAAGAGCTGCCAGACCGACCGCCGCCTCTTCCTCCCCATCGAGTTCTTCCAGGGTGCGGCCCAGACGCCGCCGAGGGTTCATTGATTCCACTTTTTAAGCCCGTTTCTCGCGACGCACGACGACTGTAAATACGTGTGGCCAACTTGCAAGTTATTTGAGGGCTGAAATAAAGCTTGTTTTACCTTGTTGATCTATGTCTAGGAGTTGCTGGTTTTACTGATGCCTCGATGTGTTTCGGTGCAGCGAGGAGCCACGTTATAGAAGTGAAGGTGTTCTGCATCTGTGTTTGGGGCATACGCTTTCGTGGACTTCTCTCAGCTTTTGCTACTTGGAGGGGTCTCAAGGCTTTTTGTTGCACATCGGTAAAAATATTGCTCCTGTGGAGTAGTTTAATGAGGTACATTAGATGGCATTTCTGTCACCAGTTTGAATGTGGTTGCAGATCTCCCAGCTTTTCTTTTTCTTTCTCACTAGGCAGCCTAAGTGCATAGTCGATGCATTAGAAAAATTTGACCCATATAAAGTAGAAGAGATATTGAAATGAGAATGGAAATATGTGAGACATTCTTATATAAGCTTAATCTAATCATTGATTATCGTGAGAATCTGAATTTTGAACAGGTTACCATATCTTTTTCTAAAAAATATGGTAACCTGTTCCTATAAATATGTAACCCCTATGTAAATATGTTCCTATAAATATGTAAACCCTATAAATTTTCTGGAAGCTTCCAACAAAGCGCTAGTTTGTATCTCGGCACCTTAGCAGGCCTGGTCATGAGCTTCACCTCTTCATAACGCTACTGCCAGTGATATGATTGCTGCTTTAAAGGGCTTGCCCTGCTGCATCCTGCTACATTTAACCCAAATGTGAGGAACTTGCGCCAACATTGCGCCAGAACTTGATTTCACTTTATTAAATACTCAATATATAATGGCTCGGGCACTGCTACACGTCCGGATTGTTATGGTAAACTAGTGCAAATTTTCAGAACTTTTGATTTTAGCTGCAAATAACATACTATCCTTTTTGATCTTCCTATCAGTGTCAAACACTGACAGTACTCAAAATTTTCGCAATATCTCTCGTGTTCCTAATGTGCTCTGGCGTGCAAGTTACCTTTGATGAATGCGCTTCTTACTGCGCTCTTGTGTTCTGCAGTGAAGCAGTAACCATGAAGTAAGCATCACAATTTTACTTATCTTGCTTCGCCGCAGTGCATCAGAGTGCTGAAGGGAAAGCATTCCTCCAGACTGGGACATTAAGCATGTAAGCATCAAGTATATTAAAAAAAAAAAAAAACTTTGAGTATGAACGTGAGTCGAATCTCGTTAATTCGAACTCTAGGATGACCGAAAATTTGTTTGAATAAAGAAAAGTTTGAATTGCCGGAAGTTTTGTCCCATAGAGACGCATAGGATGGGGCCTGCATGTTAGTTTGAATGATCTCCAAGTTTGGAGCAACGAGATTTGACTGTATTAATGTAGCAGCTCTTAGTTGTAGTACAAACTTCTGAATGGTACACTGGCTCTTATTTATGACAGACTGCAGTATTCTAGCGACATCTTTTTCAAATTCGTGATTTAACTTGCAAGAAAATTTATATGAATTTGAATCTTGTTTAGATGTAACCTTTACATTTTGTTTGTTTGAGGTACAGTCAATAGAAATAAACTAAATTAGGTGAAGCAGTAGAAGGAAGATTGGGGATAACCTGAACAACTTTGGCCGGATTGTTTTAGGACAGCATATTTGTTCACATGGCAAACCCGGTTATTATGAGGTTTTACATACAAAATGTCATTAATTTTCATAATTTAATGACAAAAGTTTTTTTTTTGTCTGAATTGAGAATCTGTTTTATAACCTTTACAACTTAAATGAAACATCAATTTGTGTGCTCAAGATTATTCTAACATTCTTTTAGTGGAATATGCTATTTGGTTTAAATTTTATTTTTTACCTAAAATGGCAATTCACAGCAGTCCACTCTGTTCATTGATCAGCATCTTTTTGCCATGCCTAGTGCATAGCAAAGATGGCATTAGTTACTGGAAGCATCAGGTAAGTCGGGAGTCCTCCAACCTTTCAATCTGAGAAACCCGTCCCGGTCTCGACACTGATGTAGTGAAGCAGTTCAAGGAGCCTATAGAGCTCGCAAACAATGGTGAACATGCCAGGGAGTGTTTGGCTCATAGTTATACATCAATGATGGCTTAGACCTGCCAAGACAGTGCTTAGACTGGAAAAACACTTTACTTAAGGGCAGGAATGGCTGAGGGAATTTGGGAGCTTCAGTGAATCAACGAAGGTGCTCTGGAGAAAACCCGTTTTCATAGGAGCTCGGTTCAAGAGCCCACGATGTAAGCCAGACTAAAAAATGAACAAAGAATTGCAAATACCTAAGGGCACAACAATCTCTGAAAAAGTCATATGAGGATTGCATTCTGCAGCATCCTATGCTCCAATGGACCTGTTGCAATACGTACAGCGCCACGACAAAAGGACCGTCAGTACAGATAACGCGCTTTCTCGTTACGTCTCTGCGACTGTGCGCGAGTGGCGGCAGCTATACCGTCGGCAGCCATGATTGTATGAATCTAAACCAAAACGATACCTGTGGCAGCGTAAATGCATCGCGACAGGTGAAGCTATTCCCTTACTGTCGAGACCGGCTATAACGAAATCAACAGGAATCAGAAATCACTTTGGTATATCCACTATTTCGTTATAACCAACTTCGGTTAACAAAGTGCAAAAGGAAATGGGAAATCGTGATCGCTTTGCTGTAGTCGCTATTTCGTTATAACCGACTTCGTTATAACTGGTCTTGACAGTATTTGAATATGTAAGGTGTCGTAACTCATCTTTACGTCTTGCAGTGTCACCGAATCCACTTATTTTGCACCGCAACCACGTCGGGGTTCAACTAGGTTCGACAAAGCGTTGGTGTAGCAGACGACAAAGCCGGTACAAAGGAGAGAGATGAGAAAGGGGCAGCCTCGCAAGCTAGCCAACATTTCCCTCATTTCCGTGCGCTCATCCAACTCGGCTGCTCCAAGCGTTGTTGCCTTGGTAACCTGTGCCTGCTCACGTATATCACGTGGTAGCGGAGGAAAGATGATGAAAGGGGAGTATCAAGGACTCCCGTAATTCGTCGCGCGGCACATGTAGGCTTTTGGGATTTTTACAAAGAGTCTATTGGGCGAAATCTAGAGCGTTGTGGGCTTGTAGTTTGTTCCAACAGGACATAAAGCTACGAAGACTCTCATCTTTAGGTGTGAGGTAAGCATCGGCTGCCGAAAGAGACGAAACATAGCCGTCAACGCGTTGAGTAATTTTGATTTCAGCAACCTCAACCCACTGCTCAAGCCTTGGAGATCAAAACCAGCCTAGAGTGCCTGCAGCAGACACTGTCTGCATCTCATCCTCTATGCATCAAATTTGGTAATTCTTTATGCATACCTGCCAGTTTTATTGTGGAGATCTAGAAGCATGCTACACTCTTATATACAGTAAATTTTTGCAGGCTCAATGTTCTTAAAATTTTGTAAAGTGAGGGTTCCCACAATATATTGAGGGTACCAAATTTCACGATTGGGAGTGATATGCTAAGCGTTTGTTACCTCTGAGCCGCGAGCGATCTACTTGTCTGATAAATTTTTCACAATATTTTTAGAGTCAAGAAACCATAAAAATTGGATCCTCATAAAAACAAAGTTGTTAATGGTACTACCAACTTTCCGTTTCCCCCCGAAATTGTCCATAATGCGAGTTCTCCATAATAGCTAGACAAAAATGCATGTATTTCCCCAGTTTGTCCCTTAAAATGGTGTCCATATAGTGGGGTATCCATATTAATGGGGTCCATATACAGTAGACACTCGTCAATTCAAACTCTAGGAAGTCACAGATTTCAGTTTGAATTATCAGAAGTTTGAAGTATCAGAAATTCATCTAAAAATGATACCAGAAAGCATTATGATATGTTATATGAATAGCTACACATACAAAGCAGATTTTTGCAAGTTTCCTTTAAATAGGCCTAATTATAAGCAACTTTAGGCATAACACATTGGTGAAAGAACTGTCACGTTAAGTTTATTCGTCCGGCAAAAAGTTGTCGATTGCGGACTGTTTAGTCAGCACATGAGATCTCAAAACAAAACTTTCAATACCAGTCAATGCAAGTAGCTCTTTACGCGACTCTTCCTTTGGAGACAAACTTCCGGAGCTGAGCGATGTACTCAAAGGCCTCTGCGGCTGTGACAGTTGGTAGCGGGTCACCCCTTTCTTCATCATCATCTTTACTCTCACTGCCGCACTGAGCTGGCATTACTTACTGTACTACGTCCTCTAATTAGTCACCACGACAAACACACATCGTCGTCAAGACTAGCATATTCCGCCAGCTCGGCGTTCACATTATGTGCTTCAAGGCCAGAAAGCATGATGCCAGTGAGCTGTTCCTCATCCTCGATGTCGTCTTGGTCAGCATTGCTAGCTTGAAGCACATAATGTGAACGCCGTTTCCGCTGTGTGCCCGCTTGAGACCCGTTGAGTGCGCTTCTTTCCGAACACCGGTGCACCGCGGAGAAGCAACACTCGCAAAAGCAAGCTCCGCGGGTATTGCTTCTCTGTGGTGCACCGGTGCTCGGAAAGAAGCGCACTTAACGGGGCCGCGAGAACAAAAAAGTATGAATAGTGAAAACGCCGTTCGAATTAAGCGGCTTATAAATACATTAAAAACATAGCAGGTCAATCAAAATTTTCAAATCTGTTTGAATTAGCCGGAAGTACGAAATATCCGAGTTTGAATTATCGCGAGCCTACTGTAAACGAAACATGACTGTACTATGGACATAGTGGGTTATCACTTGATGGGCACTATTGTTAACTCACTTGATGGGCACTATTGTTAACTATCTTGTTGTTTTGCCTGGTTCAACCATTGCATTGACAATGTTCACAGCAACTGAAATACCAAATTATAAGGACAACCATGCTTTGTATGCCACATAAAAATTGGCAGCCATGCAGCATATGAAATGGCTCTGATGTGACTGAGCTTTCGGTTGCTGCAAAAAATGACTGAAGTAGCTTTTAGTTAAAAAAAAGTGCACAAATGAAAAGGACAAAGTAGAGAACAAACACGGCACACAAGCCAGCTAGCCCAGTTTTCAACCCTTTTGGCCTTCAGGACTCGTTCTGCAAACCCTAACCTACCAAAACCAGGAAAACAATGAACCAGCACAGTTGCCCAAGACAAAGTTTTTAGCAAAGAAGACAATTGACAAGCAAAATGCATACAAATAGTTGCAATTGGATTTATTGAGTGTAACAACTTCTTAAAAGCACTCAAGCACCAGTTTCACATTTCAGATGAAAATGGCTCCATCTTTTTCACAGCGGCTCAAAATACAACCAAAGCTATACAGATTTACAAAGGCGACCAAATGAAACGTTGTGCCATTTACTAATCGATTTTCTGAATGAGCGTCTTACCTTCTCCTTTATTAAATTTGTAGTGCAGTCTGTGCTGTCTTGTAAGAGGTGCATTGGTGGTACAAAAATATATCTATCACTAATCAGTCTCCTAATGGGTAACCTGAACACATCTCAGGCCACAGGAAAGATTCAGCCCTAGCCAAAGCGACCCGTTTTCAATCAATTAGTTTGCTCGAGTCAATTTTGAGCTAGCTTACCACTATACCCCCCAAGTCAAAAACTTCTATTCTCCACGAAAGCATCGCACTCCAGACTAAAAAGGAAAAACATGAGAGCTGTTGTAATTGCTATTTCACACTTCAATAAGGCAAGACGTTTGCATGGCTGATACTGCAAGGTGTTTGAAGCTATCCATATCTCTCCGTACTGTCTGCTAGCTGCATTTAAAACATATTCTGGCATTCTCCATGCCATTGCCAAATCCAGATGCCCTAAAAGAACTAAATTGGTTAAAAGAAAACGTCAGACTTCCATGCAAAAGAGCAGAGCTTGTCTTCTTGCAGCAATAACACAAAGATGAGCGTGAGCATCTTGAAGCATGTTTTGTTATATGAAACCAGACTGTTGAGGGCCCAGATTCAGCTACAGTGAACAAGGTCACACCCCTGTGTAGCACAGCCACAATGCTAACTACCTCTGAGCCAAGGTTACCATTCAAAACTCTTCTCAAGCATAAGCACAGGGATGGTAAAATACATACAGTGCAACCCTAATACGACAACCTCCCAGATATTGTGAAAAAATGTCTTCGTTACAACAATCATAAATAAACTGATACATGGCATTAGTCTTACTCGGATTTTGATGGTTTCTGCAAGCAGCATCTCGGTGTAAGTAAGCCGGGAACCAATATGAAGACCATTCTTGCCGCGTGGCCGACAAATGGCAAACTGCCAAGGTCTCTCTTTGTCCTGTATGTCGTTGGCAGTGACTTTCCAAATAGCTAGAGCATCCTGTGGTTACTACAAATCAGTTTCTACATTCTTCTAATCTAGTCAAGTCTGAGTGCAGCAGTTCTCAAGATGCCGCCAACCTTATGCTAAAGAGCACAGAATCTGCAATCGGTTAATTCTTTCCTTCATGCAGTCAAAACAGGCAAGAATTAAAGCTAGTTAAGCTCGTATCACTTCTTGTTGAGGGCATGAATTCATTTCATACCCAACCCAATGTTGCAAACATTAAAATAAAAGTAAAAAAATCAGTTGCATTTGCTACCTAGCATTCACTTCTATAGTGAGGCAGCACCATTTGGTTGACACTGACAATCTGCGCTTTGCCAGCTCCCTGGCACAGCATGCCTGTTCGATTTCTCTACCAGCTGCGATGCCGCATGAGGCATCCCCCAAAAATGCAGGCACGAACTGAGGCTGCTAACAGTTCAAACAGCACCCACAGATCGGCACGCTCGATGCACAGACATGCACAATGACGCGTGCAGACAAGTAACGAAATCTCGGTTTAATGAAAAACATTGCACACCAGTTCGAGAGAGCTTTCACACTCTCGCGGACCATCTTACACCTTGGAACCGTGTGTATCGGTTGCACATTCGACTTGCGGTGCAGCATCTCGAACCTTCCTAAGGCATTGTGATTCGTTGGTAGCTGTCTTGATCCGTACACCCCTCGGTATGTATGTTTCGTCTGCATAATACTCCGAGTCCCAGCACAGAAGGATACAGACTCTGCAAGGTCTGCTGCCAAAAAAGGCTAGAAAGCGAACAACCGTGTCACCGGAAACATGTGGAGAATCCCTCGCGGAACCTCACTTTAACATTGCAACACACCACAACACAAAAAAAAAAAAAGAAAAGACTTAAAGCAGCAACAAATTTCTAAGAAATGAAGAAACACTTTCCAAAACTAGCTCAAGTACAATTTCATTTGCTCCCTTTCGACTAGGTAGGACACCGGTCAACACCGACCTCCGCAAAGTGATCCGAGGGGTCCTTAACCCCCAAACGATCGAGCCAAAGCACGCACAAAAAGTTTGATCGCTAGCGCTCCGCGAGCTGTCCTAGCTCGGCCTCGTGCCAGCCTTGGAGTGTGCACCCAGAGCGACGGACGAGCGATGCTGGTGTTGCTGCGGCTGGTGCCGGTGGGACGCATGGTGCGGTTGGGGAAGGTGAGGTGGCAGCGGCTGGTGGTGCGGGTGCGGCCGCGATCCGAACCACGAGCTCTTCCAGTCAAGGTGTTCGCGGATCAGCTGCTCTTCGTCCGCGGTGAATCGCAGAAGCACCGAAACCGCCCGGATCAGGTGCTGAGCCTGGTGTCGCAACCGAGAGAACAGTTCCATTGGCTGTCAGTGGCAGGTCTCGCGAGCACAGAGATAAAGGCCATCAAAGGCATAAAAACAATGAGAAATAGACAAACATGTTCCTGCTGCTCTTTGTTGCCTGCACCTTCATCCGACGCATTACGACTAGTGATCTAGATCAAGGGTTTTCAAACCTTTCAATCTCGAGGGACTTCTATTTTCCTTGATTGACAGCCGAAGAAGCCCTCTTGGCCTCAGCACTAGAGCAATAAAGCTGCGCAGGAGTTTGAGGACCTTGCGAGCAATAATGCATATACTGGGGAGTGTTTGCCTCCTTGTTACTCAACAACTGATAAATCTGCTAATATCGCTTAAACTGGGAAAACACTTTACTGGGAGGCAAGAGCGGTCGGGGAAACAACTACTACTGCTCTTCCACTCTTCCAAACAGTTAAGATGGTAAAATCAAAGTAGCGTGCAACCCTGATGGACAAGTGCCCAATCGAGCTGCTTGGGACTGCAACGACGTCATTCAAGCAAACTTCCAGGCGCCTGTTCTACGACTGGGGATGCGCGTTAAAGAAACAAATCAGCAATTGCTTTATGAATGGCATTTGCTAGGGCCACAAACTGAGATGAAAGAAATGAAACCACTGCTATGTCCATTTCTTAATGCGGCTCTTCACTTACACCTGTTCTTTTTTATGGCTCTTGTCATCTGTCCGTCTGGCCACCCTGTATCAAGACTATAGTCACTGGCTGGGAATGGCACGGAGGTCTTTCAGTTTTCGTCTCCTGCCTCCAGCAGAAGCTTCCTACCTTGCAAACTATATTGAATAGCCAAAGTTTCTTAATGTCGCTGCCAACTAGATCTCTGTGGCTTGTACAATATCCACTTTAATACAGCATACGTTTCTTCACTCCGTTTTAGACTCTAAGAGGCTGTATCACAATACCACAAAGAAAAACCTAACACTGCACAATAAACGGTTCTTCCGAGTTCAGTGTTACTCTACACTCTACTTCACCTTACGACAGTAGAATCTTGTTAATTTGAACCCGGAGGGACCAGAACTTTGTTTGAATAATGCAAAGTTTGAATTACCTGGAGTTTCCTTCCTAGAAACACATAGGACGGGACTTGCAAGTTAGTTTGAATTATCCGCGAGTTTGAATTAACGAGATTCCGTTGCAGGACCGCAGCAGACGGAGCCAATCCATAGCTCAGAGCAAGTTGCGTGATTTTCCAGTTGGGCAGAGCGACGAGCGAAGTGTGAAGTTGCACGACACGTGTGGAACGCAAGATAGGCCAAGACTGCAGGCACGTCCATCCCAGCACATCGTAAGGTGAAACGGAGTATGGTACAAATTCGGGCAGCCCCACTTACCTCGTACTCCTTGCTGGTCATGAACTTGAAGACGACGTGCTTGAGGTACTTGAAGTTGATGTCCTCCTCTAGCTTTGACCCCTCGAGGCAATGGTTGCCGGGGCGAGCAGACGTCGCATTCGCTGATCCTCTCGTCGCCACAGCATCCCCGGCAGAGGCGATGTTGCCGTGCTCCGGGACAGTGTCGTTCGACTGGATGCCCTCGCCGCCGGTATTCTGCTGGCATTTGAGCTCCCGCTGGATAGTTTTCTTCATGTCACTAATCCGTTGCTGTTGCAGCTTCATGGCCTGGAAGAGTGGGCAGCAGTTCGTGAACCTTTCTTCGAAGGTCGGTCCAGATAATCTAACCACTAATAGTTAAAGGAGAATAGGGAAACTAAGCAACTTGGGTTACTGCGCTGGAAAGCTTCATCCTTCTATTTCGCGGTACCATAGTCTTTCCTTGAGAGGTACTGGTTAATTGGAAGCTGAATGAGAAAATCTCACTGCCAGGTTTTTTCCACAAGACATAAAATTATGCATTCACCACAAAAGTAATCTGTAAGTAAAAATTTCAAATACTAATAAAATAATTATTACCTCTCAAATAATCTTACACTAACTGAAATAATTTCTAAAAGAATGCAAACACTGAGTGAACAAATTTGACCACTTCCAATTACCCTTATAAACATATTTTAGAGCGCAGCTCTTAGGCGCCCGTTTCCAACTTGAACAGCGTCGGCGTCGCCGTCGGCGTAACCGAGAGGTCACGTGACCCCCCAAGGTCATCCCAAGGTCATGTGACCCCACTAAGGTCACCCCAAGGTCATGTGACCCCAAAGTCATGTGACCCCCAGAGGTCACGTGACCCCCTCCCCGAAATCACGTGCCCCCCCCCCGAGGTCACGTGACCCCCTCCCCCCAAGGTCAGCTCCCGAGCATATTTAAGAATGAGGGCAGGAGGAGGAGGAGGAGGAGGGGTCTACCCTCCCCTCAGTCCCCTTCCCTCCTCCTCCTCAAGAGCTGCGCTCCAATTCGGCGTTACAGGGAGTTGTAAACGGCTTTCATTTTTTTTTAATTGATTGATGCTTTATCTAATTATTTGTTGCTAGTAAACCCTGCTATATTAAAAAAGATCAGCCATATGGTTTTATCTACTTCCAAATGAAGATGCAGCCAAGAAGACACAATATCACCTGCATGTCAACTCAAAAAAGTAAAATTGAAACATTATAACTTTATACACCTATAATAAAATCAATCAACTAGCACAAAAGAAAAAACAACTATGATATGAATAAAATTAAAATAATTCTAATTGAGGTAATTTCATATATCTAAATAGACTACTTCCATAAAGCCCTACATGCAACACGGCGCGCGTTGCACTCTGGGAACTAGTTGGCCAGCCAGGGAGGAGGGTGGCATGGTTTCGGTTTCGATCGACACGTCGACAAGAGATTATACACAGAGCGTGGACTATTAACGGCCGTTATCTCATGTTTTCTGGTCCCGAGAGCGTCATTTGTGGTCTCTAAACTAACCTAAATGGCCAGACCTTGAAGCTTTAGACAAGCCCGAGACGTGTAGCTTGTCTTAAGTTATGCTTGTTGTATTTTTGTACTTGAGCCTTTCTGTTAGCGTTCCAATCGAGGTATGTGGACGAGCCAGTGCTGGGAATCTCGACGCTGCGAAGCTCGGGGATCTTGCTTGTTTACGAATCAACAAGTATAGCAACCAATAAGTATGCATACATCGAGCTCGCGCCTTTACATTAGTGTTGTTGATCAGGAAGTTTGTTTGTTTTGTGCGTCCATAGACGAAATATCCCTTTTTGCAATTACAGTTTTTCTTAATACGCCTGAGTACGCGAGGTAAAACTCGGAGGCGCCATTGAAAAGCTCAATTTTAGCACACTTCTTATCTCTTATCTGCACTGACCCGCAGCACTGCACGAAGTGAGGTCCCCACCCGCTTGCATTCCACTAATGTTCAACATGGCGTGTGCGCATAAAGTTATCCTGCAATCATATAGGCACATTCGCACATACAGACCGTTTTTAGAAAGCAAAAGTCGAGAACTTGTGTGAAGAATGTCGCACCGTTCGCCGGGACTGCGCCAGACGGGCATGAACCCCTATGCGGTGCGCCAAACGAACGAAATTATTCAAAGCGCGTTTGACGGTTGCTAATGGCCATAATATTTGTTATGTGTTTGCGTTCTTCCCGCCTGAGTTTGTCAAGATAATTTCAGACACACCGTTCAGGCACAGATCTTGGGCGTCAGTGAAAGCTCGTCCAAAAAGGCTTAGCGAGGAGTAGGGGACGTTTGTTGGGGCCTCCGTCGTAGCTAGCCGATCTCAGCGTTTCCGAAAACTTAATCTTCTATCAGCATAAAATTTGAGTGGGAGATATATGATGACACGAGGAAGACATCACAGTAAGTTTTGTGCAGTAGTGAGGTCGAATTTATTGCGTTTCCTTAAAAGTTCATGCGTCAACGCTGGGCTCAACTTTGATACTCCTGTGAGAATGCGGCTTGCTTTTTGCCCAATGAAGTAACAAGAAGCGGACGTTTGGCAAACAAAATAGATGAAAGGCTCCAGATGAACAAATTTCAGTTCTAGTTCACTGGTACTAGACGGGATTATTGAAATTGAACTCAAAGATGCACTCGTGGGGTGAGGTGACTAAGCCACGTCTTACTACGTTTGCATACGCACTCATAATATCCGGTGTTTCGGGAACCAAGAAAAGTACCCCGGTCTTCGTTTTGTATCGCTCGAGAATGAGTGTATTGTACGTTCGTGAAAAGTCAGATAATCGAAAACGCAAGCAGCGCGCTCGGTCCCGGCGTGAAAGCATGAGATGAAGCTGCTCAGTCGAAACCGAAACTGAGCGGCCAACTAGTTCCCAGAGTGCACTGCGTGGTATTTCGCCGCGATGGGGCGCGTCGGTTTTGGAAGAAGTCCATTGCAAACACTAATTGGTACTCTTTATGTTCAGAGCAATCAACTTTTATAATACCCGCAGTGTAGTATTTTCTTTTTCAAGCAGAATAAAATTGTGCCGTAAAAAGACCCGCAAAGTCAGCTTCCTTCATATAATGTATTGGCCTCGAGATCGACCTAGAGGTGGCGCTACGGTCGCGCTATCATCATCATCAAAGCGGGGATAGGAGAACGGCCGCCTCTTTTTTTCTCTTAGTTCTGTGGGTTGTTTTTTTGGTATTTTTTGCCGCCTTTCGCAAGCTGTTCCGTTTGCTTAGGCGTTGCTTAGGCGAGGGCTTCTCCGCTTATCTTTCTTATCTCCTTGCGTGCCGCGCACGACCCCAAAATCCAGACTGCACTGAGCAATAAAAAAAGGTCCTCTCCATGTTTTTCTTTTTCTTGCTTCTGTTGGATCTTTTTTTATTTTTTAACGCCTTTTGCAAGGCGCTTTGTTCGCCCATGCTGCCCATACATTCGCGACCTCGCTGCACCAGGATAGAAAAGTGCATTCATTTCGTGCGGGTGGGGGGAGGGGGTCAAAATTTTGACGTCCGAGTTGGGGGTGCATGTAATACACGAGTGAAAAAAAAGTCTAAATTTTGAGAGCCGACTTGAAGGGTGCGTTCATTGTGCGATTAAATATGGTAATATGGTTGAACCGCGATTCAACAAAACCCGATTTTACGAATTCCCCGATTTAATCAACAAATTCGGATTTTCTGCGCAGCCTATGCCCGCAAAATGGCTTTCTCAATTTTACGAAGTTCTCGATATAACGAAATAATCGAGGTTCAACTGTACCTACTACAGTGCAATCAAGTCATAACGATACCACATAATGATAGTGCTTATGGGTCCCTATCGTTTCGTCGAAACTTGTTTCATGGAATTACATTTCGGGGACAACTTTTCATGGACACACGTTTCGTGAACACACGTTTCGTCGACATGAATGTTTCATCTACACTCGTTACGCAAATCGTACACTGTAGGCGCTGCAGGGACGTTTCATCCCGTGTCTGTCACTGGGGTGCGCGTTAACCCAACCCCATGCTTGCGTTCACAATGCTTTGCGGCGACAGTCTGCAGCGGCTCATTACAAAGACGTTAACACACCTGATCGACCTGTACATGCCGCATTGCGGCGACGGTCTCATGCAGCTTATTACAGGAAAAAGCTAATCTGAGCTGTCAATGAAACAATTTGTTGATGAAAATTTTGTCGAAGAAACATTGCGTGTCGATGAAACATCGTTTGATGAACTGATTGCCACCGAGTGCTTATAACGATCAGTTTCAAGAGTTTCTAGACTAGAAACTATCAGCTTCTTTTCCAGATATATCGTTTTAAGTGGATTGCACTGTATTCTATAATAACAAACGTCAAGAAAATATTAAGTTTGAAACAGGCTTTAGAAGATACATAAAAAGCACACTTGTCTTAAAAGCTAAGAGCTTCACGAATGCACTTCTGACGCACAAAGTTTCTAACAGTTTGCCACAAAGGGAAGTCGCTCCCAGCGTCTCTTACTCGTACCAGGTTAAACATACAAATACGACTTACACGAAAACACCAGAGGTGAAATTCGTGGGGAGGGGACCGCCCGGTACCAACATTATTGTTTGGCACCCCCATTGTGGTGCCGGCAACGTACCCTCGACTGGCGCGAACGGCATCCTATACTGTCCACGCAACGAAAGTGGCTTCCGAGTCGCAAAAAATTATGTCTCGGGTGCCTTCGTTCGCGTAATACCGTCTGCTCATGTTGCATTACGTCACGGGGGCTTACGTCCACTTTACAACGCGAGTCGCATAGACATCCATACTTTGTACGAAGCGTAACGGCCAATTCGAGGAGTACCTTTGCGTGCGCCATTTCAAGCGCGGATGCCCCGACGACTCGTAACGCAACATAAGAAAACGCGAGCGAGTACTCCCACGCGAATGGGCCTTCGCGCCGTTGGATGTCGCAATGCCGGCGCTTAGCCGTAGGAGTTCCGGCAACAGAAACGAGCGAGCGTCGCTTTCGTCGTGGTGTCCCAACCTCCGGTTGCTGAAACTTCTGGGAACTGTCGAGTCGGAGAGCTGCTTACGACGGAATGGGCGTCCGCCGTGTTGGCTCTGCCGCCGCACCAGTGCCGGGATTGCGGCAGGCAGTGGCACGACGCGAGCGCAACGTCACAGGGTGTAAATCGAGGGACCACGAACAAGTACAAGGCAGACATGCCGGTCAAAGATGCATCGTGGGCCTCCTCCGGCATTTACCTTGTTCCTCTCCAGCAGTTGGTCCTCCAGCTGTGTCACTTTGGCTCTCAGCTCCTCCTGGCTCACGGAGCTCTCGGCACTCGCACTGGCCTGGGACTCCAGCGACTGCAGCTGCATGGGAGGTCGAGACGGAGACCCGTGAAGTGACTTGCAAATCGGGCGGACGAGTACAGGGGTGGAACTCATGAAATGTATTTGGGAGCAGTCATGGGAGCAGCTGAAACCGCTGTTTTGGAGCAGGTATGGAGCAGCTAAAACTACATTCTGGAGCAGGCTAGGAGCAGCTCACATCAGTTTTCATTGCACTTCAGCTTGTGTCTTAGACGAGCATGGAAGGATTTCAATTGTGCTTAGCAGCGCAGATGAACATGAGTGGTTAGGGACCTAGGTACAGTATAGACCACTTACAACGGAACCGTTTATAGTGCAGGGCCGGGTATAACGCGGCTTTTTTAAACCACCAGTTCGCCTCCCATAGAACTCCATGTAATTACATACCGCTTAAAATGCAGGCGCGCGAAGGGAAATACCGGTTATTGTGCGGTTTCTGGAACAGCCCGCCGACCGACCAACGCAGCGAGCATGCTTCCCTGTGGTACACTAGATAACGGCGCTAGCTGCAAGCGGCACTCGCGGGGCAAGACGCGGGGCAAGGAGGTTGCTCGAAGTGGGGAGAAGCGAAGAGAGAGGCTTCAGTTGCCATAGCGGCGGAGGGACGCACGCACGTGTCAATCACGTGCGTGCGTCCCTCCGCTGCGTTGGAAAACAACCGCAACGACAGACCAATCGCAGGTCGAGGAGAAGTGTTCGCGCGCGTTGCATGCCGGTCGCGGGCCGGCTGCTTCTATTCCCAAACATGGCGTCGGCTGCAATCGTCGACGTAGACGGCGTGGTGGAAGCTTATCGTTCCGTGTAAAAGCGCTATCCTTGACTGTGAATTTTCGTTGTGTGAGCGAATAACCCAGCACATATTTGAAGGGAAGATCCACCTACTCGTGCGGCGATGTCGTGGCGGCACTCTCAAGACGGCAGAAACGCCTGTGTCGTCGTGTTTGTTTACTTCGACTACAGTGGTGATTTCTAAGCATTTGTGTTTTTGAACATCGCCCGGATTTCTTATTTGGAGCATTTCATGCCTGTGCTCAAGTTGAAGGTATTACTGGCGCATAACGTATAAAGGATGCAAATTTTCACGCGTTTTTATCACCGGAGAAAAGTGATTAGTGTTAGCAATCCTGAATGCTCGCAACGTCCGTCCGCAACTCGCGATGCCGTTAAAAGGCTGTGCCAGGCGAAAGTCGCTCATTTCTTTCAAAATGTGTGACACACTTGAGAGAGAAGTGTAGTACTAGTATGGTGAAATAAAGACTTTCCTCAAACTAAGCTTTATTTTTCATCTAACATAAAATAGATTCTTTTACAAGGGTAAGTTGTCTCATGGCATGTATTTTGGCCTGAAAAGTTTATGTTTGGTTATAGCGCGGTACCGCTTATAGTGCGGATTTTCGCGACTCCCGCGACATATGTTATATGCGGTCTACACTGTAGATGGGATAACAGTGTAACAGATGCGAAAACTTGAAACTATGGGAGCCTTAATGAGAACCAAAAAGCAATTAAGTACCATATGTTTCTGAATATGGTGTCCTTGATATTTTCTGAGTCGTTTTCAGCTGCTCAAAATGCAAACCAGCACTGCTTATCGCACAACCCACACATACTCGACAGCTCGACATAGTAATTGTATGCGCGAACCTCTTGACGTGCGTAAGCAACAGACGTGCAGTTGCGTGGAGGAACAGGGCAACAAATTTCGAGTTTATCCTATTGTGCAACTCAATATCGAAGCAGCAGACTACGATTAGCAGAGTTATCATATTCAAAGCGATTAGCAGGAGCAAGGTTAAAGTACGCCGAGCAGATCTACCACCCGCGTGACAGCTGCTGGCCGGCAAGGTTTTGGATCGGACCGCGTTTCAGTTCTATCAAATCACAATTTATCTTGCGGGAATGCGGTTCCAACTTCTAACGATGAAGTATTAAAAAGAATATTTTGCTAACATGCTTTCAACTGGCTGAGGTCCGGATCCTGGGCCGCAGAGCCTCAGGCAATCTGACGCTTAACGACTTGACCTCACCTCGGCCGACTTGCTTAACCGCTGATATGGTTGAAGAATATTAATCCAGTCGCAGGTGTAGCGCTTCGAATACAATCTCTGAGTTTTTCCGAGCGTTTCCGACTCGGAATACACAGGGAGAATAGACAGAACAAAGGATTGCAAGGCCGGCCAAGCTAAACGCGCTAATTGTTGCCAATTGAGTCGATAGAAACCAAAACCAAGACAAAATACTTTTTTTTTTTTTTGCGCACGTTGTGCGATTTGGTGCATAATGGCGCAGGTAATGACTGCGGCGCAGTTTCCGCGAAATGGCGCAGGAGAGCGCAGACAAATGCGTCTGGCACAAAATGGCGCAAATGGCGCAGCCGTTCCACCCCTGGAGTATCGACTCTGTGGAAGGTTTTTTTTCCTCTCACTCAAGTTGGAGCTCTACCGATGTCTCCTAGATAACCTGGCATGTTTGGTCAGTACAGACACCATGTGGCACTTGTCTCCGATCTGTGCTCTGCACTAGCTTTTGATAGGTGACATAGAAAATCTAGCCCTATGACCTTCTTTCTATAGTAAGTTACAGGTCAAGAAGGTAGCGGCAAATACCCCCCAAAGGGAATCATATATCCCTTCGCCACCTCCGCATCCAATAGCGTCCCATCGTTTCCGTGACGTCGCAGTCAATGCGCGAGGAGGGTATTGCCTTTCGGTACATATTTGCTTTATCTTTAGACTTTGACTTAGCATTGTGGAAGCCACGAGAGGGAGATTACAGCTTTCTCCCTCCGATGGAAACAAATACGACTTTCGGGGATTAGCTTCTCCCTCCGATGGATACAAAGGCTGCTTTCAGGGGCTCGGTTCCCCCTTTAATGAATACCAAGATTGCTTTCTTAAAAAGTGGGGGTCGAAGACAAGCGGGCACCACTCTGTGGCCACTATCTATCCATTAAAGTAGAACAAGGGGCGTTTCCAGTGAACTCTTCTTTCGACTGCGGAGGGATTTGAAACGGGCGCATCACGCTTCTGGGAGGAGCTCCTCCTACCTTCTTGACTTGTAACCGACTATAGCAAATGCTGGCTGTGCTAATATATGACTATACATCTGGATGAGTTAAGAATTCCAAAAAGGTAAATAAGGTCCGTATAAAAAAAAAAAAAACTTTCAGCCTTTGCACTCTGGTGACAAAGGAAGACCCAGCGGGGCTATACTATATATATATATATATATATGGTAGGACGGCCTCAAGGACAACGTCTAGGACGACCTCAAGGACGACGCCTAGAGGACGGTGCCTAGGACGACCTCAAGGGTGACGCCTAGGACGACCTCAGGGACGACGTCTACGACAACCTCAAGGACGACTTCTAGGACAACGTCTAGGTCGACCTCAAGGACGACTTCTAGGAGGACCTAGAGGACGACGTCTAGAATGACCTCAAGGATGACTTCTAGGACAGCCTAGAGGACAACCTCTCAGGCCACCTCAAGGACAACGTCTAGGACAACCTCAAGGACGATGACTAGGACGACCTCAAAGACGACTTCTGAAATGACCTCGAGGACGACATCTAGAGAAATTCAGCCTTTCCACTCCGGTGAAAACCAGAGTGGAAAGGCCGGAAAGGTTGCCGCCATCTATGAGCGACGACAGCAACCAGACAACTGGCAAGCCAGTTGTCTCGTTGTCGCCATCGCTCATAGATGGCGGCATCTGTCCAGAGTTTTGTGTCGAGATTTATTTGTTCACGGACACAAAACTGGGGAAACTATCCCTTAACAGCTCCGCTGTAAAATCTAGTTTGATATCCCATTATTCATGCTTATTTGTAGCTGCTATACTGATCGCTACAGCCTGTCACTGTGCTTTTCTGTCCTGCAGATTTTCCCCCTTTTCACTTTATTGCAACAGCCGCTACCTTGTCAGGTTCGTATGTATCCTGTGCCAACACATAAAGTCACAATGGTTATATATGCATCGATATGTTGTATAGATGTTGTAAAAGTGTTGTGTAACAACAAACACCACCCGTGGCATGTAGCGCTAGGTACTAATAGTGCCACTTGCCGCACGCTCCAGAAAACCAGACGTGCACCGAGAATGGGGCATGCACACTTTGGTTGCTCTCTGCCTCCATGTCATCTGCTATAGCAATCTTTGGCCCATGCACTTGCAGTCCCACTAAGGGATGGCACAGAGGAGGAGAATGACGCGAGAAGTGCACGTCTTATTCTCAGCTCGTGTCGAGTTCTGGGGAACATTTGGCAGGTGGCACAGGCAGTAGCCTGCACCCCTGGTAATGGTGTCGTCACTCCCTGTAGCTGGGATGGTACTTGGAGAAAAATCAGGGGCCCTAGGTTTCATGAGCAACATGCACTCTGTACTACACTTCTGAAGCAGCTAGCTTGTACATAGCGACACACTGTTTACACAAACATGAGATAAGCACTTTGTCAAATTTTAGTAGACATTAAATTTTGCAGCTTAGGGTAGTGTCCCAAATGAGTACTTTCCACCTCACTAAGTGCACTGCAACTCAAAGCATGTGGAGCGAAAGCTCGCGCTGCAAAACCCAGGAATTCTGGGCAAAATCCCCAACCCAGCCCATTTTTATCTGGATGAGCATCGTAACTGGCGTGCGGTAGTGTGTCACCACTGCGTGACATATACCAAAGAACCCAGGCTAGAGTTCGTACTGCACTGGCAAAATTTCTCCCCTACAGCATAACCAAATGTTGCCGTGCCTCAAAGGCTGATTGACCTTTTTATTTATTTATTTATTTATACTACCGGCCGCCGTGGGGCGGCCAAGGTAGGAGGGATACATGGATCAAGTTTTACGAAAAAAGCAAGCACAGAGTGTGGCAGCGCAGCAAAACAAACAAAAAAAAAAACGTTTTACATATATGATCACGAACACACAAAGAGCAGAAAAATATTCGTTTGAGGGGTATCAAGGCCTGAAACGTCAAAACTCTGGTAATTCGTTTATCAATGCTAGAAACAACGTTAGACAATTTGAAGAGACAATTTGTTCGGGTAACGCATTCCAGGCATGGATAGTACGAGGAAAATAAGAGTATTTGTAACAGTCGGTCCTGCACTTTATTTCAGTGATTGATTTACTGTGTTTATTTCTTGTGAACCTAGATGTGTTGAAGTGAAAGTAATCTAGATAATCTAAGTTGTAGTTCCCATTTATTAGATTAAAAATAAATTTCAGTCGATTGATCTTTCTACGTTTTTCTAAAAGCGGAAGGCCGGCCTGTACATAAAGCTCCGAAATCGAGGTGTTTCTGCCATACTTGTTAAATATAAATCTTAATGCCTTCTTCTGAATTCTTTCTAATTTGTTAATATTACATTTTGTGTAAGGATCCCACACAACGTCGGCATACTCGAGTATAGATCTAACAAACGTTTTGTACGCCATTAGGTTCGTTTTGCTCGAGCAGTCCTTCAGTTTCCTTTTTAATGCCCGTAATTTATTCATTGCTTTTCGGGAGATAAAGTCAATATGCGAGTTCCAACGCAGATCTGAAGTTATGATTAATCCTAGGTATTTGTATTCATATACGGTATTTAAAGCGGTTCCTTGAAGAGTATAATTAAAATTCAGTGATTTTTTTTTTCCTAGTTATCGTCATATGTGCACATTTTCAGTTATTTAGAGACATTTGCCAATCATCACACCATTTTGAGATCATTTCTAAACTCTTGTTTAAGACTACTTGGTCATTTGAGCATTTGACTAGCTTATAAATTATACAATCATCGGCAAATAAGCGAATCTGAACAGATCTGTCCACTGTGATGTCATTTATAAAAATTAGAAAAAGTAGGGTGCCAGAACTGATCCCTGAGGAACTCCAGATTCTACTTTTGATGTGGATGAGCGGGAATCCTGTATTTGTACAAACTGTTTTCTGTTATTTAAATATGCTTCTAACCATTTTAATGTTAACACAAAACAATAAAATGACACAGTCTAAACACAAACATCAAATCTGTTTCTTCTTAGTAGTTGCCATGACAACCTTTCTACTCTAAGAAGAAATGAGAAAAAATTGTCAATCAATCGTTCACACTAATGCAAACTCTTGAAACTGTATTGCTTCGGCGTTCGATCACGAGCGATAGAATTTGGTCGGACCACCGTGGCCAAAGAGGCAGCGAAGACTCACCTTGGAGGTGGCTTCCCGGAGAGCTGCCCTTAGCCCCTCCAGCTCCCGCTCGAAGTCCCTGCGCTCCTCATCCCCCTGCGACCTCGACTCCCCGGCCTCCTGCCTCAGCCGCTCATTCTCCCCCGACAGGGACGCATTGCGTAGCCTCAGTTCGTCCACCTCTGCCACCAGAAAACCGAAAGAACGTCCCGGCGTAAGGAAGAGCGGGGAATGTGCCATTGAGGCGAATAATTGCTACCAGAAGTATACTACTGATAGTAAACTCAGCTGACATCGAAAAATGCTCGGAGTACGGGTGCTAGCAATGTTTGGCTTCTCTTTAAGCCTGTCTGATGTGTATGATGATCGTATGATTTTATAATATTGTATAATATTATAATTATACGATATTGTTATATTATATTATATCGTGTTATGATATATTATTATACGATCATAATATCATATGATATTATGATCGTATGATGGTCATAACATTGGTCGTACGACGACTGTTTGCAACGAAGCAAACGTGCTTCGAATGTGCTCGAGGTACGTCCGTAGACATCGTCATGCCTGCAGCGACCACTGTGTCTTTTGTACAATGTATGAGCAGTCCGACTACGGCTTTAGGGTTTTGGGTTTTCAATGCTTCTTGGTTCTTGAACCTGCAGATGATTTACGGCGTTTATTTTAAATAATGCACTCTTTAGCGTTTACATTTCACTATGGAGACACTAACTTGCCGACATCTTGACACCCATGAAAAAGGTGTTTCGTCGAATAAAAGAGCAAAATTATACGATTTGATAGTCCGGTCAATGCCCACACTTTATTTACTATTGCACCTGTTTGTGGCAATAAAAAAAAAAAGTGAAAACCCTTTGTTTCAAAGAAGTACGTGCTTAGAAACATTTAGTATGTCAAATTGGCAGCCGTTTATCTAACAGTAAGGTGAAAACACCAGCTTTCTTAGCCGGGACAGCCTCTCACAGTCAACCTCACTGTCAGTGTCGGTTGCAACCGCTGAGAGCAAGTGCGGGTGAGCTAGGATGAACTGCTCGTAAATAGTAGGCTCAACTATGGGTGGGCTAGAGAATGGCTTTCCTCGTGAACCTTGCTCTCACCTAGGGACAATGCAATTCTTTCTAGCTGTGTGGGGGCATGATCGTGGGGGCATGATCATGCTACCCTTCCCAGCCCTGCTTGAGCCACCCTGAACAAATGTTATGACCACCGTGATTGAAAATATCCAGCAATATGCTTATTTGAAGCAACTGTACTGTGCTGATGGGGAAAGTCTATAGCATACTAGAAATATATGCTAGTTTATAGAAAGTTTTTCATTGAGAAGATGAAGAGGAAGAGGTGATCCACTAAGTCCTTACAGGCAGGCAGCCTCATCACCTAAGGGTCAAACTACAAGGGGGGACCCAAAAGTAACTGGAATGAATTTCTGGGGGTTGGGCCATTCAGTAGTGCTAGCTTCTGCTGCTAGCAGCACTTAGTGGCACCCTGTTCCGAGTCAATTTGCCAACCGGCGTCGTCTGCTAAAGTTCTAGAGGCATGTTGTGAAATTTTTTCCCCCAAGAGCTTCAAAATCATTCTTTGTTTTTGTTTTTGTTTGTTAAGGTCTAGGTTCCCCAGGATCGTGTCCGGTACCAAAGAAATGTCGACACAGACGTACACGAACCCCTGGACAGCTACCGCCATCTATAAGCAACGACGGCAACCAGGCAACCAGTCTGGTTGCCGCCGTCACTCATAGATGGCGGCAACCTTTCCACCTATCATAGAAGAATGGATAGTTGGGGGAGTTGGTGGGAACTCATTGTAGGAAACAGTGTAAAAAACAGACGAGAACGAAGAAACACAAGTGGCAAGCGCAGCGCGCGTCACGTGTGTTTCTTCTTTGTCCTCGTCTGTTTTGCACGCTGTTTCCTACTCTCTTATCAGTTTCGTTTTGGGCTCATGATGGGTTGGCCGCGTGCCCTGTCGTCGGAAAAGAAGACAGAGTGCAGAAGGAGCGGCGACGTACGCGGCAGCGCGAATAGATCTGCAACCGCCGCGTACGTCGAGCGCTTCAGATTCCCTTGCGAAAGAAGAGCAGATTGTTTGCCTCGAAAGCCACCGCCCCGAAAAGAAGCTGCAGCTCCGCTGCACTTCCTTCATCACCAGAGTGGAAAGGCTGAATGTTTTCGCAACATCTGATTTCAAAGAACAGCGTGTGGCCGTGAAATTCTGTTTTCTTAAGGAAAACAGCGGCAGAAATTCTTGTAATGCTTCAGACAGCATACAACGAAGACGCTATGAAGAAATTGCAGTTCTACAAGTGGTTTTCTTGCTTCAAGGCCAATGAATTACTGATTGACGACCAACAGTTGTTTCTCCTGGTGAAACTGTTAATCAGGTGTTTTGCCTAGAACATTTGTGACTGTTGCGCAACTCAGCGAGGAAGAAACACCCCAATCCGTGGGAAAGGGGGGGAGTGGTGGTCCCATCACAACAATGCCCCAGAACACACTGCCCTGTCAGTGCATCAATTTTAGAACAAAAATGATATCACACAGTCTCCACCCACCTATTCACCAGACCTCACACCGTGTAACTTTTTCTGTTCGCCCGTATAAAAATAGTCTTGAAAGAAAAATGTTTTGTGAATGTGGAAGGTCCTTCAAATCAGACATTACAAAAAACGAGAAATGATTCTGAAGCGCTAAGGGAAAAAATTTACAACATGCCGCTAGAACTTCAGCAGACGACAGCAATTCGCAAACTGACCTGGATGGAGTGCCGCTAAGTGCTGCTAGCGGCAGAAGTTGGTATTATGAATGACCCGCCCTCCAGAAATTCATTTCAGTTACTTTTGGGCCCTCCTCATATTCTAAAAATTTCTCTAACGAAGTTCTAGAGTAAAGAGGCCAACACGAAGAGGTTGGGGTGCACCTCAAAGAAGTGAAAGAGCTGTAGGAAGGGAAGGGTCACAGCAATGTCATTGAGCTATGACAGCAGGGAGAAACCACCCTTCCATACCAAGGCCGTAAGAGAGCGCACCTTTTTACTCTAGCATGGCCGTGGCTCAACAAAGTGCTAAGTAGTTGTAGTTGAACAAAAATCCAAAAGCAAGATCTGAAAATAATGTGGGCAGAATGTATATGTCTCACCCTCAGCCATTGCTTTAATTTCAGCCTTGACCCGCTTTATCGTCAGCTTTAGAGACGCTTCCGACTCAGTCACCACACTCAGCTCCTTTTCCAGCTGTGCAACCTGGCAAAAAGGTACCACGTGAGACCAGAAATACACGCAAAAGTAAGGACACGAAGTAAAAGAAATTCATATTTTGATAGAAACCTTGTTCGCAGAGGCAGAAGAGGTTTCTTCCAGCTTCTGAATGTATTCGAGGCTCTTCTGGTGCTCGGCATCCTTCCTCTGCAGTTCTGCCTAAACAAACGAAAAGTTCACACTGAATGAATGGTTCAATGCCTTGTCATCTACCGAGTGTCACGAGAACCAAGTCTGTAAAAAAGTGAAAGAAAAAAATCCGGGAGAGTAGACGCGCAGTCAAACTCGCATGTCTCCGAAATGACCATATCAAACTTTAAAGGGGCCGTGAAACGTAGGTGGATCCGCCCGGCCTTACTACTTATCATAAACTTATTATGCCTAGGCATTCCAGCAAAACATTGTCAGGGTTTTAATCGTTACATTTACAGTCTGCGTTTCTGAAGCAGCTATATACCATTGGTAACAATTATCACTATGTGCGCTAAAACGTGCAAGTACCGCACACCATCTACATCTTAGAACTTGTGCTGGAAAATTCACGCTGCCAGAGATGGAGTGACCAGTTTCCCTGATGCTGGCATCCCCGAAAGCAAAGATGATGCGCGCAACGCAGCAGCACCCCACGAATGTCTAAGACTGGGGTACTTAGACACGCCTCATTCTCTCCTCCGTCCTCCCCGCATTCCTTGCAGCCCGTGCCGCTTTTTACTGTGAAGAACACTGACCAGGACCTCCCTGAGAAATTGCACGGTCGTCCTTCGCGAAAACACCCAACGACGTCGTAAATCGCACAATTGCTCCCAGCCGCCACCGCCTCCACCACCGAGTATCTACAAGAAAACGAAAATTTCTGTATGTTGAGCCAGATTAGAACCAGTTACTGTGGACGACCGAGCCGTTAAGCGGACAGAGTTTGGCGATGCAAACGCGGTATACATTTCATTCCTTTCTTCCTTCGACGACGCCTGGGCGTCTCGAGGGCTTCGAGCGTGCGCATGATGCCGGAGCACGGTAAGAGGCCACGAGCGCGTCCCATGGGACGGGCGCTTGAAAGGGACGTTCTGCCAGACCAATGCCGCCCGACGGAAAAGGCCCGCTCCTTTCGCCCCCAAACAGTGGCCGATTGAAACACTTAGTGCCATCTTGCATTGAAATCCACCCGCTATCCTTTCAATCAAAACCAATCGGAGCCCGGCATCATTCTGACATCACCGCAACCCCTAAGCAAGGAGTACACAACTTGCTCTCCGCATCAGTTGGACACCCCGTTGTGCCGGCGCACGGCCGTTTGAGCGAAAGATTATAATACAATTAAATACAATTAAATGCAAAGAATTTGCGCGACATCTGGCTAGGCCCCGGGAAGTCTGTGGCAGGTTCGAAGACCGCCAATTTTAGTTTTTGAGCGCCGAAAGGGCTTGTCGTGGACAAGGTACAGACGAGGCACGGGAGCGAAATCAAGAGCAGAGGTTAAAATCAAGCGAATATCCTCGGAACCGTGCCCAGGAGGTGGTGCAGAAACAAAGAAGGTGCCACAATTGTAGAAAATTACGCGAGTGCCTAGCTGCTGTCGTTGTGGCGCACGTCACGTGGTGTCACGAATGTGCTTGGATTTTTTATTTGCACTCGTGGACTGCATCTTTAGCCTTGGGAACAACTAGTCTCGCTTTTACGATGTCAGATCTGAGCCCGTGTTTCTTCTAGATTCAGTATGTCAATTTTTTGTGCTATGAGCCCATCCTCCAAGAAAACACCTTCCATTAGCCTTTGTGGATGATACTCTTATCATTTGCAAAAATACGAATGATAAGAATATCATCCGCGTTTTCGCATGCTGCAAGAGTGGTAAGTTCAGTGCACTCTCGCACTTTACACATGCTTTAAGTATTCCAAAAATTGAGTGATTTAGGGGTTCTTGATGATGGTCAGGAAGTTTGCAATTATAACAATATGTTTAGTTTCACTACGGTAATTAAAAATTTGATTAGTAAACTAGTTTATTATTTAATTTATTAGTATATGTTTCTTGCAATCCCCGACGTCCACCTTGGCTGGCAGTTTGTTCCCGAAAATAGTTTTTTTTTTTTTTCTCAACCACCATATTGGTAGGAATTTTCGAGTCTTCTTCGAAACACACGGTCTATGCGTGTGGATTGTGCATTCTTTCTTGAAAGCAATGAGGCAAATAAACCTCGGAGAAGGAAAGCCTCAAGACAGATGTACCCTAACAGCATGTACTTCCAAAATTATCAAGTTTTAGCTCCAAACACTCGATACAATCGTGAAAAATGGAAGAAACTGATCGCTGCTGTTGTCATTACTGCTGTGGTGCCAGATCTGGAGGAATTCTGATCATAGAGCATATGCCGAGTGGAGTTGCAGCCCATGAATCAATGAAGTAGATATCTATCACTGAGGTACTGTAATCATCTTCAGGGAGTCATTTTCACATGTTAACATGCTAGTAACAAGCTTCTCAGGAGATAAGATGGCTTCTATTGTATGTGATACAGCACTCCATGTCTGTTTTCTCGGTTGCCATCCATTTCAAACAATCAAACCAATTTGCCACCTAATGTACACCTTCATAGCCTAATGTTTCACCCAATCCACAAAATAAATTTATAGCACTGTGAAAATGAAATGCAAAAACCTTGCATACAACCCGTCTGCAACCAGAAAGGAAAAGCAGGTAGAACACAAAAACTTTAACCTTTGACTGCTGCCAGCTCGAAAGAGACACCAAGCAAATGTTGCTCTATCCATGCTGCCAGAAATGTGTTTCTTTTCATTAGGACTGCAAGGATCCCTACTGCTATTGTAACATTCACAAGAATGCTCCTGTCAAAACTGGACCTGAAATATTAATGCCACGAGCGTCAGCGAGCAAGCGCGTGTGTGGCCGAGTGGTTACCGCGCTTGACTTTTGCGCGGTAGGTGTAGGTTCGATTTCAGTCAGCGGACTGTCCTTTTATTTATTCTTTCAATTTGGCCTTCTAGTAAGTTTGAGAACAATCTCGTCTGATCTAGTTCCGAATATTCTACACACCGAACGTTCTATGCCGAATGATCCAGAAACCCACGAAAGTACATAAGGGACTCCACAAGGTGAGCGAAGTCAGTCTCGCCTTAGCGTTCAATCCTGCTGTTTCGCCGCCATCGACGCTATCCTTTTTCTATTTCCTTTTTTTTATTTTTGGGCACAAGTTCGCCCCATTAAACGTTTAGTTTCTTCTGTTTTTATTGCCTCATCACTTGTCATTCATGACAATATGTTCTAGGTTTTTATAATAAAAAGTAACAAGAATGATGAAATGAATTCTCAAGAGACATAAATCCTCAAAATTCAAAATCTCCATTTCACCAGGAACGATCAAAATAAGTTTCACAACCCCTTTAGTCATTGCTCCAGTTCTGAACTCTGAGAAGCCAACTTTTGACTTCCTTAACATGAACCCTGGCTGCAGATGAATGCACATAATGTTCACACACTGTCGAACGTCATAAAAAAACGAGAAGCATATCTTGCCCACTTTTTCCTGACACTCTGCATGAACCAAGCATAAAGCATGCAAACGAAAGCTTAGCTAAGCCAACACAATGAAAGTGCGGACACGAAGGACAGAGCAGGGTAGTAAAACGACCAAACAAACAAAAATACTTGAACCAAGCTGGACACAACTGACTGCAAATTGAAAACAAAACCACAGGGTTAGTGACGACCGTCAGGCATTGCCACAAATTGAACCAAAGCATTCGGGGACTTTATCGTCTAAGGCTCTAGGCCTCCCCTTGCTTCCAAATGTATGGTAAGAAACAGGAACGATTGCATTAATGCAAAGCAATGCAGGAACGTCCTTCTCATACCTCTGAGATGAGGCATATATAATATAAAATAAGTTTCACAACCCCTTTAGTCATTGCTCCAGTTCTTCTTTAAATTGCCAACATATACATGGTGCAAAGAGAGGAATGTGCTTACGAATTAATATCTCACTTGTTTCTTTTTACTGCTTCATCTAAATTTTTTTAAAGTGTAACACTGACACAAACATAAAGTTAACTCAGAGCTGCACACAAGAGCCTACTCTAACTTCTGCGGAGGTCGCGGCGCAACCGTGCAAAAACGCACGACGTGAGTGCACAGAGTCCACATATGCAGCAAACGGTAAGCTCCACATGCAACTGTAAATGTCCCATACACTTCCCAGCATGCTTTCCATGTCATGCACTGCCAGCACTTAACATGATCGTAAATGTGAACACAAAGCAAGCAATTAAACAGAATGCAAGCATCTCCCAATCCCTGTTAGAAACACTCAGTTCCATTCCCTAAACAAATCTCTCTGGAAAAAAAGAGTGGGAAGAAAGAAAAAAAAAAAGAAACAGGAAAAGCTGAGGAGGGGCCATCTTTAGTGGTCTTCTCTGCCAAGCAGGCTGCTCTTTCCAGCACTCACCTTGAGCTGCCTGCCAGCGTTTTCGAGGGCGGTCACCTGTTTCTCAGTCTCAATTTCCCTTTCCACAAACTCGGTCTGAGAGGTTTCGAGAGCATTCTGCGCACATCCCGGAAAGCCGACGAGGGGGGAGGGGAAGCACGTGAGTGGGGGAAAAGAGAGAGAAGCAGAAGAGTGACGCACAATGCAAAGCAACGCAAAGCCTGCTTTATATCCAGCACCACCAGTCACCACCACCGCCGCCATGTTGTGACACCCAATGACCGACACCAAGTGTTATGTTCCCAAATCGTCCATTTGTTAGATGCGAAACGTAAAGGACCACCTCTTCTTTTGTGAAGAAGGAACAACAAAGGACAACCGACAAAAACAGGTGAACGAAAGTCATACGGGAAAAGGGAGTTAGGAACAGAGGACACGTGAGCGAGAAATGAGCAAACAAAGATTAGATTAGCATTCATCTGAACTGTGAACTCTGAGAAGCCAACTTTTGACTTCCTTAACATGAACCCTGGCTGCAGATGAATGCACATAATGTTCACACACTGTCGAACGTCATAAAAAAACGAGAAGCATATCTTGCCCACTTTTTCCTGACACTCTGCATGAACCAAGCATAAAGCATGCAAACGAAAGCTTAGCTAAGCCAACACAATGAAAGTGCGGACACGAAGGACAGAGCAGGGTAGTAAAACGACCAAACAAACAAAAATACTTGAACCAAGCTGGACACAACTGACTGCAAATTGAAAACAAAACCACAGGGTTAGTGACGACCGTCAGGCATTGCCACAAATTGAACCAAAGCATTCGGGGACTTTATCGTCTAAGGCTCTAGGCCTCCCCTTGCTTCCAAATGTATGGTAAGAAACAGGAACGATTGCATTAATGCAAAGCAATGCAGGAACGTCCTTCTCATACCTCTGAGATGAGGCATACATAATATCTTTAGCAAACACTAGGTTTATCAGTTTTGCTAGTTTCAGATGATTTCAGAAACCATCACATCTATTTTCGAGTCCTATCTCTTTGTAATGCGGAGCGCAAATTCTTCTGCTTCTTTTGCGGGGGTTGTGGAGACGTCAGAATGCCGAGCTATGATTGAAGGATAGTGGGTAGACCTCAAGGCGGCTTGCTTTGAGGTCTACCCACTATCCTTCAGTCACAGCCAGTCAGAGCTCGGCCTCTTTCTGACGTCACCGCAACTCCTGCGCAAGAAGCAGATAACTTTCTCTCCGCATATCAGTGGCATAAATAATAAAATGGGTGAGGAATGATATAAATTCAGGTCCCAAGCAAAGATGGTATAAACAAAAAGTTCCAAGCAAAATAGGTTCCGGGGCCTCTTCATCGCCGGTGATACCCCGTCTTCATTTTCATGCGCTTTTTCTACAAACACTAACCCGCTCATTTAAATGTTTATTTACAAAAATGTTTAATTATAAACATTTACTGTAACAAATAAGCGACGCACAGACACCTTTACGCAGAGTTCAACTAAACTTCATCCATCCCAAAAATTTATTCAACTTCTTTTATAAAAAAAAAAACAGTGCTTGGAAATGCCGTACAAGAGGGGTTCTCAACCAGTGATATTTTGGAGACCCCTTGGGGACTAGCGAAAGTGATGAGGGATGGTGGTATTGGCCGACTATGATGAAGGATAAATTATTATGACTATCGTATTCGTTCGAATATAGGTCAACCTTTATAATAAAAGCCCACCGAGAAAAAAAAAAAAAAAAATATTTGAATATAACTATTTCGTCGTTTACCCTGAGACTGGGGGGGTTTTTTGAAGAGCAGAAGAAACAGAAAAAACAGACAGGTTGAGACCTGTCTGTTTTTTCTGTTTCTTCTGCTCTTCAAAAAACCCCCCCAGTCTCAGGGTAAACGACGAAATGGTTGACTTCCACCAGCTAGCCTGTACTTTGACTCTTTTCTCGTTATTTGAATATAAGTTGATCTCGATTTTTTTTAAGAAACTTGATCCTGCTGATATTTATTTTTATTTATTTATTTTTAATTATTTTTACTTGTTTATTTAAGAACAGTGCTTCCGGCAATATGTGCCGGGAGCGCAGTGCTTCCGAAGTAGATGCGCTACACAGCTCACCGGCTATAGTATCAGACTTTTACTGCACCGACCCAGGTCTGAGCACCAATGGGGCGTCTTTCTTGTGTAGGTTTTACATGGGCTTTTGTAAACTATACACCGTGTGTTTCAGCGAAATCTTTCAAAAACTCCTAAAAATAGAATTGAGAAAAAAAAAAAAAGAAGCTATTTCCGGGAACAAACTGCCAGCCACGGCGGACGTCGAGAATTGCAAAAAAAAAAAAACATACTACCGTAAAATACCACAGAACTACCCACTATTAACATTTCCCAAACATGGGAATTCTGCAAATTACATATACGTTAACCACCTGATTTGACTAGACAAGCGCCCATGTCTAGATTAACCCACTTTTCAGTAAAAAGTGTGTGTGTGTGTGTGTGTGGGGGGGGGGGGGGGGGGGCACTCCCCCAGTACTTAGAATAATCATTTTATTATTATGTTAACTGCCTGAATTGACTAGACAAGCGCGCATGTCTAGATTAACCCAGTTTTCAATAAAAATGGGGTGGGCAGTCCCCCGGTATTTTACAATAACTAGCTAAATAATTAATCCAAACTTACTATTTAATTAGTGACAATACTAAACATGCGATTCCAATGAGAAAGTTGCAAAGCATAATCAGAAAACCACTATATCAACTCATTTTAGAAATATATAAGGCGAAGGCAGCATTTCACGGGGTTCCGAAAGAAGCTTCGTCGGTCTCCCAATGAAGCGCATCTCTGCACCAGCAGTTCGTCCCCCCGGTGGCTAAGATGTGCAACACACATGCGCCATAATTCCCTCTATTTTACGATGGAGACAAAGCAGTAGCTTGACGCCTTGGCTACCGGGGACCAGGGCTGCAGGCACAAAGATGCGCTTGATAGGAAACCGAAATCTAGAAATGCATTCAAATTGAAAGTTTTTTTCGAAATGCCATAAAATGCTCTCCTTGCCTTGTATCATTCTAAAATTAGTTGATCTAGTGGTTTTCTATGATGCTTAGCAGGTTTCTCATTGGAATCACGTCTTTATCTTCACAATTAAAAAGTTAATTAGTAAATTTTAGCTAATTATTTAGCTAATTAGTATGTTTTTTTGCTACCCTTTGTGTCTGCCGTGGATGGCAGCTTGTTCCCGGGAAGTTTCTTTTTTTTTTTTTTAACCACACTCTTTTTTAGAGATTTCTGAAAGCCTTCGCTGAAACACCCTGTATATACGACCATGAAGCTCGTTCATAATGCTCGTCTATGACGCTTCTTTACGACGCTCGTTCGGGACAATTTTCTCGTCGAAAAACATAGCTTCTCATGGAAACACATCCTGTGTTAATAAAAGCATTGAAGAAAAGAGAATTCATCCAAACATTTATTTCCTGGCAGGTCAAGTCATCCTATCTAGAACCCGATTGTTGATTGCACTGGCCATAGGATGGAATCATTTGAGCTTCCAGAATGATCGACTACAAGTTTCCAAGCTGTGGAACTTGCGATGCGCCACTTGCATCGAGCCTACTGCTATGCATCTGCGAGTGCGTCAAGCTTTTCCGCTTAGCACCGGCGAGCTCGAAGAAACGGCTGATACGGGGCAGCATCCCGATTAGCTCAGTGGGGTGGGAAATTCAACCCGTAGTTTCGATGAACAGTGCCACAAAAATAAACACTTCCAACCTATATTCTAATAAATACTGCGACTGCTAATCTGAAATATGCTAGCTCCGTTGTCATAAACGGAAGAAATATTCTGGTAAGATTTTTCACCGCCATCAAGCGAGAGGCCACATGTAAGAACTAGGTACATGAAGAATGGCACTTGAAGAATCATGTGTTCTTGACAGGCACGTGAGAGTAATCTAAGGTTTCGAGTGTTAATTCTAAAATGTATTCTACTCGCTTGTACATTAAAAAATTTAGAAAGCTTTCAACATCTGTTACAACAAAACTCTGTCACAACCAACTCCTTAAATATTGAGTGTACATTCCTCATAGCACTAACGCCCCATCACGAAGGAACACCAGGATGTCAATCTGAGCGGTGACATTTGACTGCAGTGCGGCACCGTGCAAAGGGAAAGTCGCTTCTTTTAAGCAAGTGTACATCCGTGCAGATTTCCTAAGGAGCTGTAGCTCCGTTTCAATCCACATTACGCTCATATATTGCTTTAAAAGGTTGCACCGAGTCCTCAAATCATTCGAGGGAAAGCGAATGACCGGGGGCTCGATGTATACAAGCACCCACGTAACAACAACACATATGAAGATAAAACATAGCAAAACAGATTGTGGCGAGAACCGGGCATGTGTCGCAGATGGGCCACTCACGATCCTGGCCTGAGCCTCCTGTGCCTCCCTGTCCCTGTCCTTGTGTGCCTGGCTCAGGTCCGACCTCAGTGCGGCCACCTGAAGACGGAGCTCGTCCAACTGGGCGTCCTGCTGGCTGCGCTGCCGTCTCAGCTCCTCCTCCTTGCTCCGGTGCTATGCAACAAAGAATGTCATGGAAGAACGGTCGGAAAAGACCGGAAATATGACCAACCGTCAAAGTAGCAAAGTCCAACGTGACACGGGGCGACAGGAGCGCTATGGCTCGGAGGCACGTGGCTGGGGAAGTTCAGATGACGACGTTGGACGACGACGAAGGACAAATTATGCTAAGGGTGACTATGGCCTGTCGTGGGTTAAGAAAAGCCGGGCAGGCACCTATCACAAAGCTCTGTGCTCGCCACGACTGGTGGCTTCCTTTTCTCCGCTTGGCATTACTCTTTGGCATTACTGTGGTAAAGTGGGAAAGGCTTTGTGGGAAGAGCTTGCCTTGCTTTTCTTAGCCTGCAATAGACTTGTATAGGCAAAATGTAAAATAAATTTTTCTAGGCATTTCCCTTTTTTTTTTTCTTTTAAAAATCAAATGAATATATTTAAATGAAACTAATTTTATTGCAAACTGCCTTTGATTGGCGGATTTCCACGGAGTTCTGTAACATTTGGTTGTAACGAAAAACTGACACCGAAAAGCGTTAAACCCGTAGGGAGCCGTACGGGAAGACTTCGGTCTCTCGGCAGGATTTGAACTCGCCAACTCCAGACTGTGAACAAAGTGCTTTACCAACTGAGACATCCAGGGTCGGGGATTGGACAGTGTAAAAGCGAGCGGTCGCGCACTCTGCGGACTTTCCTGTCATGCTGTGCCACTGCCACCTCACGGCGTGCGTCAAAAATAAGATTGAATCTTTGTTAGGTGCTGCCATTCAGATGCCCTTCTGTTCTTCCCTGGAAGGCCTATCACATATTCTGTGCTTACCAGTCTTTGTCAAAATAACCAAACTTGTATAATGTTCTTGTTCATTGTTATCATTTTCCTATTGCCTGTTGTTTTAGTACACGGGTTTACTTATATTCAAGGAAATGCAGTAACCTGCTGTTCTCACAATAGTATAGGATAAGCTACACAGCGGGAAAGGGACATAGAAGAACGAGACTTCTGCCGGCCCTCAGTATTGCTAGAGTGGTAATCCGACTCCATGTAGATGCACTGAAGATGAATGGTTAATAGCGATTTTTTAAACTAAGGAGGGCGGGGATTCCACCTCCTGAACTTCAGTTGTATCGAAACAAGCCATACAAAATACCCTGCCTTAAAAAAGTCAAGTAAGCAGGTCAGTACTGTTCTCTTCAAGAGCAGCTTCAAGGTAGAGATGAAGCAAAATGCATACATGTTTTGGCATCATTCTGTACTTGCAAAACTACCCCTATATGTCCCACGTTCGACGGAAGGGCGGTATTTGCTTTTTAATTACCTCCCGCTCGTAATGTCCATTAGAACCCTGGAACACTTCAGGTATGCAATGTCTTGGAATTTGAATGCGTCCCACATTTGTCACGGCCTGTTCGATTAGAGCGGGAATCTTCAAACTTTTCAATGTCACGGAACCCCTGGCTACCTTAGATGGCAGTCGAAGACCTCCCGGTGCCGGCATCGATGCAGCAAAGCAGTACAGGAGCCTACAGGCCCCATAAACAATAATGCACACACTAGGGAGTGTTTGGAACATAGTTATACGTCAGTGAATGGCTCCGATCTGCTAAAATAGTGCTCAAACTGGAAAACCACTTTGCATAGGGGTAGGGACGGTCGAGAAAATTTGCAAGCTAGGGGAACCACTGAGGGTACTCTGAAGAACCTAGTTTGGGAACCTGTGGATCAGTGTGTGATAAACATTCCAGTTTCAAGCAAGGCTTTTCAGTAGGTTTTTCAAAGTAAGGTTTTTCCACATATCTTCTTTCAAACTTTTGCACAACCTTAAATTTGTACATTTTTCATGTCACATAACTTGTACTAATCAGAAATGAGTAAAGTAAAAGTGACACAGTATGCTTGAGCATAAAAGCATTAACACAACACCACATTGAATCTGTACTGCCAGGCTGTTGAATGTGGATGGTAAAAAAAAAGTTGAGGAGGGAGGCATTGGTGTCAAGAGAGAAAGTTGCCAACTGATCCCCTACCAGAGCTGCGAGCTCAGCAGTCTTCTGTTGCAGCTGTTCTTCCAGCACCCAGCCATGCTGCTCCGATGTCTTCAGCTTCAGCGCAAGCTCTTCCACCTCCCTCTCCATACGTCTACACTCCTGGGCGTCCTCAGCCATCTTCTGGTTCAGGTTGAAGATCTGCCACAAGAAAATGGAAAACGGAGAGTGCCATGACTATGCGATCACAGTAGATGGTGATAGAGTGCATTTAAACACTGTACGGTACAGGCCAACTTGTTGTTTACAAACGAGCCCACATGAGGTGTGGGCACTGCGTATGCGCAGGAACCAGATTCACGTGAAGTGAAGCGTCTGCGCATGTGCCCTGCTAATATCAGCACCACTGCAGCAGCTTGGCACCACAGCCGCATGTTGTTGTGTACTACAATACCTAGAATTGCTCTACAAAAAAGTAAAAAAAAAAAGTTTTTTATATCATTTCTGAAGGTAATTGCAATAGCAATAGAGGCATGCAGTCCGCATGTATTTAACTACTAGCACTACTGTCGACTACCTAAGTGATGAAAGCTGTCATTCAGTGCATGTGCTCATTCGTGTGCAGATCGGCATATTTTTGTATTACTGTTAGCAATCATTGGCAGACACGCAATACAGGGGCGGATTTATGGGTCAGGCCTGGGAGGGGCGGTAGGCATTCGGCTGGTGGGGGGGGGGGGAGAACAAAGTTGACCTTGGGGAGCTTGGGAGGTCAGTCGCCCGCCCGCCCGCCGCTTCCCCCCCCCCACCCGCGTGCCCCTCCCCTAAGTCTGCCCTTGTGCAAGTATCAACAGTTACACAGAGCCACCCGTAAAGAGGTCACAACTCTTGTTAGAAACACTGAGAATGACTTTCTGTATGGATTAATTAAATCACGTGTGATAACATTTTTAAAGTACAGCACTATGGAATGTGAGTTTGCGGTGTATGCAATACCAGCTCCTGTAGGACATGAGATTGTAGAAGTGCCAGCATTTTCAAAGCTTATTTTTGTATACTAATTGTCATCCCAATATCTGTCTCATCTTTTCATCTTGAGTGAGATTTGGTATTTTACAAATTATTCACATCTCTGCTACATCAGTTTTTATAACTGAGAAGCTCTCTTATATTGGTATTTTTACTATTGTTCTGCACCTGTAACCCAAATGTGTGGTATCTGCAAGGTCAAGAAATTAAATAAAAAAATTTAGAAAGATACAACAACTGGCTTTAAGAATAAAAGTGAAGCTAGTTGCATTTCTATAATCAAGGTATAATAGAATATAAACACAATAAAAAAAGTCGCTGAAATGTAATACTAGTAGTTTATGCACTTCAAGTGGCAAAGGTGTTTTTTTTTTTTTTTTAATAAACCTTAGACACAAAAAAGACATGTACAAGTTTACATTTCAAATTTGATCAAAACAAATTATGAAGTTCAAGGAAAGACACAGGATAAAGCCTCGTTGTGTGCCACACATACCTGAGTTTCTAGATTGTTGATCTTTTCACTCCACGAGCTCTTTACCTCGGATAGGTGCTGTCGCGATTCGTCCAGCTTTTTTTCCAGTACTTTCCTCTGGAAGATAAAAACGGACAAAAGGAGACGTCACAAGTAGTACCGTATTTACTTGCATATATAAGCTGACCTGCTTATGTTAAAATGCAATGTCAAAGTCAGGTCAAAGTCAGGTTAGATTAGATTAAGTTAGGTTAGGTCAGGTCAAGTCAGATCAGATCAGATCAGATCAGATCAGGTCAGGTCAGGTCAGGTCAGGTCAGGTCGGGTCAGGCCAGGTCACATTAGGTTAGGTTAAGTCTATGGTGTCCGCGAAGCGTCTCTGACAGCTGTGTTTACCGCGTCCTCAAAAGTTGTCTCTCGATTTCCAATTCACCACGTCGCAGAAGCGTCGAGCTACCATACGCCGCAATCCTGGCGGTGTACCCGCGGCGCAGGTGGGTGCGGCAAACGCCCATTCCGCTGCAAGTTCCTCTCCGGCCAGACATTCCACGGAAGTTTTGGCAGACACGTGTAGGGACGCTGCAACGACGGCGACACTCGCATTTGCTCACTCTCTTTGCCGGAACTTCTAGGACCGACTGCCGGGAGCGTGATATCCAACGGCGCGACACGCCGGCTCCCGCGACGTCGTTTGTTGCCACTTTATGACCACTTTCAATTCATGGGCAGTACAGGACGCTAACGTGCCGGTCAAAGACGCATTCCGGATGCCGTAGTTGTGTCACAAGACGAACAAAGGGCCTCACCTCCTGGACAAGAGATTGCACCTGCTCATCCCCGGTCAGGCCCGCCCCGTCCAGCCTCTTCTCCAGCGTCTGCACCCTGTCCTCCAGGGTGCAGATGGACGAGTCCTTCTCGGCCAGGAGGCTCGTCGTCTGCAAGGGATTGCGGCAATGCTCTTGATGTGAAAATATTTTGGGCCACGATGCAACAGTAAATCCGCAGAAGTGCTACATTATTGCCGGCCAATGTACGTAGCAGTAGCGCGGCTCACGTGCGTCGGTGTGTGCCTACTAGTCCCCGGCAAAGCGAGTACGAGTACATTTCACATTTTAATGCGAAAGCAATAACTGTCTCATGGAGCTAGCAGACGTCATCAGTCTGAAGTGCGAAAACGGCAGATAGTTTCCTTCGGTTCCATTGTCTGGCACGCGTCGACGGGGCTCCCATTGGCCGCTGCGCTCGTCAGTTTCCACAACTGCTCACCCCGTAGCGCTGCGTGTCCATTAGCGCAGAGCGCCCAAAGTCACCAGGGGAGCACACGCGCCAATTGGCGACGAAAAGTATGCAGCAGACGAAAAAGGGAGCGGACGAGCTGCTTGCATGCTTTCGCATTCACAACTCATAAGGGATGCTTAGGTGTACCTCAATCTTTTTTGTTACGTACTGGTGACTTTGCCGTTAGTGGACCGATTTCGAGAATGCAAGCACCAATCGATTTGTCTCATCAAACTGCATCTGTCTCATCAAACTGCATCTTGAAAACTTTAAGAACTGTTTCAAAAACTTTTTTTGCCAAGCAATATTCTCGTGCCACTGCGACGTGGCAAAGACCCCCCAAAGCATTTGGCCATGTTTTGAAGGTGTAAAGCGGCATCAAGACCTCCCAAACCCCTGCCGAGAGACGCTTGCGAGCTATAGAGATGCTTATGAGTGTCTCAGATCTATTTCGAAACACCCCATATGAGAAAGATAACATCTGTAACGAGTGCATAAGTGCTCCTTTTATTTGTGCGCAATAAAACTGAGAAAGCTGACAACTGGGCCACATCAGTGTGACGTCAAGGGTGATGCTGAACTCCAGAGGGAGGTTTCTAGCGGCGGCATAACGCAGTCTAAACTCGTTATTCCAGACCTTGATTTTGACCAAGATTTTGGTCTGTTGTAAAAGGAGTATATTGTATGCAGATATGAAGTTGAGCCAATGTTGCATAGAAGAAAACCAACCGAACTTCACAAATTATATCCAAATGTCTGTGGTAACCAGGTTTGTTATAATAAGCTTAGATCATAGATGTGTACGGGGCTGGAGTCCGCACCGAGACAACTGCCAACTAAGAATGACAAAACATGCCCGCAAGCTTTTAAGGTGAGGGCGTGTGAAGCTAAAATATTGGCAACATAACATTATAGAAGTAATTCAATGCTTTGAGAAAAGTGACAATTGACACCTCTCGTCGAAGTGGACATTGAAGCAGACAACAAACAAATGGTACTGTGAGCCTCTAGAGGCCTTGTCACCGTCAGATTATCTGTAGTTGCTTAGGCACACAAATAATGGATTTAAAGGGTTTTCTACAACCTAGCTGTGGTGTTTTTTAATAAGATTAAATAAATAACAAAAGTTGCTGTAGCATGAACATGACCGTAGTGGATTTATGCATTTCACTCAGACCAGCACCAAATTTTCCCAGCTCAGTAAGGGCCCAAATAATTACTTACTCTCACACTAATAAATTATTGTGACCGCTTTTTAAAAAAAAACAAAAGCCGGTAATTGCTTGCTTATATTAACTGCGTCTGCTCTGTATGTCCGCACCTCAATTCCTTATGTGCAAATTTTCCCAGCTCGGTATGGGCTCAAATAATTACTTACCCTCACACTAATAAATTATTGTGACCGCTTTTTAGAAAATACAGCCGGTAATTGCTTGCTTATAGTATTAACTGCGTCTGCTCTGCATGTATGCACCTCAATTCCTGATATGCTTAGTAAAGTGAAGTACCACATAATGTTCTTGTTCAATGCCAACACCGCTGCAGTTCATATTTTGGCAGAAGCAAGATTAGCTAAGCTTTTGTGCCCAGAAAGATGAGAAAGCAAACGAAAACAAAAGGAAGCTCCTCCATCTCTCTGTTTACTGTACAAAAGTTTATAAGCAGAACTCTTAAAGGGCAACTCTGCTCGATTCCGAAAAATTTAGGCTTACATATGATTCCATTTCACAAAGCACTACTAAACAACTCTACGTCTTCGAATTCGCGAAATGTGAAATATTATTTGTGTAATCCTAATTTAAACACCAGCTGATACCGAAACCGAAACTTCAGTTGCGTCAGGCAACATTGGTCTCGTGTGGTCAGAGTCATGGGCACGTCACGTCGAACCACGTGGTCTTGTGACGTTCGGGAGGGGGGCGAGGGACAGCACACGCGACGCGCGCAGGTCGCTTTGCGTGGCGTGGACGGCGACGGCCCGGGCGAGAGGGGGAAGGGGAGAAGACGAAAGAGAAAGGGAGCGGAGAAACAGACCAATAAGCGCGCAGGGCAGCGCAAACTAGCGCATCCGCATTGCGGTGACCACGTGAACACCCGGTCAGCCAACACCGGGAGGAGAAACTCATGACGTCATCGTTCAATTTCGCTCTGAGAGGTAAAAACAAACAAAACGTGAAAATGACGTACACATGCCTCTGACATAGTGGCTCAACGTTTGCCGCTCCAACTCCGTCGCTTTGACTGCGCTGACGATTGCGCCTCGCGTCGCACGCTAGAGTTGGCAGATTTCGGCGACTTGGCTCGCTTGAAGGTTTGCTAGCCAGTTTATTAAATATATAGACGGAATTAGATCGTAATATTTGACATGGGGTCTTCCTGTGTGATACTGAAAAGGGCTACATAGTTTTCTAAATATCAAAAATGAAGCGGAGTTGCCCTTTAAAGGGAAGCTGAAACACTTAAAAATGAGAGAGAGGTCAATTTTAGCGTAGTTTTATCTCATGAATCTGAATATCACATTAATTTTCCTCAAAGATGTACCGTATTTACTTGAATATAAGTCGACCACGAATATATGTCGATGCCTTCATATTAAACTCGCCGAGAATAAAGAAAAAATAATTCGAATATAGGTCTACCTTTTATTTTTTTTTTCTTAAAGAACAGAAGTTAGGGCAAAAGAAACAAAGAAACCTTTATTTACAGCACTCTCAGCTAAATCACAGTGCGATGCCAAAAACTTATTCATCGTCAGAACTTCCAAACATGTCATCGTCGCTGAAAGCTTCGTCAGCTTCGTTGACATCCTTACAAATTTGCAACAAAAAGATTGAGGTACACCTAAGCACTCTTAAGAGTTGTGAATGCGAAAGCATGCAAGTCGCTCGTCCGCTCCCTTTTTTTTCTGCTGCATACAGTAGGGGACGAGGAACAAGAGAGGCACACGGCGAGGTGCGAGGGACAAAAAAGAGAAAAAAGGGGGAACGTGACGGCCCCCGTGGCAGCAGTCGAATCTGGCAGGGCTCGAGGGCAGACGATCCTTCATCGCGGAGTCGCGGACCCAGACCTTCATCGCGGAGCCGGGCCTGCATCATCGAGGCAGGCCGGCAACACAGCGGCGGTCGCCACAACCGGAGAGGCCAAACCAGCGGCAGACCTTGAAGAGAACTATATTTATAAAACTCCTTCTCATGGCAGCGGGCGTCGTCTGGTTTCTCGGTGAGCGAGTGGAGCGCGGTCCGATCGGGCAGGGGCAATAGGACACCCACAGTACTTTTCGTCGCCGATCAGCGTGCGTGCTTCCCTGGTGACCTTGGACGCTCCGTGTTAACGGCGAGCTGATGGACATGCAGCGCCATGGGGTGAGCGGTTGTGGAAACTAAAGAGCGCAGCGGCCAATGGGAGCCCCGTCAAAGCACAGCAGCCAATGGAACCGAAAGAAACTAGGTGCCGTTTTCGCGCTTCAATCTGATGACGTCAGCTCGCTCCATGTGACAGTTAATGCTTTCGCATTAAAACCTCACTGGCACCGATGCAAAATGGCGACAACAAGAAATAAAAAAAGGGGGAGGCAGACAAAGCGACGCGATGGAAGATCACATACAAAGATGCGAGCAACGCTGCAAGCCGCCACAAGCAACAAGAAGCTAAAGTAACCTCCGTATTTTGTTTTGATGCGCGCAAGGGGGAGAGGGGAGGAGGCAAGACAGTGGTGCAAGGCAAGGTGCGTGGCATGTCGGCGAAAACTAAAGCCCGAGAGATGTGTGCCAGCGGTGGCCCTGGCGGGCCACCAGCTGCCACTGTTTTGGTTGTTTTCGTGCAGCAAAAGCTTTCTGAAATAAGAAGCAGTGCGGCACTACGGCGAGTTGGTGAATCGATAGCTCCATGCACTCGGTAGGGTCCCACAAATTGTTCCCGAATGTAGGTTGAAATTTTCTTGTCACGACTATAGGTCGACCCTTAATTTTTTACAACATTTCCGGAAAAAGAAGGTTGACTTATATTCGAATAAATATGGTAACTAAATGCGAGAAAACATGAAAAATCTCCGACCAGTCGTGACATCATAAGAGGATCTTTCGGCTGCCAAGCGCGTGTCGCTCAAGGGCTGCGAACGCAATCGCAAGCTTGCCAGGTATATTCCTCCCCACTGTCACCGGTCGTGAAGTCTCTTTTTTTTGCCGTTTAAAAATAGCAAGAGTGCGCCTGCATAGCTTGGATAGGCGCTGAAGATGTGAGAGAACGGAGATTCCGAAGACTCCTTTTGTGAAGTCACGCTCCGGGAAGGGGGGCCTTCAGCAATATTTTGGAAAGGATTTTCTGCAACCTCCATGCAAGAAATTAAAAAAAAAAGATTTAATATTCGAGATTCTGGAGGTTAAACAAGACGATTTTAAGTGTTTCCTCAAATACAAGACTACTTCAGCTTCCCTTTAACTCTTCTTAATATACTGGTCTGAAAAACTGCTTTAAAACTGCTTCAAAATATAAGATGAACTACAAATAACTCAAGAAGAACATGAAAACAAGATGAGAGGAAGTTATTACAGCACCCCTGAGAAGGCGGGGGCTCAGGGGTGCTGTAATAACTTTTTTTCCCAATACAGAAGGGATGCTGCAAAGCTATCCCCAAGTTTATCTCTCCCCTTTCTCTATGTAGCAGAGATGCAAGTGCAATAAAAAGTACTAAAAAGCATTTTTTAACAAAGCTGGCATATCTGTTTTTTTCTTGTTTGTTTATAGACTTTGTACAAATCATTCGTTTTTTTTCCTGGGAAGCATACGTTAGACTAGGGTGCCTACCTAGCAAACCCCTCGGGTATGCGAACACTATCTTATGTGAGTGGGTGCATGTCGGGAAATCAAACTTTTTGCCTTAAAAGTGAAGTGGGCACTAAATCAGGATATTAGACTATACAGCAAACATTCCCCGACACATGAATACCCTATGAGTGCATAATTATACACTATATACTAAAAAACGGAAAAAAGACAACACAAAGAAAAACCTAACGAGACATCTGTTTTGTCGTTTGTAATACTGTCTTCTGTTCTTAATGATTTTATGTTTTGGCAGTCGGTGAACAAGCCCACTAAACAGCACTGCCAGTGTTTAGAGACACACACATAAGATGAAACAATGTGTATTGCTGCAAAGCAGGGTACCCTGGACTTGTAGAGATCATGCGTGTGCTTGAGGCCATCGTGTTCGTCCGTCAAGTTGCCCAATGTGCACTCCAACTGGCTGATGCGGCCCGAATTCTGTAAAGACAACAAGCAAAAAGATACATATGCTGCATCCATGCAGCACAAATCAATACTTGATGACGATGATCAAAGTGCAATATGCTGCTACAGTGATGTGGAGCAAACCAGTAAAGAATGGGGCACACCTCAATAACAAAAATTGTAATAAATTTATCCAATTCTAGCCATTCATTTGGCCATGCCTGCCTCTTGCCTACATGCTTGTACCATATTTTCTGGACTACAGCTCACAGATCATACATATATACCTGCGCGCTAATAAAGCAGGCATTTTAAAGCATGAAATGCTTTTTAAGGCTACTCCCCAATCCCAAAGTATTGTCCATATGTCTGCTCGCACATCTCCCTGTTACTGCATTTCCCACTAAATTTAGCGGAGAAATTGATGTCATGTGACCTATACACAAATTCAATTTCTCCGCTAAATTTAGCAGAAAATTTAATGTCCCTTGACCTGAGGTCACGGGACCTATAGACCAATTCAGTTTCCCCGCAAAATTAAAAGGAAAAATTGACATCACAAGACCTATGCACGAAATCATTTTCCCCCCTAAATTTGGTGGAAAAACTGACGTCACATAACCAGGGCTCCGTGTTTTAGGATAAATCCGAAAAACTCCTAAAAACACCCGCCGGTAAAATTTTGGTCAATTCGGATTTATCCAATAAACTCCGAATATTTATGTGTCTCTGCCACTCCACTCCCCTCCCCTCCCCTCCCCCCCCCCCCCCCCCCCCCCCCCCCCCTGGCAAAAAAAAAAGTAGAATACTTTTTTTTTTTTTTCCAGTTTGATCAGCACAGAGCCAATGGCCCTGGAAAATTCCACCCTAATTATCTTTCGAATCTCGGACCGTTGTCAAAAGGGTTCTTGCCGCTCGTCTCTTCAAGGCTGATTCAGGGCCACAGGTCGTTCGTTGTACATTCGGGTCATGACAAAAGCCACTCTCCTGGTTTCCAGTTAGAGCCATGTGATTTGTGATTTAGAGAAAGGAAAGGGTATGTTTTAGTAACAGTGAAAGCTATGGACCCTACAGATTGTATAAAACTAAGAGGAGGGGCAGTTCAAGCTCTCTATTACCTCCTTAACCATTCCACCCTGCGTGGCCGCGGGCTAGTTTGATGGAATAGGATGGGATGACTATGAGCTTCCTAGTGACCAGTATCTCCAGGAGTTCATTGATTTTAAGGTATCGGCGTTTATCGAAGCGCCACCTGTGTGAGATTTTTGGCGTGGATAAATTAGTATTGCCAATTGCAATGGCACAAATGCCAAATTCAACTGAAGATATTTCAATTGATACAAGTGCATTTTATTTATTTTTTTTTCTGGCATACGTTTACATTCGGTTATTATTTATTTATTTATTTTTAATAGGAAACACAGCGAAATTAAACTCCAACTTTCGGAGATTTGGGAATCAAAAAGATATAAACTCCGATAAACTCTGAATCTTTGGCAAAAAATGAACTCCGAAAAACACCCTCCGAATTTGACGAAAAATAAACTCCGAAAATATGGAACCCTAGACATAACCTATATGCCAATTCAGTTTTCCCGCTAAATTTAGCCGGAAATCTGATGTCACGGTGCCTACAGACCAATTCAGTTTCCCCGCTTAATTTGGTGAAAAGACTGACGTCACGTGACACGACGTCACGTGGCCTAGACTATAAAAGACTGTATGTGGTCTTGTAAACAAATTAAAATGATGACTTTTTAAACGCTGCATTTCATGCATCTCAGGACTTTGAAGGTAAAGGTCGCTGCCAATTTTTCAAGGTGTGCTGCGTACCTTGAGCCTCTCATGCACCCAGTGCAGACAGTCAAGGAAAGACCACTTTCAGCCGAAATTTGTCAATGTCCGCACACCAGATGCAGGTCATAGTCTGCACACTGGATGCAGACTATGACCTCAAAAATATGGTGGTTACTTTGTACAAATTTGCTTGCATGCAACAAGCGAGGCAATAAGTTTGACTACAGAAATCTGGAACATGTTCTCAGCACAGAGTAGCCAACAAGGGCAAATACCAGGGTCAACTTCGATGTTTTCCTGCTCTGTCCTTTCTACCTGCCCGGAAGGTGTACTGGGTTCAGATTTTATTCAAAAGCCAGATTTCGTTGCCAGCCAGATGACTTACTGAGTCACACCCCATGCTAGATTCAGACAATTTTCTGTTAAGGAGCGGAAAAAAATGACCATATCTCTACATGGTGAATGATGTTGATTGGGGCAAAGCTCTGGTGGTGCTGATGATACTGATTTTGTTCATAGGTAGTGCTGATGTCAGAAAGAGAATGTGTGGTATGGAATGTGGTTATATACGCATTTGAGCATTTGACCGCACCACCCTCTCGTCTATAAACGTTGGGCCAATGCATGCAAAGTTTAACGCGATTATATACGCATTTGACTGCAGCACCCTCTTTTGTATAGACGTTGAGCGGCTACATGCAACATTTCATCCATGACAGAAACCCCAGCTCTTGAGTTACTACCACATCTCAGAGCCCGCTACTTGTCCCGCAGTCAGGGCCGAGTGGTTAAGGTGATGGACTAGAATCCCTTAGGGTCTACCCTCACAGGTTCGAATCCTGTCGACTGCGCAAACATTTTTTCTTTTTTTAAGAAGACAGATGGGATGGCAATCGATGTGAGCACGGACGCCGGATGGACAAGTCTAGACCCTAAAGAGCTCTGCCCCTAAAACTGATTTTGTGTCGAAACCAGCTCAACACACACGGCATTAGATGAGAGTGGCTCCGTGTTACACAGAGATGGCACTCCAAGTTGTGGGCCTTTAAGAAACCATACGTGCGCTCATCGGTTGTTTTGGAACAATTGTCACCGTCATCCGTCACCGTCACCACTATCAGCAAAGTGGGCGATTGGGCACGCCTATCGGCGCAAAGCGCAGATGGCCACGGAAAGTGATGACAAAAGCAGACGACACGATTGCGGGAGGCGGTGTGGGGGTGAAACGGTCAATGAGACAAGACGCAGTTGACGTCATATGCCAACGCCACCAAGAGCGAGTTGGACTGAGAAGCACATGGTTCTCGCGGATTACTCCTACCAGAGTTGGGGTTGTTTTGAGTCCTTTCTTTAACCTCGTTCATTCATTTACCACTGAACTATTAAACCTGTTTTTGTGTACCAACTTTCGTCCGAGCGTCATGCTTTGAAAGGTCGGCATAAGAAGGTCGAACCAAACACAACGTGCAGCGTTGCCCCTACCTGCAGCGCCTCCTGCTTAAGCCTGTCCACCTCTGCCTCGAGGGTTGCCTTCTCCTTGAGGAGCTCCTTGTTGCGCCCTTGGTCCCCCTGCACCTTCTGAGAGGCCCTCTCTAGCTCTAAGACCCTCTCCTGGGCCAGCCGGCACTCCTCCGAGCGCTGGCGGAGCTTCTCGTCTGCTGCACGCAGCTCCTGCTGACTGCACAGCAACTACATGGCAAACATTACGGATGAACCCATTTAGTAACCATTTGGGGAAGGAGAAAGACATACCAGAGAACCAGAGAATGCCGATCATCCACCCACGTCCCATAAACCGCCCATCTGCTACATTTGAAACGTTTGAAAAATAAGCAAAGGGTTTATCGAGTTTCTGAACGTTTCCAGCTGAACAAAGAGGGAGAAACGTAGAGGTTATCGAGCACCCACCCCAAACTTCTGAGCACACTCAGCTGACCTAGACGCTCCTGCGCATCGGCCCCTTCTTCGAGCATGCCAATACAGTGCAATAAAGCTTGACGAGCACACGCCAGCTAAGCGGTGAAGCCCACCCTATTTTCTGCCCCTTCTGCATTTTTGCCTTCAGACCGAACAATTACCCACCCCCAGTTTTTCAATCATCTCCAACTTTTAGGTGGGTGCTGGCTCAAATTAAACACAATTTTTTTCTCCGAATTCCGAACGAAAATTCTCCCATTTTCACATTTGTTGGCATTGATGAAATGTGGAACTCATTAACAAAACTTGTTAACACTACCAAAAATATACAAATAATACTTCCAAAAAAAAAAAAAAAAAACGTTACTTGCATTGCTTGCGATTGCGCTGCTCTCTGGTATTCGCCTCCCCTCCAATGCTGAGAATACAGTTGAACCTCGATTTTACGAAACCCGATTTTACGGATTTCTCGATTTAACGAACAAATTCCGATTCCCAGTGCAGCCTATGCCCAAGGTCTCTTTTCCTCGATTTTACGAAGTTCCCGATTTAACAAAACAATTAGCGGGTACCGGTGACATCGTAAAATCGAGGTTCAACTGTATACATATTCCTTATTAGTATTTCTTTTGAGTTCTTGACTGTCAAGTAAAAAAAAAGGACAAGGAATGACTGCGAGAAAACAAAACCTGATTTGCTGTCCCACAGATGGTAACTACGGTACTGAAAGACGAAACATACTCTAGTCTATGCAAATTGAAGAAGAAACCGAGGAGTAAACCACATCTATCCGTTCAATCGAGATAGCACACAAAAACAGGAACTGTGGTGGTTGTGCTCTTTGTGAAAAAAATATGCTGTCCTAAAAACTTTGCAGGACATGCATATCCGCACATAGTCCACAAAGGGGTAAGTGCCAGATGCACCATATAGATTATTCCCAGTTCTTCCCAAACCAAAAAACGCTCTCAGTGCACAATTAAAAAAAAAAAAAAAAAAAAATTAAAAATATATAAACACAAGCATAGCAGCGTCCGAAAAAGAAAGAGCGATATAATCGGGTAAAAATGAGTTTGCCTTGGTTCCGAACACCTGTTTGACAACCCATAACTCCAGCCGACACAGCTGATGTACTAGTTGTCTTGACAACAGCCTGCAGCCTTTTCTAATTGACTTGACTAGGATTTTTCCCTCAACAATGAGTGAGGACTCAATCATCAAACCAATTTTCAATCTTTTAATCATTACATCAAACTACTACTAAGGTCGTAAGCTGTTTGTGGGCAAGTAAAATAAACATGGCATCCACAATTTTGCGTGGAGTGAATGTTACAACTACTTGGCGGAGGACGAAGAATACGAGAACAAAAGTTAACTAGGTATGTTTATATGTGGCAATTGAGAACAAGACAGAAAGAATTTCAAGTGCATCTTAATCCCACGGTCACAGTTGGGAGACAGCTAGGTTATGCGTGTTTTGAGCTCCTCCCCCCACTGGGGTAACAATGTTTTCATGGCCACATGAGTACATTTATAGCGGCTATAATCACGACACCCAAAGCTGCTCCACTAGCGAAAGGAAATAGAGTATCAGGTTACAAAAGCGTGAGATGAGTGGTTCAAGTCTTGCCGTGGGACACAGGCTTTTGTAAAGATAACTGGCCAGGTTATCATCTTTTCGTTACAACATTTCGCGACGCTCGAGGCTCCGAAACCAGCCCTAAAATACATACTGCGTTAAGGTTTCCCTAGCTGCTACTGTGCTTCGTAACTTGTCCAGGCCCTTCCATCATTAGCGTTCAGTGCATGCCCTCCACAATGCGGCATTGTGGAATTTGCCAGAAGCTGCCTGCTGGTGGCAAAGGGTTTGTGGGGCTGGTGCTCACCAGGTGCTTGACCTTGGCCATCTCTTGGCTCTGGAAACTCTCCAGCTCCTCGCGGTTCTCGCACTGGCTTGCCAGCAACTCCACCCGGTGCTCACTCTCCCGCAAGCGCCTCTCAAGGTCTTCCTTTTCCTGCAGAAAGGGAAGAGGTCAGCCTCACTGGTCGTGGCTAGTCAGCCTCAATCTCTACACCAGCTGAAAGAAATGACCTGGCTAAGGTAGGTACCTCAGACTATGAATAACAATGACAGACATGCAGACATTTGGTCTACGAATCACCCGGAGAGAAGTCTGAAAACCAAATTTGCTGTGTCAGTCTGGCTTGAGATATGGCATTACATTTTGCAGTGGTGAGGGGAAACTTGGCTGCTGCATTATGAATTGTGGGTAATAGTATATCCGCATGATTTCCGAATGAGACCGGCCTTGAGTTCAGAAAGCAAGGGCCAGTTGTTCCAGACAAGTTGATCTCACTAAGAAGCATTAAATAGTGTAGTTCAGAGCGCGACACTGTTAGCGCGAACAAGCGATCGCCGGTTTCTCCAGTTTTTTTCTTTATTTTTATTTATTTATTGTTTTATTAATAAATACCGCTGATCCCTATTAAAGATCGTAGCAGGGTGGAAAGTAACATAAAACGAAGCGATATAGTACCAAAGAGTTACTAGTTACTCATTCAGAACACAAAGCGGAAACAAATGCACTAACAAAGTCTTGGTTAATAATTTCGTAAGGAAGCCCATTCCATTCTACAATCGTTCGAAAAAAAAAGGAGAATTTGAAAACGTTGAAGCGCGGTTGGTAAGGTGTAATCGTAAATGGGGTTTTTCCTCGGGTGGCATGACCCGTCGAGAAAGTGATGTATTCGTCAACATTAATTTTATATTGCCCTTTAATTAATTGAAATACAAAATGAAGTCTGCATACACCGTTTCATTCTTGAACTGGGACAAACCCAAGCTGTTTGCTAAGCTCGGAAACGGACGCCTTCTTAAAGGCGTTAAAAATGAATCTGACAGCTTTATTTTGTATTCGTTGTATACGATTAATTCCTACCTGTGTAAATGAAACCAAGGGATGTCATCCAAGTTAATATTACTACAGAAAGACCTCATTTAGTTCTATAATGTAAGCAATAAAATTTCGTGCTCGCTAATACTATTTAGTGGTAAAATGCGAAAATGCGCCGATGTCGTGTTCGTGCTAACAGTGTTGCGATGTGCACATTTCTCAACAACTTTCTACTGTTTTCTAACTATCACCGAAACCGAAAGGATTAAAATCAATGTTTTATTATTTATCCTGCGGGATATAGGAAAAAATAGTTTTATCAATGTGTCAGCATAAGTACCCACATGACAGGGAAAAGCTGACGGAATCCGTCTTTGGAGAAAACAGTGAAAAGGGAAGCGCGTCGCATAGAGAGGAGGAGAGTAGTGAAGGACATAAGCAAAAGGGAGGCGACTTCATGGGGAGGAAGCCAATGCGCGCGCGGATGCTAGGACGAGTCTGAACTTGCAGGTGTGCCGAGCGCATATGCCATGGCTCGTGCTACAAAATGGAGTGTGAACGAACTACTAGTGCTGGTCTAAGCAAAAGGCAAAAAAATTAAAGAAAGATCCATTAGCAGACTTTTAGGGAATGCGTTAGCATGACCCTTGGGAAACGCCACACATGCCCACCTTTGGGAAACGTTAACATTAATCTCATAACGAAACCAAAAACAGGCAGCAAAAATAGACAAAGCAAAAGAGAAAGCTAAAACAGAAAAGCGAAGGGGTCAGCATTATCGTCTCCCAAAGGGGGACGTCTGTGGCGTGTCCCAAGGGTCGTGAGAACGCATTTCCTAAGGATTCACCAATGGATCTTCCTTTTTTTTTGCCGCCTCCTTAGACCAGCACTAGTACTTGGTTCACATCCCATTTTGTAGCACAAGCATACGCACTCCGCACACCTGCAGGTTCAGACTTGCCACAGCATCCACGAGCATGTCAGCTTCTGCCTTGTGACGCAGCCTCCCACTCGCCTTTGTCTTTCACTACTCTCCTCCTCTCTATGTGGCGTGTTTCCCTTTCCACCGTTTTGTCCACAGACAGCGGATGCTGCCAGCTGCTCGCCGTCATGTGGGTACTAATGCACTAAAATAAATCTTTATGTAGTCTCCACCTATAGAAAGTCCTCACTGCATAATATTTCAACTTCTAAATGTCTATCTACAGTTTGCAAAACATGGTAAGGGGTTCCCACTCTGGTACAGGTTTCTACACCAACTCACGTGTTTGATGAGCTGCAACTTGTGGTAGATCTCCCCGTACTCGGCCCCTTGCTCAGACTTCTTGGGAGTGCCTGCCCGGGCACCATGCCTGGCATGATCTGAACCAGCTGCACCTAGAACGGGGGCAAAAGCTCAAGAGAAGCCTGCGAGGCAAGTGGCTGTGACTATACATATTCTAGAAATAGCAAACCAGCTGGGACTGGCAAGTCCACGTTGCACCCACTTCTTACTAGGTGTCAATGCAAAAAGTTTTAAAAACATGCATCCACTACCTATCATTCTTAAAAGTAGGGTTCACACTATAGTTATGTAGTAATATTGTCCCATGTGGTGACGAAAAGAACAATAAATAAACAGAAAGAAATAAACGTTTAATGTGGCGAACTTGTGCCCAAAAACAGAATAGAAAAAGGATATAGCGTCGCAGGCGTCAAAACAGCAGGATCGAACGCTGGGGCGAGACTGACTGCGGCTCACCACGCGGAGCCCCTTATGCACATGCGTGAGCTTCTGCAATAATCGGTGTAGAATGTTCGACGCGTAGAACATTCGGACCTCGAACAAGCAGCAGGATTCTCGAATTTACCAGAAAACTAAATTGCAGGAGTAACAAAAGATGCGTTGCTCCCAGGAATCGAACCCTGGCTTTTCGCGTGGGAGGCGGGCACGATAATCGTTAGGCCACGCGCGTGCTGCCTACTTGGCCAGCTGCGCGTGCGGCAATATTTATGTAACCCAAAAATCAATAAAACCATAAAATAATTTTTTTTTTTTTTTAATATTAATACCAGAATAACTGAGCTGTCGACAAACATCACACTGCTAATTTTACCGTAAAATGACGAGCAAGCACCCATGCAGAAGGTGGAGATAATCACGAAAAAAAAATGGGGATGGATGGTAGGGTAGGCCCTTGTTTGATCCGACGGAACGGCAGAAGAGCAGTACAGATGTCTGGGAGAATGAATTTTTTAAACACCAAGTGTAGTACATAAGAAACCGAGCATGGCCTTGCCGACCGACTCCAGACGACAACAGACTCTCGCACTCTCAAGCTAGCCAGCCGTCATGCCAATGCTGCGACGTTCGCTGCTGCTTTCTCAGTGCTTGTTCTTTCTTTTGTTTCTGGCAAGAGTTCGCCAATTAAACCTTTATTTTTAGTTTTACGCTTGTCGATCCTTTTCTATCCGCGACAATATACCTTCTGCCTAGATTTCAAACGTTTCAAAAGTAGGTGGTGGAAGTCGACACATACCGCTTCCAGATGGGCTGCTGTGCTCATACTCCTTCTTCTGCCAGGACAGAATGCATTGAAAGAGGACAGAAGATATTTCTGGTTAGTTCACCAATGTTTCTCTTCGCAGAGACGGAGCCTCTCGACTAACCTTGGTCTTCTGCTCCCGGTCGCTGTCCGAGGCTTCACTACAGGTGCTGCGGACTGGAGTGTTGACCCCACTCTCCGAAGCTGTTGAGAAAGATTGAGAAATGCATAAAATTATAAGTTTGCTTTGTAATTGACTAGTAGGTCATAAATGGGGTTTACTACGGTTGATCAAATGCCATTTTATCGAAGCATGTTTTAGAGCAGGGGTTCTCAAACTGGGTTCCGGGGAACACAGGGGTTCCACGAGCTAGTCTCGTTTGCTCCTTGGGCTGTATGTTCACCACTGTGTGTCCATTCACCAGGACATAAAGAGATGTCCAACCTATCCTACAAAATAATCCTGGCAGTGTCGTGCATGCTTAGATGGTTCTTCCGTATACTTTGCAGTGTTGAAAGCCGGTCAATGTTTGTCGCAAAAAAAAAAAAGATACAACTAAATCCTGCTTTTTTTTTTTGTTGCTGAAATTTTATTTATTTATAGTGCAATCTTGTAGAATATTGCTGATACCAATGTACTCTGTGGTCGGTTCTAAATGATGCTACGGTGTTTGCAAAAGCAGGCATTCTGCACGTCATCTGTTTTTCCAGTGGACCTGCATTTGCAGATCCACTGCATGTATAGCTCAGGTAGACTAACTTTCTACGGCCACCAGTGATCTCTCACTCTCCTTGAGGTTTGCCACTACGCCTCAATAACACCGGCCATAAATGACGCAAGCAAGGGACTCTCCACCAAGACTCATAGCAAAGCGAAACAGACCTAGCGACAGAATTTATTCCTGGGCAAATTTATCACTTAGTAGTTGCTTTCTACAGCAGATACGAGGGGTGATCGATATGTTTTGCCTACTAGGCTGTAACTTTTTTATTCTCTGATGGGATTTAGAGATGTTACATTCGAATGAAAGTTTGGAATCTCCTCTTCTCCAGGAGCACATAGCTTTTCAATATAGTCCCCACCGGCGGTGTTGCTCTTCCTCTACCGGTGCACTACTCTCCGCATGCCGTCGTAGGCGATTGAGGATGGCTGTTGATGAGGCTAACGCTCCGCTGGAGGAGCTGCAGTTCCAAGATGTTCTGCCTCATTCACCTGACAGCCCAGACCACCCGTTATCAGACTTCTGGCTGCTTTCCAAGATAAAGAAACATCTAAAGGGTACACGGTTTGCATCTGATGACGAGGTTACCGATGCAGTGCATCCATCGTAGGTGTCGTCAACAGCTGCCCTCAATCATCTACGACGACATGCGGAGAGTAGTGCACCGGTAGCGAAAGTGCATCGCCGCCGGTGGGGCTATATTGAAAAGTTATGTGCACCTGGAAAACAGGAGATTCCAAACTTTCATTTGAATGTAACATCTTTCAATTCCATCACTGAATAAAAAAGTTACAAAAAAGGGGGTAGGAAGAAGATATTAGGTTGGACCCAAACACAGCTATAGATAAAATTATTTAGTTTGGTTTCGATATACGAAGTTTGTGGATGTGGGTTGGATTCACAGAGGGCTCTATCCAACCTGCACATCACATTTGAGTATTCATTAGCTCATGTCAACCGGACACTGATATGGTTAATTTCTCAGGAAAATAAAGAGGTTACTGGCTGGGGATTTTGCCATTAAATTTATCGGCACTGTTATCTCACCGGCACAAAATTCGCTCAGCCACCTACCTGGATGACATCCCTTGTCTAACAGAGTTCATTTAATTTATTCTTTTTTGAGACTTTGTTTATGGGGGATTATTGTATAGGCTACTCACTTTGGTAGCCAATAGCTCATACATTCATCAGCACTGGAGTTGTGTTGCTGTTCCCGCACAGTCGGAGCGGTTGTCACACAGCACAGTAAAAGACAAATGTGTTGATTTTGCCGCAATGTTTTCAACGTGAGAGGGCCTTAAATGCGAAGCAAAGTGTGTAGTAGAACCTTCTGCCATCTGCTAACTAGCTCTTTGACTAGGAAAGCCCACTAGCTGGTGGCAGATGAAGAGAATAAGGCCTATGAAGAAAATAAGTCCTCTTGTTTTACGTGGCACCTTGGCCTATGGTGGTGTCTAGTTCTGCCGACCAGAGCATAATATATGAACTTGAGTTAGTTGGTAGGACAAGGTAAGTAAAATGAGAAACAACAAGAGAAATAGGCAGCAACAGCACTTTTCTTTTGTTGCCACTTGTTTAGTGCTGATCATCTTTAAAGATGTGACACAGACGTGTAGCATCTTTAAACATGATCGTCAAAAACAACCCAACAAAAAAAAAATTTTTTTTTTACAATTTTAGTTTATAACTACGAGCAGTCATGCAAATGCAACCTCAGTAGGAATGCTTGCAATAAACTCTGACAATTTCCATGCACTTCATTAAAATAAACACTTTTTTTATAGCCTCGCTTAACATACCATATTTTCCATGCTATAGTCCACGGACTATACATACTTAAAAGTTGAAATTTCTGGCTCTGCAGACTATCTACGCGTGTGAACTAGACACAAATTTTGTTTTTCAAAATCGTTCATTGTGATGAGACGTGACAGAATTTGTGAAGGAAAGAGTATGTTAATGATGATCTATGCATAACACAAGCTTCTTAGTGAGCTAGGAAAGCAGACATCTGTCCAGGTGTGCCGTGTATGTTTCCTGCCGACTAAGCACCAGGTGCAGACTATGCATAGAGTGGAGACTATTTAAGAAAAAAAATGTTTTCGGCCTAAATTGGTTTTTGCGGACTGTATACCGGGAGTGGAGTATCGCTTGGAAAATATGGCTTGTTTGTAACCACGAAAAAGCAAACTGTAATTTTGCATCACTAAATACACTGGCTGAACAGTTTTACATCGACTTTGCACTGTCCATTCAAAAGGAGGAAATGGGAAAAATCAGTTCTCCTGAGTCGACATTTTCAACTTATTTCAGTCAGAGCAAGTCACTAAACTTTGTCCACGAGTGGCTGTACACTGCATGCTTCCTTGCGTCTGTACAATATTTCAAAGGCCTTAGTCAAACACGACAAATCTCAATTCTTCCAGTAAACGGAACAGTTAACTGGGAAAACATTGCCACTTACGAAAAAGTTCCCAGACTGATAGAAAATAGAGTAGAGCGGCATATCTCTGAACGAAGCACACTCCGTGGAACCTGATGATAGACGAAGCTAGGACTGCCATTCAATTTATTTTTAAATTGCAATCGCATATATCTCAAATACGTCAGTAAAACAGGGTGACTTCACATAAAACATGCGAAAAATTTCAAGATGTCCGCCGACGAATCATACCAGGAATATTTTACCAACATTAGGAATATTTTATCAACTCGTGGGACCTCGAGGACTATGCGATCAGAGAATAATTCGGTCAAAGGGCTATCAACGTCGAATTGATTACCCCTCCTGCTGTGCGTCGGCGTCGGGGATGGCAGCGACGTCGGGATGCCGATGTTCAGCTCCGTCTGGTTCTCTTCCTCGATCCTCTTCTTCAACTTGGTGAACATGGTAGCAGCTTCCGAGTCGCAGCTATCACCGAAGTCCGTTTACGATACCAGTACTGGCAGCACACCTCACGAACGGCATCACACGCCGCAACACAGCTCAGAACACGGCACCGAACCTGAGCATTTTGTCGTCGCCGAGGGACAGATCACGACTCGGGGCGTCGATTGAACAGGACGACAGGTGTTGATGTGCGATGGAGCGTTACGTATTCCTCAGAAGCACATACCGCTGCCGAAGTTACCGAAGCAACAGTTCTATTCGGTAAAAAAAAAAGAGACGGGCGGGGTTCTGGCGCCGTTAAGGTGGTGTAAAGATTTTGATGGTTATTGCCCCGTTCGATAAGGATGTGTTAATCAAAACGAACGTATTTGGTTGGTCCTTGGTCCTCGGTGAAGCGTGTAGATTCCCGTCTGTGGAACGACCGTAATTTCCGTACTGCTGCCCCTGCTGCCTACCTGCCTGACCACATCATCCGTGTGTTTACTATAAACCGGAAGCAAAATTTCACCATATGACACGGGCCGGAAGTGCCCTTTGTGCAGTTAATTGCGTGGCTATGGCTACGGCTGGTCTGTCAAATTGCTTTCAATCTCCTGCGTCTTCTGCATTACTTTTTTTTAATAGCAAAAAAATAACGATTTACATATTTCTTGAGTAAGAACACATTTTTGATAAGTAAATAATATTGTTTTATGAACACCTCACTTTATAGGTCAGTTTTGGTTTCGAAAACGGCACGGCGTTTCCTTCGGATGCCCATTCCCCAGCTCGCGCCCGTTGCCCTCGATCGTGCTTTCACTGCGCATGCACAGTCGAGGGTCACGAGACGTCAAAATCACATCGAATGTTTTAATGCCCGTGCTAGACACAAAACAACTAAAAGACTTCCCCGCCGCTCTCATCCCGTTTCACTGAGTTTGTTCGTAAACGAGAAAAACAACATGCCGTACTCTCGTTTTACATTTCCTAAATCTCAAATTAAAGTTTTCTTTAAAGAAATATCAGCCACTGACACACTTAACTTTTACTGCAAGGTCCCACAATTCCAGTTTTAAATACGTTGTGTGCATATAAGCATTATCCCATTCTGTAGTGTAGCCCCCCTACTCCCTCTCTCCCTCTCTCCCCCCCCCCCCCCCCCCCCCTCCATGCGATGGCACCGAGATCGATAAACAAAGTCGTAGCATTCAGTCTGCTGGCACCATTTCTCTTCCATAATGCACCATTAGCAAGTGAGAAGCACATTCAACAGAGCGCCCTAACCCAATCAAATAACACATTATTCAAATTGATCATTGGATATCTTAATTCAATATACAGAAGTTTACTGGAAGTTATTAATTTCAATGTTAAGAAAGACATTAAGTTTTGCAACGTTGGCACACATTCCTCAGTTTGTATCAGAATTTAGAGTAGACTGCTAAATGAAAAACAAATAAAAGTAATGTTCTGCTTTGGTTGTGCTGTTCCAACCTGATACTATAACCCAATAATCTATTATTATGGAAAACCTTTTTTTTTTTTTTTCAAGAATTGGGATAAAGAAGAAATTATAACAAGTTGGTAACGTATGCAGCCCACATAAATGACGATTGACACAGCATGTCTGAAATCTTTTATTCTCAATAAAGATTTCGGAATGTGTTATTTACATGAGAGAGACAGAAAGAAGGCTGTACATGACTGAAAATGAGATGGCTACTTGTCAATGAGAGTGCCTCTGACCAACTTTTTCTTTGCATCCTGTTCCACTTGTGCAGCCTAGGAAATAGGAAAGACAGACCATGACATACATATAAAAGAAACCCTTCGAAGCTCAGCCAGTTAATTCTGCAAAGTTTTAGCACGTATGAGGTGTCCGATTTTAATTCAAAGAGTATTTAGAAAAAAAAAGGGAAGGAAATTACACGGGTTCCGTCTTCACCATGTATTCATCGAGCTCGGCAGACATTTCATGAGGTCACACTTACCATCGTGGTTAGTCGGCTAATCAACTAAAATCTAATAAATATCTTTTCAATTGCTGGTTTTATAGTTCACGTTAGAATTGCAATATTGATGACAGTTGTGGTTAGAGTCCACTCAAAATCAATTTAAGCAATATTTAAAACACTATTGGGCTTCAAGGTATATGTCAATCCGTTTTCGCATTCTTATCGCTTGATTCTGAAACTGGATGCAGGAAGGGTGCCGGAAATTCCGTGATTATCTCGGTAGCGTACACTTGGCAGAGCCGCAGTCATTGTGCTACCCAGATAATGACGAAGCGCCCAAAATGAGCACGTCACTCTTCCATGCGTCATTATGAATGGAAGTCCCACGCTCAGTCTCGAACTCATTAGACGAAAACGCAAAAGTTGATGAACGAACAGCTCGAAGCCCTCTGGCAATTCAAAAGCTGTTTAAATTGGTTTAGCCTCCATTCTAACTGCCATCAACACTGCAATTGCTTCATGACCCATAAGACAAACAATTAAAAAATTAGTAACAGATTGGAGTTAATTAGCCAACTTGCTGCGTTGGTTATTCTCTCGTGGCCTGACAAATACACGCCGAAAACAGCACCCATGCAACTGTCGCCCCATTAAAAAAAGTCTGTTTGAATTAAACTTCAACACCCTGTGTATAAAAAATCAAATGAACAACATTGGCAAAAGTCGCTAGGAGATCTACTCAAATTACCCCTTCTAAATTCGAGAGCAATACTAAAGCCAGAACAAATCACACTATGACATCATTTCGCAGTGGTGTTTATTCCTACCCATTACATGGTTAGAGAAACCACCAATAAAGTAAAAAACAAACATGGTAGAGAGGGCACTCACAATGAATAAACACGGGCTAGGTAGCGCAAGCTGTCGCCTGATCTAAAAATGTTGGCCGTATGCATCCATCCAACTCCCAGAACAAATGACCCAATCACATCTAACCAACCTTCACATAGCTCACCTGTTCAATCAACTTCCGCTTGTTCATCCCCTTCCGCTCCAGCTGCTTCTCGATGATGCGGGCATTGTTGGCATACGAGTCTGCAACTTCCCTCTGAAAAAGAAACAAGTGACCAAGATGAGCAATCTCAAGAAATTGGGAAAAACCCCAGAAGTTGTGAGTGCAGCTTGCAAAGGAAGAGTGCGCTCCTTACCGCTTCAATCTCCTCTTCTTCCTCGTCGATTGTGGATACCGTCACAGAGCTGAATTTGCCCATGTTCTTTGTGTGCTTGGTCACCATGATCTGAAAGAAAGAAAGGGACAGCCCAAGATTAAGAGTGTCCTCGATAGCTAGTTACACAGAGAATATGTACATGCATAGGTGAGAGAGTCAGCACAGAGAAAAAGATAGTGCCCAGTAAAGCCAATGAACTGGCTGACATAACCAAAAGCCGATTTGTACTCAACATTTAGAGCAAAGAAAAGAAGTACAACTGCTACCGGCTGTAAAGCACGAGCTTGTACGCCTTAGCAAATAAAAACTGAGCGCATTGTTTCTGCGCATACTGAATGCCAAGAATCCACAAGTCTTAACATAAAGAAGGCAACATAATATGGCAAGAAATGTGGAACATAATTTTTATACTGAATGGACCTGCAATGGCATTACCCGTGAAAGCCTTACCTCTGACAAGGCATTTATGCGTGCCTAGATTTTGAAACACGAGCCACGAGAACCCGACACTCAAGAAAAAGTCTCTGTGAACCAAAAACTGTTTGTTTCCTGAACAAGAGCTGCCGGCAGAGAGAAGGCCGCTCAGGGCTTCCCTTCACTTTATTCTTCAGTCACACATGTCATATGGCACAAAACTCACTACATTTTTAAGTAATAAGTAAGGGTGTGCGAATACTCGAAACTTTGCGAATAATACTTGCTATTCGATTCCATTCGCTTCACACTTTCGTTGTTCAAAGTATTTGAGTTAATTGAATACTTCAAAAACTATGAATAACGCGTAACTTGCTGATTAGTGTCAACTCCCAATCGAGTCCCATGTTTTGTTTTTGGACTGTGCAGTATGGTTTCGTGCTTGGCAAACCCAAAAAGTCAACCTAAGTGCCTTTTTTTTATGAAGCACTGGAAATGTTATTTGCACGTGGTAGCGGGATCTGTCCTTTGCTTGGCATGATGTCTGGATTGCGGAGTTGGCGAAGTGGTTGTGGCGCAAACGCTGCGATAGATTTGATGAAGGACTCCGATTTGCAACAGCACGTGCATCGTCGTGGGCACAAATGCGACAGACTACACTCACGGATGGATGGACGGATGCATGGTAATCAGAGCCGTATATGTAGAGAGTTTGGTCAATGGGAGGTGCGGGCAGAGCCAGGGCATGCGGCAGACTCGGAAAGGGGGCTTGGCATGCTCTCTTGACCAACCAGAAGCCGAAAAGAATCCCCTAGCGGTGGTAGCGAGAAACAGTTCTGATCGAAGGTCCATGTTCGTATATGGTTTTAATGAGTGCGTAAGAGTGAAGTGTATTAACTCTTTGTGGCTGAAAATAGGGTGCACGTGCTGTTTTGATCATGATCATACAGAAAGATGTAAGAAACGAATGCGCCGCTCAACTCTGTTTTGTGGGGACAGAGTTTGACCAAATACGTGTGACTGCTCGGACGGCAGATTCCCGGCTCTCGATGTTTGGCGTACGGATTATGTCGATCATTCCGCTAGTCACACTTTTCTACCATCATTTTGGATGAGCGTGATTGAAACGTCACGTGTACCATATTTTCAGCCATCGAGAGTTACTTCAATGCAGTTATCAGGTCTGTTTCTCGCGACCACCGCCAGGGTATTATTTCCGGCTTCTGGTTGGTCACATTTGAATTTCTGAAGACGCCCTGGAACACGCCCAGCCCGCTTTCAGCCAATGACGCCTCCTCATTTGTCTCCTATACTTCCCAACGAATGGCCAAACTCTCTACATGTACGGCTCTGATGGTAATGGCTATACCCTTTGTATTGGGCGGCAGCTTGCGCCACCTAGCCTAACATTTCGTCATCCCTTCTTTTTTGTTTGAAATTTGTAAATTTTGTTATAGCACAACCCCCCCCCCCTTTTTTTTAAAGTAAATTCCATTGCTCTTTTTTTTTATTTTTTTTATTCCTTTCTAAAACTTCTCCACCAATCTTCCATTCCCCTCTCAGTTACCGCAATTCTTTCCCTATCCATTCATCCATCCATGTCTGTAAATCCCAGTGCCCCCTCCAAATCCGTAGTCATCCCCCCCAAGAGGGTGGGACAAAGCATCATGCACCTTAAAATTATTGTGGTTACATATGTTGCATGAGTGTCAATTTCCTGGAATTTAGCCCTATATGTTTTCAGTCTTAGCACCCCCGTTACAGCTTCAAACAGTAATGAGCTCCCCAATGAATTATCATACAACTGTTCCTTCTTTATTTCTTGTTTTTGTGCCCTTTATATTGTTAAAGCATTGTCTCTTCCCACAACTTCCTCTCTGTTTCCTTTACTCCCTTTTCTACTGATATACTCTGATCGGCCCCATCTCGTTGAATGTATTGAAATCTCAGCTTGCGGGATCGGTTTGTCCACATAGTGTTTATAGATACCTGAACACTTTCGCTGCCCACCGTGTATCCTCAATTTCAGCTAGTCATTGTTCAAATTTTTCTTTACTGATCGCTTCTCTACTTTCAAAAGATGCCCAACCCATATCCCCCTGTACTCCCTTCATTTGGTGTATTCCCATGTGCTCCCAATGCCAACCAACCCACACTCCTTTACTGTATCTCTAAACCTGCCTGGATTTCTGACCTCATACACAACACCGCATTCCCAAATGACAGTCCTGCACCATGACTCCCTTCCATACACCCCTAACGACTTCATATCTATTATAGTTTCATAGTGTCCAGTGTTTCATGATAGCTGAATCTCGTTTCCCCTTCTCTGTTCCAATATCTTCATGGTCTTTCAGATATTGTCTTCCTTCACTTAACCATACTCCCAGATATTTGAACTTTTCTATGTGTTCTATCAACGTGTCCTGTGTCTCCAGGGGTTCCCCCTTCTTGCCGTTGAAAATTATTATACCCGACTTGTCACTACTAAATTTTAGTCCTAAACTGCCCCTTTCCCTGCTGCAATCCTAATCAGTTCCTGTATTGTCTCACGACTTTCTGATACGAGTACAATGTCATCTGCATACATTAACCCTGGCAATACTTGATTTACTTTATGTCCTTCCTCCATGTAAGTCAGGTCAAAACCTAAGTTGCACTGCTCTAACCTTTTTTCCATCTCACAGAGGTATATCATAAAGAGCAGGGGAGACAATGGGCAACCCTGTCTAAGTCCTCTTTTTTATTGCTGCTGGTCTTGGAGTTTCGGCTTCCCATGTTATAACCATCCTACTCTCTGTATAAACCCATTCTAGAAACTTAACTATGGTTCCCCCTAGCCCATATCCCTTCAGTTGGTTCCAGAGTTTTTCCCAATTCACATTGTCATATGCCCCTTTAAAGTCCAAAAACGCTACCCAAAATGGACTTTGACTTCTCATTGCTATCTCAATGCTCTGAGTGATTACGAATAAGTTATCACCTAGTCGTCTATCCCTCCTGAAGCCGTTTTGAAGCTCCCCCAGAATCTGCTTTCTCTCTGCCCATTTTTCCATTCTTTTTACAATTTGCATAGCTAGTCTGTATATTACTAAAGTTACTGTGATTGGTCAAAATGATTTGATACTGTCTTTATCTCCCTTGCCCTTATATAATAATCTCATCCTGCTCAATTTCCATTCACTGGGTACCTCCTTTCCCATAAGTATCTGGTCAATCACTTGATTTAGTTTCAATTTACTTGTTTTGCCTAGAACTTTTATCAATCTCACTGGTATGCCGTCTGGACCTGTCGCAGTTCCAGCCGAAACCTTTCCTTCTGGTTTTTCCCATTCCCCAGTGGTCATTTCCTCTTCTTCACTTTGATCCTCCTCTTGTGCTGTGTAGACGCTACCATTCCCTACGGCCTGATCTGGTTCCGAAAATGCTGCTTCGATTCTATGTCTAATGTATTCTCTTGCCTCTTCGCCCTCTACCTTTGTCCCTTCCTGTGTGGTTAGTGTCTGCTGGTACTCCTCGGTCTTTGTTTCCTGTGCATGGTTGTGTTCCCAGAACCTTTTTCCCGCATTCCTATCCTTGTGGTTTATCTCTATGATCCACTGGACCCCTGCCCTCCCAATTTTGGCCTGAAATTCCTCCAATTTTGATGCTACTTCGGCTAGTGTGGCCCCTTTTTCTTTGCCCATCTGTGTTCTTTACAAGCCTCTTGGCGTCTCAATATTGCTGCCTTCACCTCTTTATCCCACTAGCTTTTTAGCTTGCGTTTTAGTTTTCTTGCTCCTTGTTTGATTCAATATTTCTCTCTCTTTTGAAAACACAAACTAAGTCTTCATATGTCCATTATCTTTCCGGATGCTTGGATGCTATGTTCTCGATTCGCTTAGATACCTCCTGTAATTGTTTATCAGTTAAGTTATTCCTACCCTCTGGTTTTTGATTTTGCATTTCTGGTTTTACTGCGCCAAATCTGATCTTGATTCTCTTATGGTCGCTCCCCAGACTTTTTGTGCCTTCCTCATGTATTTCCATACCTCCTAATCGGATGTACCGTATTTACTCGCACAATGAACGCACTCGCGTAATGAACGCACCCCCCAAGTCGGCTCTCAAAATTTTGACTTTTTTTTTCACTCGCGTAATAAACGCACCCCCAACTAGGACGTCAAAATTTTGACCCCCTCCTCCCACGCGTGCAAAATGAACGCACTTTTCTATCCTGGTGCAGCGAGGTCGCATGCATGGGCAGCGTGGTCGAACAAAACGCCTTGCGAAAGGCGTTAAAAAAATTAGCAAAGATCCAACCGAAGCAAGAAAAAAAAAACATGCGAGAGGAACTTTTATTTTTTTTTGCACAGCGCAGTCTGGACTTTGGGTTCGCGCGCCGGCGCGCGGCAAGGAGGTAAGAAAGAGAAGCGGAGAAGTGCTCTAAGCGAACGAAACAGCTTGCGAAAGGAGGCAAAAAGAAAGAAAAGAAACCAGTGTTGCCAATTTAGCGGTTTTCCCGCTAAACTTAGCGGTTTTTGTTTCTGTTTAGCGGGATAAATTATTGTTTTGCGGGCGGCGGGATTTTTAGCCGGTTTGATAAAACCTTGGCGGTTTTTTAGCGGTATACAAGTTATATCGATTTACTGTCAACTATTCACCTTTCATATCCA